GCTGTAATTAATAAAACAGATTCAGAAAAAATAAGAAAATTAGTTGAAGATAATATAAAGATGAAATTCAGAATAAAAAATCTTATAGATAATGTTGCAGGTTTAGAGAAAGAGTATAATAGAAGTTTAGAAAGGTTTAGATTATTTGTTTAAAATTCTAATATAAGTGAAGATCAAAAGAAATTGATTTTGAATTAATTAGATAATCTATTGAGGTTTGATTTTAATGAAAAATTAAATTTATAAGAGATGAAAGAATTAATGGTAGTAGATGATTTATTAAAAGATCCTATATTTAAATAAATTTGTGGATCTGATATTTCTGCAATAACTAGATAAGTCAAAAAAGATGAATTAACAAGAAAATAAAAATTAGCAAAAGTACCTTTTTATGATCCTTTGTTTGATCCTGAATATCTAAATCCTGGAGAAAAAATAATCACTAGAAAGGTCATGAAACTTGTTAAAAGGTAAAACACATAAGGAGAATGGATAGAAGAAGAAATGGAAGTGGAAGAGGAAGTTGTTGTAAATGCATAAGGTGAAGAATTAAGAGCTAGAGATAAACCAATTATGATTTAATAATCTAAATAAACTTAATAATTTTTAGAGTAATTTGGTGGATTTGCAATTGGAGGAGCTAAAATAAAGATTCCAACAAAACCTATTACAAAGGATGGACGTTAAGTACAATTGAATGAATGGTTTGAAGACAGTTCAGGTAAAAAAGTAAGGAAGGTCTAAGCTAAAGATGGAGAAGAAACATATGAAGTATAAGAAGAATATATAGATGAGAATGGAAAAAAATAAATAAGGATTAAATAAATGAAAGTAAAGAAAGATAAAAATGGAAATGATTATGTTGAAGAAGAATTTGTTGATGAAAAAGGTAAAAAACAAAAAGTAGCTAAAGTATATATAATATAATAAAAATTTAGAGAGTAACAAAAGACAAAGATGGTAATGATATTATTGAAGAAATCACTATTGATGAATAGGGTAATAAAACAACAAAAAAATAAAAAGTTTATAAAGATAAAGATGGTAACGAGGTTGTAGAAGAAGAAATTACAGATTAATTTGGTAATGTAACAAAAGTTAAAAGAAAGATAGTTAAAGATGCTAATGGAAATTAAGTTATTATAGAAGAAAGAACTGATGCAAATGGAAATAAATCTATAGCTACTATAAAAAAGAATCAATTTGGATAAGATATTATTCAAGAATAAATTATTGATAAAAATGGAAAAATACAATAAGTGGAGAAAAAAATGATTGTGGAAAATGGAATTGCTATAACAGAAGAAGTTATGTTAGATGAAAATGGAAATAAAATTATTAAAAGAACTAAAATTAAGAAAGATGAAAATGGAAATGATATTATTGAAGAAGAAACTATTAATCCTGATGGAACTATTACTATCAAAACATCTAAAAAGAAAAAGAATCCAGATGGCACATATACTGTAGAAACAGAAATCATGGACTAAAATGGAAATGTCACTGTTGTTAAATAACGTTAATATAAAGATAAAAATGGAAATATTATTACTGAAGAAGAATCTATTGATCCTTAAACAGGAGCAAAAATTATAACAAAAATAATGAAAGATTAAAATGGAAAAGAAATTGTCTAAAAATAAATTGTTGGTGCAGATGGAAAGATTACAAACACATAAAAACAAGTTTAAATTGATAAGGATGGCCATCCTATTGAAGTTGAAATTATACAAGGGGAAAATGGATAATAACAAACTGTATAAAGGAAGGTTTATAAAGATAGAAATGGAAATGAAATCAAAGAAGAAATTATCACAGATGAATAAGGAAATAAAAGATTAATTAAAACAAGAGTTATAAAAGATAAAGATGGAAATAATATTATTGAAGAAGTAACTACAAATGCTGATGGAAGTAAAATGACAGTAAAAAAAAAATAATATAAAGATAAAGATGGACTTGAAATTACAGAAATAGAAACTATTGATGCTGATGGAAATAAAGTCGTAATTAGAACTAAAAAAGGATAAAATGGAGAATAAATTATAGAAGAAACTAGAATTGGTAAAGATGGTAAGGTTGAAAAAATAATAAAAAAATTTAATAAAGACAAAAATGGTAATATTGTTGTAGAAGAAACTTAAATATCTTCAAATGGAACTAAAACTGTGAAAATAATAAAATTAGGTACAGAAGATAGAGAAATTTAGACTGAAGGAATCTTTGATTTTAGTGATTAATCTTAATCATTGTTAGATTAGATTTTAGATTAATTAGGTGATATGGGATTGGAAAAAAGTAAATAAGAATAAATTAAAAATTGGATGATGCTTAAATAACAACTTTAAGTAAAGAGAACAACAAAATAATAATAATAATAAATTTAATAACATGATTCTGATGAAGAAGTATTAAAACCTAGACCTTCATCTGCATAATCTAATAATTCCTTAGATTCTTTGGATGAAGATTAAACAGAAGAAGATTAATCAGATAAACTTTATTAAAGATTAATGCAATCAAAAAATGGGTAAATGGGAGAAATTTTGAGATAAATTAGAAATTAATTAGGAAAGCAAGGTAAATATTATTTTTATCATATTTAATTAGGAAATGAATAAATATCTGTTGAAGAATTTAGAGAGTATATGAAAAAAATGAGATAAATTCATGCTCGTTGTGGTGATAATTGTCCTCATTTAAGAAGATTTTATTAAAAAATAGGTTTTGCAACAAAAAAATATAAGAGGAGATTCTTAAAAATGAATTTAACAAAAATAGATGCAAAAACTAAACTTCCTTAGCTTTAGAACTTTAGTACAATAAAATGATAATATTAATATTGTTATTTAATTTATTTATTACTACCTAAAATATCTTAAAAATTAAATATAATTAAAGATTAGATTATATTATTTTTCAAATAAAACAATATTTTAGTGAAAATAAGGTTAGCCTAATTAAAACCAAGTTGAACAATATAAAACTAAAATAGATTTTAAAAGTTTGTATTTAACTTATTTTATTTAATAATTAATCCTATTTAAAATTAAATTAAATAGTATAACAACTATCTATAAATTTTAATTATCAATAATGTAAAAATCCTAACTGATTAGAGTTTTAAGTGATTCTAATAAGTGTCCAACGCCTTTTTAAATGACAAGGTAGTTAAGTTAAGAAACTCCAACTGGGTTTGCATAATGTTTATCTAATGATCGAGAAACGGTGAGACTGACAAAATAAGTAAATTAGTTAAAAAAAGAGAATGAAACATTATAAATAAAAATAAAAGAATTAGAATAATTAGATTATAAAACAAAGATAATTAGTTTGGAATAAAAGAATAAATAATTAGAACAATAATTAGATGCTTACAAAAAATTACCAATTGATCAAATTACATCTTTAATTGATGACAATGAAAGATTAACAAATATGGTGGAGAATCAATCTAATAAAATAAAATAATTATTAACATAAATAGATGAACTTAAAGAAAATTCGTTTTAAAATGAAGGAAAAAATGATATAATAATAGCTATGATTTAGGTATAAATTGTAACCATAAAATAAGGAATTAGAAAATCAAAGACTTTATGTTTAAGATGAATACCATAAATAGAAAGCTTTGAATAAAGAGAAACAAATATTATATACAGAACTTTAAATGGCTAAATAATAGATTAAAGAACTAAACCAAGCTATAGAAAAGATTAAGATGCAAAATTTAGAGAGTAGTGAACCATGTGATGTTCTGCATTAAGATTACTTGAAAAGTCATGACGCAGTATTAAATTTCTTAAAACAATAATATTGATTAATAAAAAAAGATATAAATCTGAACATAAATTAAATTTAAATAAATTTATGAATAACTAAGAAAGAACCTTCATCATGGTCAAACCAGACGGAGTCTAAAGAAGACTTGTCGGAAAAATCATTCAAAGATTTGAAGACAGAGGATTCAAACTCGTTGCCCTTAAATTTGTTGCTCCAGATTAAGGTCTTTTGACTTAACATTATGCTGATTTGAAGGAAAGACCCTTCTTCCCAAGTCTTTTAAAATATGTCAGTTCAGGCCCAGTTGCTGCTATGGTTTGGGAAGGAAAGGATGGTAGAATATTATATTATTTTACATAGCTGTCAAGACAGGAAGAGTCATGTTAGGTGAAACAAACCCACTTGCTTCAAAACCAGGAACAATCAGAGGAGATTTTGCTATTGATGTTGGAAGAAATGTTATTCACGGATCAGACTCAGTTGAATCAGCCAACAAGGAGATCAGTTTATGGTTCTAACCTTAAGAATTGGTAAACTGGAATACCAATGACCACGGATGGGTTTATGAATGATGAATTTGTACAAAATAATATAAATAACAACTTAAAAGTCTAAAAGAATTCTATAATATTATTCCTTCATATATTCTAAGCATTTCTCAAATTCTAAAAGAATTATTTATTTTACAATATTATAAGTATATTGAAAAATTTGATATTCTAATAATGTTTAATTTACTAAGACTATTAAGTTACAGGAAATTCAATTATTAAGATATGCATTATTCAGAATTCTTTCAGAAAATAATATCAACTGATTTATATTTGGAATATATCTAAAACAAAAAAAAATCAATTTATTTTTTCAACTCTATTTATTTTAAGTATTTGATATATATTTCATCTTATGTAAGTATATTTTATCAAATAATTTATCCAACTTTTCTAAATTAATTTTAAATGTCATTTCTTTGAAAATTCATTAATTTAAAGAATACAAAGATTTAAGGTACTTAAAATTAATTCAATTTTTTAGAAGATAATCTCTTTTAAATTGATTTCTTCTGTAATTACAAGAATAATAAAAGTTTTAAGAATTTATATTAAAATTTAATTATGTTGGGAAATACTTAATATTTCAAAAAAATTCATGATGCAGTGTATAAATTACTCTATGGATAACCTAAAAAATTAATTGCCAGGTCTTTAGAAGGTCCTATAGTTTGGCCATTTTTTTAGAGGTCTTTAGAAATAGAAAAATTAAAACATTTTATATCTTATGAAGAAAATATATTCAAATAATAGGTGAACTCTAAGAATACTGTATTTGTTGTTGGAGCAAAAGGGATTGGTAAGAGTTGGTTTTTAAGAAATACTTGCAAAAATTCAATAATAATAGATAATACGCATATAAATTTTTAATCATTTTTCTTTTAGATGAAGATGGAAATAATAAGATATGTATCTGAACAAAAATTGGTCACAAATAAAGAAATACTTTAAATTGCTTTAAGAAAATATTTGCCTTAATACTTAGACATTTATTTTAATTAATTTATTAGAGATTAATTATCTGAGAATATTAAATAGGAATTATAAGTTAATATAAATTAAGGAAACTAATTAACAAAATTGGATTGGGATTCAGGAGAACTAGAATTTTGGGAAGAGGATGCAAAATAAATATAAATGAATTCCTCTCATTCATTAAATGTTGAGAATAATTTTTTTTAATTGGCAAAATTAATATATAAAGATGAAGAATGTATAGGATGTTTAAATTTAATGATGGATCTAATTCAATAGATTGAAATAGATAAAATTGATAATCCTATTAAAATTAATAGCACTATTGCAGGTATATATTATCTTACTAATATGTAGCTTAATAGTAAATAGATTTTCTCTTTGATGTTCTTAATTATGTTTCAGGGTTTGATAAGAGTAGCAATAAGAAGCATTAGATTTCTTTAGTTTTAATGAACATAGACAAATTATTAGAATATTATAAATATGATTCAGAGACAATAGATTTCTTTGATCATTTAATATTAAGAACATATAATCCATATGGCATTCGAAATCACTTTCCTTTGGTAATTGAATCTAGCAATAGTAAATTTTTTAACAGGGATTTGATGGAGATGATGAATATTGAGTTAAATACAGTATTGCACTTAGACATTTCTGATATTAATAAAGAATAGATTAAAAGTTAGATAGATGGAATATTTACATAGTAAAGCTTAGAAACTAATTTAGAGAGGAGATTGATTAAATTTATGAACGCCTTGGAGGCTCATTATAAGTGTGGCATTAATTGACTAAGTAAGCTGTAACAAATGATGAATTCGAAATGGAGAAGTGGTTTGAATCTTTCAGTAAATTAGAATACAACAAATTCAATTATTTGATGAATATGACTTTAATAAATAATGAGATAAGCCATTAGCTTGATAATAATCATGTAGATGCTAATATTTATCGAATGATGAAGGCATTGCATTATTTTAATGGGAAAATGTTTACAGGAACTTACTATGCAGATATGGTATTAATGGAAAGTCCAATTATTCATGCATTATAATAAGAGAATGTTCTATATCATCCTAAATATATTTCTAATTTATACTTTACTTACAAATATTACAATAACTTCTGTAGGGAATATTTACAAAGAAAGAAAAGTATAAATATAAAATAAATTTAGAATAAATATAATATTGGCCTGAGGAAGAAAAAGATGTAGATTTATTTGTTTCAGCCTTTAAATTAGAAAGAAAGAAAAGAGGAGAATATTTAGTATAAGTTACTGATGAACCAAGAAAATATATTTATGATGACATCAGAAAAGAAGAGAGACCATATCATGAGTATTATGTGTGAAGGAAAATTGAAATTATCATCTTATAAAAATATTGTTTATCTAAATTAAATCAATGTAATTTAAAAATAGCTTTTGAGTCTTATCAACATTTACTAAGGATGTATTTATTTAATAATCATAAAATTAATAAATAAAAATTATGTATGAAAATGATAATACAGATACAGCTGACAGTCATCATAAAGTATATAATTATTAAATAAAGAATGAGGAATTGATAGAAGAGTTATAAAAGTATTGGCGATTAGTGATATCTCATATGGGATAGGATTACCAACATTTATTAAAATTGTCAAGTGATTCTGATGCATTAGAATTAGTTTAATCATTGATAATTTTAGAAGATATTAGATTTAATGATAAGAAAGTTCCATAAAATCATGATTTGGAAAATGAAATTATGCAATTTAAATAATCAATTTCTAACCAAAAAAATGAATTAGAATAAAAAACCCAAGTCATTCATGAATTACTCAAAAAGTAAACACAAATGTAAGAGTAAAATCAAGAAATGCTTCTATAATTGTTAAAAAAAGAAGAGGAAAATTCCAGTAAAATAGTTCAACTTCAAAAAGAAATAAAAGACAATAACAAAAATTAAAGTCGAATGCCTTCATAATTATAATCTGCACGTCAACCAATTTAACAATATAGTTAATCAACAAAAAGTTCTCCCTAACCCAGAGAATTTCGATAACTAAGCAATTATTATTAAACTAAATTAAGTAAATTGATAAAAGTTTAGGGTACTCATAATAATAATACAATTAAAAATAATAGCAATATTGTTTTTTAATGAAGAAATGCTTGATTGCTATAAAAATTTTTCTTCTGATAAATTTATTGTCTCATATGAATTAAAAACAAATGATCAATCCAATTTAATATTTTTAAAATCTCCTCTTTTAGTTATAACTTCAAGTGGTCTAGATTCAATATTTTCTGTAGGAGGTCTGATACCCTAAAAATAGAAAATGAAATGAATACTTTATTAGATTATTTGGTACCAATAGCAGTTTTCTTATTATTAAATTCTCTCCATTTATTAACTCTTTCATCTCTAGTCTTTTCCCATTCTTCTTCAGTCAAAACTTTATATTATTCCAACATTTTCCTTCTTTCATATTCATCTAATTTGTATCTCTTTTATGATTATTCTAATCTAGTAAGATGTTATTTTCTGTCTTCTATTTCACTAAATAGATTCTTGCATTATTTTTAAAAATCACTTTCAAAAGTATCAGCTTATAAATTAATTTAAAATTCTACGTGGTAAAGGAGCTACTCCAGTTTTTTCTCTTCTTTTATTTTCTCTAAGTCTTTCAAATTCAGTTTTCTCTCTAGCTTCTCTCATAATTCTTATATAAACTTTTCTTTTCTCAGGTTCCATTAAAGTTTTATAAGCTTAATCGACTATTTACCAACAGTCTTTAGCTCTTGGATCTTGACATTTATCTGGATGTAATAATTTTGAGAAAGAATTAAACATTTTCTTAATATCTTCATCTGTAGCCTCCATTCCTAAATACAAAACATCAAAAGGATTATAGAATGTTTCTGATGATAATCTTTCCAATTCTTCATCAACTTTTAAAACCTTTTTCAAAATTGGCTAAAATGGATTTTTTAGTGCATGGTTGATTTCTTATTATTACATAAATTATAAATAAATTATTTAACGGATGATTTCTTTTATGGTAATGTCTAACATGCTATCAGAACAATTAAAAAATTAATATAAGAGTAAATCAGTCTATTGGAGACAGGAAAAAGAAAAACTACTTCAAACATTTCAACCAAGACAAAATAACTAATAATCATAATAAAGATCAAGAACTAGTGAAAGAAAAAGCATTATACGTAACTTAGTAGATTCTCTTTATAATCAAGGAACTCCTGAAAAAAACAAATCAATTTATTATCAATTCTAGTCCCAAATTACTTAATAATAATAACAGTAATAATATTAAAGTTCTGCCAAAAAATAGCATACAGAAGAATTGACTTTATCTACTATTATCAATAAATATTAAAAGTAAGTTGAAACATGTAATTAAAAATAAATAGTATATGATCCAATAGCAAAATAGATCATAGAATCATTTTAAGAACTCAAAAAGAAATCTGCAAAAAAGTAAGAAATACAAAAATGTTAATCAGAATAGAAAATTATAGAAAATAGTGCACATAAATAAAATATATTCAGTAGAATCAATTAAATTAGAGAATTTATTGATTAACAATTAAAAACTAATGTTGATGAATCTAATAAAGATATTAAATATGAAAGTTAATATTAATCAGATGTTGATTAAAGTTCTGGTAATTTGAGAAATAAATCAGTAGAATTTAAATAATTCTTGGATTAAAGAGTAAGTGTTGGAAGAGATTCTACAAACAATAGATTAAATCATAGGATTAATAAGCTACGTTCTATACGTAGTAGTACAACATTGGATATTGGAATTTAAGTTTCATTATTAGATGAAAATACAATACAAATCAATTCATTAAAATAAAAACAATAACAAGAAAATTATCAATAATATAATAATTAAAATAATTCTTAAAATTATCAATAATAAAAAACAGATAATCTTAATAATTCAGGAAGAATGTAATAAGAATAATATGAAATTTAAGATATAATATAGTAAACATCACCTGTATAATCATAAAATCCATATTATCAAGTAGAATAATCAGTAACATCAGAATATTAATTGCCACTTTAATAAATGTTGTAATAACAATATTTAAATGAAGATTCAATATAAAAAACTAAAAATTCAGGAAGAATCAGTAGAAGAAGTGAATTCTTACAAAAAGCAAGATATTCAATAAATGCAAATGATGAAAATAAAGATAAATTTTAAGTAAATATTGAAGAAATCAAAAAAGAAAGACAATCAGAAAATTAAAGATTTTCAGTAACTTCGAATGAAATAGGTGGCAAAGATGGAATTTTATGCAATTTAGATTTTAATAAGGAAAGATTTTCAGTTAGATCAAATGAATAATACATTTAAAATAAAGAGAGAAATTCAATTAAATCTAGTGGGGAAGAAGAATATAAAGATAAATTAATATTAAAATAAAATAAGCCTGATTCTATAACTCCAATTTAATTTAAATGTACAACAAATAATAAGGAAAATGTTAATGATGTATTTGGATGCCAATCTAAATATAATAATATTTAAGAATAAGATAATAAATTAGGAGAAAGATTTGAGAGTAAATTAAATACTATTGAAATTCCAAAGATTATTCAAGCTTTAAATTTTGATAATATTGAATTAAGTAAACCCTATTCTGGCACTTAAAATTCAGTAGATACAAATAGATTCTAACTTGAAATTTAACAAATTATGGAAAAATAGAATGAAACTTAAGATGTCTAGTTAAAATAAAATGAGATGATTAATATTTAATAAGATTTTGCTCTAACTAGTAATAGATCATAATTATCTGTTCCTATTACAGAACCCACTTAGATTCAATAGAATAATTAGATTAATACTAATTTTATTAGAGTTGAAGAAGAGATTGAAGCAGGTTAGCCTGATATTAGAATAATTGAAAATGCAACAGGTATTACAGAATGCTTTCTATAATATTCTGAAGACACAGCAAACTTAAGAATTCCAACTTAAATTAGTAACAATGAGGAAACCAAATTTAAACCAGATTCTTATGTAACCTGCGAAATTTAATTTTAATAAATTAAATAAGATTATTAATAGTTAAATTAATTATAATCAACTTAATCAAATTAAATGAACTAATCTTCATTTGAATAATGGTTATCATAAACTGATTAAAACAAAAGAATATTTAACTTTAATTGTTAATCATAATATTTTTAAAAAGAAAAATGTGATCATAGTACTTAAATTAATAAAATTGATTCAGATTCAGATGAAGAAATTTAATTCATTAAGAAAAAATAATAAGAATGTCTATTTAATTAAGGAGTAACATTATTAGTTAGAAAAATTACTTCAATATTAAAAATTAGACAGATTAAATCATTCTATGAAATTAAAGAGTATTCTCTACATTAATCTCAATAATAACAATAGTTACAATAATTTAAATCCTCTTTCCATAATTATCATTCTCCAATTGAGTCACAATACTAATCTTAGTTTTATTCATAATAATAATCCTTAACATCTCTTCCCATTCCTTCATCATAAACCTAATAATCTTAAACAGATTTTGTTCCTTAAGCAACAAAAGAATAGGCAGCATAAGAAAAAATATCAAATCTCTTAAAAACAATTATGGAAGAAACAGGATCAGATACATTAAGAATGTTAAAGAATAAGTCTAACTTATCACCAATAGCTAAAAATTCAGAAAAAAAAAGATTAAATAGTAGTAACAATTCTAAATTAAGAATATCAAAAAAATGTTCAGCAGCTTCAATTTTAGCATCTATGTAATCTCCTGTCTAAGAAATAAATGATAGGATAAAGGTTAATTTTATATAAGATATGGGTTTGGAATCACCAACTTAAAAACATACTGAGCATGCAGAGTTACATGATTGCAGTAAATATTGATGATTTTATTTTAGGTCCAATAGCTGAGCCTATGGAATTTTAAGATGTATCAGTTTTAATAAAATAAAGGAGAGAGATGAAATAAATTGCTGACTCAAATAATGGGAGCAATATCATAAATAATAGTTATAATGATTAAAGACATTGTTAAATTTTGTCTCATCATATTGCAATTTAGAAAGCAAAAATTGCAAAAAAATTTTAGTAAATTCATTATAAAACAGCTGGACAATAGTAATTTAGAAAAGAAAATTATTAAATTTGATTATTAATTATTATTAAATTTTATATATGAGATAAAAATTATAACTTAAAGGAGACATTTCACTTTCATAATCAGCCATTTAAAGAAGAAATTCAAATCAGAGATAGAAATCTCCAATATAAGGTAGAAGATTATTCTAAAGTCATGTAATTTAGACTCCATTAAGTTAATAATATGGACAAACTCAACAATAATTATAATAATCATAATAACAACAATTTATATAGGGCAGATCACATAGTTAATCAAATGTAGTATTTAATGAAGAGGTACCTTAGAAATGGCCAATAATATAATTACCATTTTTAAAGAACACTGAACCAACTATTTTTTTTTAATACCCTCCTGTTTGTGAAGATAAAAGACCTTTAGTAAATGCAAGACCTATGACAGAAGAAGAAATTAAGAAATATTAATTAACATGTAAAGTATTAGGATCTGCACCATATAAATGTGTATTAACATCTTTTGATTGGGCAGGTTTTAAAAGAATAGATGAAGATGATGAAGATGAAGATTGGAATGTTTAATGGGGAATTGGTAATAAAACAACATTGAGAAATATGAATAGATATTAGAAAATAAATCATTTTCCAGGATGTTGGAATATGGGTAGAAAAGATCTATTATGGATAAATTTAAGTAAATTTAAAAGAAAATACCCTAAAGAATATAATTTTATTCCAAATACATATTTATTATAATATGATTATGATAGATTTATAATGGCTTAAGAATCTGCATAAAAAGATACTTTGTGGATAAAAAAACCATGTGCAGATTCTAGAGGAAGAGGTATAACTATGGTAAGCAAGAAGTCAAAGGTTAAAAAAGATAAAAACTTTTTAATAATGGATTATATTTATAATCCTCATTTAATAAATGGATTGAAATATGATTTAAGAGTATATGTATTAATATCATGTTTTGATCCTTTGAGAGTGTATATGTATAAGGATGGTTTAGTAAGATTTGCTACTCAGAAATACTCTACAAATTCAAAGGATCTAACTAAGAGATATATTCATTTAACAAATTTTGCAGTGAATAAATTATCACCCAATTTTGTTAAGAATTAAAACACTTAAAAAGATGATGAAGGATCAAAGTGGTCTCATCATGCTTATAGAAAGAAATTAGATGAATTAGGAATTGATTCAAGAGAACTATTTAATAGAATTAAAGATGTAGTTCTAAAAACATGTATTGCAACAGAACCATTTATGTTGGATAGCAATGCTAAATCTCAAGAACATAGAAATGGGTATTTTGAATTATATGGATTCGATGTATTGATTGATGAAAATCTAAAACCATGGGTATTAGAAGTTAATGTTTCACCATCTCTTAATTCTAGTTCACCCCTTGATAAAAAGATTAAGACTTCATTAATATCAGATGTTTTACATCTAGTTGGAGTGCCTCTTTGGGATAAGAACAACTAAAAAATTTCATCTCCTCCTAAATATAATCAAAGGAATATAAAAGAAATTCCAAATATTAATACTTCCAATTGTTTGAACAAATTATCTTAAAATGATTTTAATATGCTTATTCACACTGTAGAAGAAGTCAAAAGAAGAGGAAAGAATTTTTCATGTGTATTTCCAAATCCTAAAACTATTCACTAATACATGGATCTATTTGAATTTCCTAGATATAATAATAAACTAATTGAACGCTTTTATTAAGACAGATGTAATTGGTTGTCTAGATTTAATTGATTATAATATGAAATTCATTTGTTATCTATTGAATTAATATGTTATCAAGTTAAAAATACTCTAACGCATTCATTTATTTTAAATGTCTATTTTGTTACTATACAATAAACATATCCATTCTACTATTCACTCATCTGTAATAATGATTATTAACTGTAAACTTAATTATTAGGTAACATCATAGGTGGATTATTTTCATCCATAAGTTCTCCTGAAATTCTGCAAATCCAAGTTGATCCTAATTTTTATGTTGTTAGCAAGTCCTTTGATAATTCTTGCATTTATTTATTACAAATAGGACATCTATTCATTTATTAGTAATTTGTTTAATCACAATATTATGTTTTTAGTGTAGTAATTCCACATTTTATACAGCTTAATAAAGGAGATTCCTTTGGATAACAATAAATATTATATAATTCTTATTTAAATTATCTAATTAACATATCCCATCGTTTATCATCAAAATACTATTAGTAGGTAGAAGGTATACTCTTTTCTTTTATAAATATTAAACATCCCATAGCTTTTAAAATGCTCTCTTCATTCATATGAATTTGGTAGTCTCTTATATAATTCAAAGCCAGATTTACATCTTGTTTCAAATATTCAATATACTATTAAAACACTAAATCGTTTTAAAATGCGCTATTGAATTTTTTGTATTTACTAGAATTTTGTGAGCACCATTTATAAGCAAACTTGATAGATTTACTTTTCAAATCTTAAATTATTGTATTAGCCTCTATAATAATTTCTTATTCAAAAGATGTTAGGTTCTTTTATAATATTTTTAATAATACATCGATTTAGTAAGATTGAATTAATTTTTATGCAGTTTTGAAGTAACCTTCTCTTAATAAATTATCAACAAGTGATCTCTATAATTTTATTTCATTTCCACATTATTCACATTTTAATCTTTAAAGATAAGATTCTAAATATTTTTTTTCATGTTCTTAATTTTCCTATAAAGCCTTCTAAATCGCCCTTATTTTCTCTATTACCTAATCAGCCTTCCCTTATGTATTAATATGAGAAATTTCACTTAAGGTGATTGTAAGATCATGTTCTAATTATTTTCTTTTACTCTTAAATTCTAAAATCTAAGGTTATACATACATTTAACAATAACTTCGAAAGGTAACCTAATGTAAGAGTAATCAATTGATTATTCAATCGCCAATGCCATTTTATAGTTTATTTAAATAACAATAAGAATATGAGACAAATTTATTCATCTTGATTTATAATCATATTATATAAAAAATATACCAAATATCATTCTTTTTACATATACTAATTCGATCGTGTTTTCTAATTTTATCTAATGATATATTTTGCTTTTCAATAATACTAAAGACTTTTAAAAAAAGTAATAACCAATTTCAGAAAAAAATTAAAAAAAAAAGCAAAAATAAATATGAAAAAGTAACACTGATTAAATTTCATGGTGCTTGTGATATCAAATTTATTTTTGTTCATTCTAAATTATTTTCTAATTCAATGAAATTTTCCATTATTCATATCACTTATTAACTCATTAGATTAAAATTACATTTTATAGTAACCATGTTTCTAGTTTTCTTGTTTATTTGTAAATGTACTAATAACAAACAACTTAGAATCAATGTTGAGAATATGGTAGTAATTAATATTTTTTATACTATTTGATAAGGCTTTCAAATAATAAAATTTCAGAACGAAATGATTCGAATATCTATCTGATAATTTCAACTGCAAAATCTTAATTAATTCGTAAGCCATAAAGCATAGTCCATCAAGATCAACAATTTAAAATTATCAATCCAATTAAAGAGATACGTTAAAAAAAAACGCATTAATTTATTGAAATTATTGAATTTATGCACTTCTTTTTTAATTTAATTTATATAATAAACAACTAAAAAATAGGGAAAGTATTTCAATGATATTAATTGATAAATTGAAACCTAAATTTGTAAAGGTCATATTAAGCTTCAATTAAAATCAAAATTAGAACCGTCACTTTGATTCTAATGGAATATCTTAAACAAAATTGTGAATGAGAAATAGTAGGAATAATTTTTTCAGTCTTTGATATATTATTTTTGTAAATAATTAATTTAATATAATAACATGGGATAAGAATAATCTGTAAAATATTTAGTAATAATATTAGAATTTGCCCTCGAATAACTTGGTTGTTTAATTACATATGCAGAATTATGAAAAATTGACAAAATTGATAGAATAGAAATTATCTGATTAAACATTTACAATTGATAAAAGAATAAATCAAGTATGAAATAATGGATCTTTTAATTAGATGGATGATACTCTTCTCCACTATGCAGCTTTTAAAAGAGACAAAAAATTAGTATAATATTTACTATCAAAAGGTGCTTCACCTAATTGCAAAAATTCGGTAAGTAGATATATTTGATTTATAAGAGGAATCTAACTCCTGGAGATGTAACAGATGATCAAGAAATAAAATTAATGCTAGAAAGTAAATGAGAATTTAATGAATCACACAATAATAATATATATAATCAATCAAATTATAAAATAATTATTAATAATTAATATGAGCGCTAAAAAGAATACAAATCAATTTGAGCAGGATTCAGAAGAGGAATAAATTCAAAAGAAAATTAAGAAAAATGAAGAGTAGAAGAAAAGTGATGAATAAAATGATGAGGAATTTGAAGTTGACTCAGAATTACAAGAAGACGAAGAAATTGAAGATGATGGTAATTAAAACTAAAATATTATAGGTATCTAAACCTCTTCTCATTCCAGTATAGATATATAGGCTTATTTATAACAAAGAGATTAAATTCCTGATGAAGATGATGATGATGATGATAATTAACAGAAACAAAAGAAATAAACTTAACAAAAATAATAATAACAAAAAGTGTCTAAGAAATAGTAAGATGATGATGAAAATGATGATGATGAAGATGATGATGATGATATTGAAGATGAGGATGAAGATGATTAAGAATAAGTAGATGATGATGATGAAGATGATGATGAAAATGATCAACCACCTTAAAAGAAATAAAAAGTTTAACAATAATAATAACCATAAAAAAAATAAAGATGATTTTTTATTAAGTTTATTTATTTATGCATGCTATTATTTATCATTTTTTTACTTTTGATATTAGATTTTTGTAAATTCTATAAAATTACTTTGATATTTGTTGTTAATAATCATTCATATTAATTCAATAACTATTATTAGATAGCATAGTGTTTAATGTTCTATTATTCATCTGCCTCTCTTAGTCTCTATTAATAATTTTATCGCAAATGATTAGGTACTATTTGATCAACTCCTCCCCTTTATTCACCAGTTAATATATTAAAACATGTATTTCCTCGAGTATCTAAATTATGAGCCCTTACAAATTATCTCACTTTGGCTTTATCATCAAATTATCTCAATTAATTGCCTTATTCACTGTTATCATATTTTAAAGTAATTGGATTATAAGCAAGCCTAACCAAAACAATTAATTCCTGATTTACCCGTTTGAATTCCTTTTCCCTTAAGTTAATTATTGTGTATGACTCATTAGTTTTACTTAATCTTTGGTTTCCACTTTTTCTTAATAATCCCATTTTCTTGTTTCTCTATCCAATCCGTCCAATCTCTTTCTTTCTATTATCTTTTCTCTTTGCCAAACTTCATGTTCTCTTTGCTTTTTGTCTGCTACTGCAAAATCTTTATCAAATCTTTCATTTTCTAGAATTACTCTATTCATACCTGGAACATACAAAGTGGACTAAGGAGGTGCCTAATGAATCAATGTTCCAACTCCTAATCCCCTAGCCTCAAATCCAACTGTTTTACTATTATAGATTTAAATTACCTCTCAAATCGATCCTACTCTTCTCTATTCTATCTTTATCTCTTAATGCTTCCTATATATTAATTAAATTTAAATACTCTTTCTTGTCTTGTCCTAGGTTATATGTTAATCATTAATATAATAAAATAATTAACGAATTCTTATGGGAGGATCTTGCTGTAAAGATGAAAATTTAGAAACTAACAAAGAAATTAGAAATGTCCCTAATAAACCAATATTCTCACATGCTGAAAACCTACCACCTAGAAGCTAATAAACCAAATAAAATCAAGAAATCAGAACCCAACTTTTGTAACCAACAATCCCAATTCAAAATCAATAACTTCAAATTCCTGTCATACATAATGGATTAGTGAAAGAAATGCTTACTAAATTAGGAGAATATTAAATTCCTTAATCAATTACAAATGAAGGATTAGATGTTACACCTCCAATTTAATTTGATGATGGTTCAATCTACGTTGGAGGCATAAAAAATGATCTCTTTCAAGGATATGGAGAAATCTATTGGGATGATGGGACTCATTATTGGGGCTAATTTAATAAAGGAACCAAATCTGGACATGGTAGATTGATATACCCTGATGGAGATGCATATGTATAAAAACTAAACTTAATAAGGAAGGTGAGTGGTTGGATGACAGATAACATGGAAAAGGAAAATATTGGTATTCAGATGGAGGTATTTATGATGGAAGGTTCTTAAATGATTTAAAAGTACATTTTATTAAGCTTATTACTATTAGCATGGTTTTGGTAAAGAAATTTTGGCTAATGGAGAAACATACGAAGGAGATTTCAATAATGGGAAAAGGCATGGAAAAGGGAAATTGATAATGGCTGATGTTATCTTTGAAGGTTTATTTGAAAATGGATAAATGGTCGATGGAGAATATAAATGGAATGATGGAAGAAGATATAAGGGCTAAATATAATTCAATAAAATACATGGCCATGGAGAATTTTGGTTTCCTGATGGAAGATATTACAAAGGTATATTAATTCAAATAATTTTAGGCTATTGGGTTGAAGATTAAAAAGAAGGATAAGGAGAATTTCATTATTCTGATGGATCAATTTATGTTGGGGAATGGAAAAAAAATAAATAAAATGGATATGGGAAATTCACTAATAAAAATGGAGAGGTAATCAATGGTTAATGGGTTGATGGTTCTATGGTAAAGTGAGACATTAAATGTTTTATTATATTAACTTAATTTTTATTGAAAATGTATTTATTATTATTATTTATTTATTGATTTTCTAAACTTATACACAGAATAATTATATAATAAGTTTAATTTGTATTATCTAAAATGTAGATTCAATATCTTCTCTTAGGTGTATCATAAATTCTACTTTAAACAAAATTTATTTCATCTTCTATGGCTCTTTCTCTCTCCTTTCTTTCAATTTCAGCCTCTAATTCCAATCTTTTTATTCTCTCCTAACTCCTTTATCTTTCATATTCTAAATCTCTTTCTATTTTCTCTAATTATCTACTTCTTTCTAAGTTTCGATGCTAATTCTCTAATTGCTAAATTCTTAATTCAGATTCTCTAAGCTATTCTATTTTTTCTCTACTTAATTTCATCTCTTGCATTGTTTTTTCCTACTCTCTGCTCTTTCTCAATGCCTCTATCTAGTCTATTCTCTCTCTACTCTTTTTTAATTCTTAAAGTCTTTCTTGACTTCTTTTTAAATCCATCTCTTATCTTTCTTTTTTTTACAATTCTAACACCTCTTAGTAGGTTTTTAATTCCTCCATTCTTTTTCTTTACTTTTAAAGCTCTTCAATCCTCTCTCTAGAATTTTTAAGCTATTCCATTTTCTCTTAATTTTTTCTTTCGTATTCAAGTTGTTATAGCTTTTCTCTACTCTTTCTTAAGTCTTCTAATCGTTCTCTACTTTTCTTTAATTCTTCAATTTAAGCCTGTCTTTCTCTGCTTTTTTTTAATTCTTCTAATTCTTCCATTTATTATCTACTTTTCCTTAACTCTTCCAATTAATTTAATCTCTCTCTACTTTTTTTTAAATCCTCTAATCTTTCTCTACTTTTTTTTAAATCTTATAAATTATCTCTACTATTTTTTAGATCTTCATATTTTTCTCTACTTTTTTTGAGTTCTTCCAATCTTTCACGACTCTATCTTAACTCCTCTAATTGTTCAATTTTTTCTCTACTTTTTTTTAGATCTTCTAATTATTCTAAATATTCTCTGCTTTTTTTGAGTTCTTCAATTCTTTCTTTACTTCTTATGAGAGCATTTAATTCTTCTTTCTCTTTTTCCAATTAAATTATTCTTTCTCTACTGTTTCTTAATTCATCTATAAATTATCTTTCTTATTTAAAATAATCTGGTGTAAAAGTTATTGCTTCTAATAATTCAGAATAATTGATCTTTCCATCTGCATCTTTATCTACAACTCTAAAAAAAGCAAGTAAATCATCAAATGACAATCTAACTCCATTATATTTCAAGAAATCTGAAAGTCTAAATTATATATAAAATTATCTCACGTTTCAATTGTAATATATCCTAAAAATGTTTGATCAATACATCTAAATGCATCAAGAGATGTAAAATCTGCGCTTCCAGTCAAAATTTCTTATGCTGTTGCAATTGAACTAATCTCAAAAAGACAATAATTACTTATAATTTTAAATTTCTTAATAAAAGACTTTAGAAAGTCCCCATTCAACTTCAGTAGGTAATAACATGTTAATTTCTAATGCATATGAATCCCTTAGAGATGCAATTTACCTAAGTCTTGAGTCTTCTTTAGGTAGTATTGACTTAACAAAACTAGACTCATAGAAATATTGCTTTACTCTGGATATGTAATTCTACCATCTCTATTTTAATCTAATTTCTAAAATAAATAATCTGCTTAGGCTTTAGATGCATTTATTTTATTGTCCATTAAAAAATCAACCAAATCCGAAGTAGTTAATTCTCCAGTTCTCAATTAATCTAATCTTTTGAAAGCAGTGTAAGGCTCAAACATTTTTTGTTCAGCCAATACTTATCTGAATATTTCTGTCTTCTTTTCCCCTTCAGCAATTATAGTAATTAAATTAGCTAATCGTAATTATGTTTTTTAAGAGAGGTACATGATCAAATAAATTTTATTAAGCTTAAATAAAAATTAATAGCATTATTGTTATTTTGGTGAAATATATCAATTAATTAATTAATTAATGAAATTCATCAAATATTCATTTTCCATTGCTGCCAAGTATCGTTCTTTATCATTAACTTATTTTTCTATTTAAGATTTTTAATTGTGAAGATCATCCTTAACTATTATATGTATTTTATAAGACTTGTAATTTAAATTTATTATTCAAATTTACTTTAATAATTCTTGAGAAAGCTTTACTCTGATGGAAAGTGCAATTTATAATGCAAATGAACAATGTTTCACAGTAGGTTTCCAATAAATGGTTATTTTAGAGCCTTCAATATTAATAAATTCTTTTTAGATAACATCTAATTATCCTAATGTTTGAGGTATTTCTGGATCTCTAATATTATAAATAATATAATAGATGTCATCAATAATATTTTGCATTATTTAATTATTTATAATACCGTTAATAATTTGATTATGAAATCTCAACCATTGTAGTAAATTAACTTAAATACCAAGCACCAAAAAAAGAAGAGTATTAATGGAAGAAATATATATGAAATTGGGGGTAAATATAATTTTAATTAAAGGAACACAATTTGTTGTCGATGAGCGCTATGAATGTCATAAACAAATAGGGCATGGTGCCTATGGAGTTGTATGTTCAGGTGTTGATTTAGTTAAAAATAAAAAGGTTGCGATTAAAAAAGTATTAAAACTTCAATTATAAGATTTAAAATGCATTCGAAGATCTCATAGATGCAAAACGAATTGTGAGAGAAATTAAGCTACTTTAATTTTTTTAACATGAAAATGTTATCAGCTTAGTTGATATTTTAAAACCTGAATCAAGAACTGGATATAATGATATTTACATAATAACTGAACTGATGGAAACTGATTTACATAGAGTAATCTATTCTAGATAAGAATTAACTGATGAACATATTCAATATTTTATGTATCAAACACTTAGAGGATTACTCTATATCCATTCAGCAAATGTAATGCATAGAGATTTGAAACCAAGCAATATTTTAGTCAACAAAAATTGTGATTTGAAAATATGCGATTTAGGATTAGCTAGAGGTTTTGAAATTGAAGATGAAAATAAAACAGAGTAATCATCTATTATATATTTATTAGATATGTAGTTACAAGATGGTATAGAGCACCAGAAGTAATTCTTTAAGCCTCAGAATATACTAAAGCAATAGATATATGGAGTGTTGGATGCATTTTTGCAGAGCTTCTAGGGCGTACACCTCTATTTCCAGGAAAGGACTATTTAGAATAAATTTAGAGAATTATTGCTGTTTTAGGAACACCTTCAAATGATGAAATGAAATATATTACTAATGAAGGTGCAATCAAATATATTAAGTAATTCATTATTTGATTTTTAGATCTTTGCCTAAAAGAACTAAATAAAATTTCAGTACTTTATTTTAAAAAGTTAATCCAACATGTTTAGATCTTTTATCTAAGATGTTAACCTTTAGTCCTTTTTAAAGATATACTGTTGAATAATGCTTGAATCATCCATATTTTGATGGATTGCATTCTAAAGATGATGAACCTCTTTGTGATTCTGTTTTTGATTGGACTTGGGATAAAATGGAATTAAAAAAGGAAATATTATAATCAGCTGTATATGATGAAGCAACTTAATGGTAATAAAAGCACAAAATAAATTCAAAAAAGTTTTGACCATTAAAATAATACATCACTTTTTGTAAGCATTAATATTAAATAAATTTCATTTTTGAACATAATCATTTGCAAAAGAATCCAATAATATAAAATAATTGCATAATAAATTTATAGAGATTTACATTTTTCTTAGTTAGTTATAAAAAAATCTAATAAATTTTTTTTCAAAATATATTGCTTATCAATATAATTATTAAAATATAGAAAATTAATGTCATCCAAAAGTTATGATCGATAAAAAATATTGAATATAGAAGCAAATGTTGGTTTGACAAAAGAGTAGTATGAAAAAAAATATTTATTTCATCGATTAAAGGAGAGATTTTTACATAGCTCTGATTTATCATTAGAGACAATCACTCCAGAAGGACATGAAAATATATATATTCCTATGGATATTCAAACTCCTACTTAGGCAGATGGTCTAAGTTATGAAGATGAATAAGCCTTAAGAATGCATGGAGCTCAAATATGTTTTCAGGCCTGCAATCATTTAAAATTGCCTCTAACTACAGCCATTACAAGTTTAGTAATTTATCACAGATTCTTTGCAAAGTAAATAATGATTTTAAGAATTAGGAATTCTTTTGTTGATTATGATTATCGTGAAATTTCAATGGCTTCTATATATTTAGCAGGCAAAGTAGAAGAAACAGTGCTAAAAACTTGGTATATTGCTAGTACTTTTAGCTCTGTATTTTAGAAATAAAAATAAACACCGTTGTAAGAATGATAAAGATATTAAATAGGGATATTATAATTAAATAGGAAAAATTAATACTGAGAGAACTTGGGTTTGAATTATTTAGAGTTTCAGATCATCCGCACAAGTTCATAGAATCATTTTATCATTTTATTAAGGTCGATAAGCAGGTAGCTCAAAAGGCATGGTGTTACTTGAACGATTCATACATGACTGATTTATGTGTACATTTTCCACCTTAAGTAATTGCAGCAGGAGCTTTGTATTTAGCTTTGAGAATCTGTAATCATCCTATGCCTACTTAACCATGGTGGATTCTATTAGAAGCTACTTTAGATTAGATTGAGTAAGTGGCTGCAACAATATATAATATTTATGAATTTGAAAAGATTGATTTTAGATAAGCCAAAAGAATATTAGCAAAAGCCAATAGAGTAGCTTATGTAATTTAACATAGTGAAATTTATGGTATTCCAGAGAAAATTGAAAAGCCATTAGAAACTATTAAATAAATCTCTTAATAATAAGAATAATAAAATAATAAGGTAGAATAATAAAAATCACCAGTTGATAAGAAAAGTATGAAAAAAAAAAGTAGGTCTAATGAAAAAAAAAGTAAGGATAAAAAGAATAAATCTGAGAAAAAGAAAAAGAAAGATAAAGATAAAAAGAAAGAAAAAAAAGATAAAAAAAAGAAGTAACTATATAATTACTATATTATTAGAAGTAGATCTAGAAGTAAATCTAATGAAAAAAAATAATCAAAGAAGGATAAAAAGAAAAATAAAAGTAAAAAAGAATAAGATGGATAAGAAAAGTATAAAAATAAGGATTCTGAGATAGTTATCTAATAGGATATAAATTAAATTGAAACAAAAATGGATATTGAGACACCAAATGATTGCAATAACAATATAAAAAGCAACAATAATAATATCTAGTAATCAAGCACAGGTAACGAATAAAAAAAGGATGACTAATTGTGCCAAATACCTATTGTTGAATAGACAAATAAAGAACCAAATCCTTAAGCATAACATGTTATTAATGACGTTTAGTAGCCACAATAATTGCATGATGAAAAAGAATAATTGAAAGTGTAATTGCCTTTATAGAGTAAATAGGATTTGATTGCTTCAATAAAAGCAATTCTAAAAACTTAATAATTATAGAAGGAGAAAGAAAAAGATTAAGATAAAGAGAAAGATTAAGATTAAGATTAAGATTAAGATTAAAATGTAGAATAGTCTCCAGATGAATAAGATTCAGAAGAAGATGAACAATTAAAAGCACTTAAATTAAAAAGTAACTATAAATTAATTTTTTAGTGTTAGCAAAAAAAAGAAATGATTTATGAGCTCTGTAATATAAATTCAAAGAATATATATATTTAACTTATCTTTATTCTAAATTATTTTTATTATCATTATTATGTAAATCATCTTCCATCTTATTGATTTGAATGGTATTTATTAATATAAAATATATATTCATTTTATTTCAAAATACTTTATAATCCATCAAATATTATAAGTAATTACAATAAGGCTGAATAATTTGATAGTTAAAATGAAAGACCAATAAAAAAATTAAGCATCAGGATTCGATTATCTATATATAACTGAGGAGATATCAAAATATCATATATCATCATTTCGTTAAGTTCCAATCATTAAACCTAAGAAAATATCTGATAATCCTTTTTATGCTTTAACAATGCATAAAAGGAAAACAACTCCTAAAATAATTTAAAGAGTTGAATAAAATGAATAAATTACAAAAGCATTTCCAAAAAGAGAATATAGACATAAAATGAGATCCAGAACAATTACAGATAACTCAAGTGTTGAATTACCTAAAATTGTAGAGAAAAAATGGGAACCAAAGAAAGCACATATGTATTATAATTTGAATTATTTGATATAATAAACAAAGAGAGGTTTGAAAACAATTCATTATTGATTTTTTAAGAAAAAATTATTGATAAATTAAATAAAATTGAACTGTTAAACTCTTATTTATTATTGTTATTCGATTCAAGAAAAATAAAATCTATAGGAAAATCTAAAATAATATCAAATCCCTAATTATCCCTTAATTTGAATTAGATCCATATTTAATTCTTAAATTCATTATTTTAAAAACTAAAATTATAATACTTCCAAAATTTAATTTTATAATCCTTACCTATTTAATGTATGAAATATAAATCCATATTATTAAATTATAATAACTGTTTATACAAAATCCACTTACTATTCTTATATAAATGGATTAATATTAATATAAGTTACAACATATATATATTATAAAGTATTGTTTAACATCTTCAGATTTAAATTTATTTTTATTATTAATTAATAATCTTACATCTTTAATTTCTATTGACATAAATAAATAATTATTATTTATGAATATATATTTTGTTTTTATTCTTGAAATTAATAGTTTATTAGATTGTAAAATGATACATTTCATATCAAAAACTATTTAAAAAAATTACTAAATTTTTTACTTTGTTCTAATGTAAATTAATGTAATTATATTAATATATATTAATCAATAATGAAATAATTCGGCAATAAATCCTTTAAATAGAACATCAAAAATAAGATCATCTGCTTAATTATTTAATTAAATTGCTAAATCTAAGCAGAAAATCATTCTTTATATTATGTTTTAGTAAATTTCTTATTTAAGTTAGAAATCAGAATATTATATTTCTATTTGTTCCATTTCATTTTATAGATATACTATTATATGAATTTTATTTTATTAACTATTATTTCCTGAAAAGCAATGAGCTTTGAGAATCTATTAAGTTGGTACTTTCCACAATTTATTAAAAATTTTTTACATAAAATGTGTACGAATAGATTTGAGATGGACATCCCAAGATTCTAATTTAGAAATCATAAATTTATGTTGCTTATCTCCTTTAATTCTAGCTGAGTGATTGTTCTTTTTTTATGTTTTATCGTTAATTTTAGGTACTAGTGTAAATTATATGTATGTACTTGACTTAAATTTATTCATTTATAATTTATTGGCATAATCTAATACTTTAGAAAAAAAATCAGATCCTCCAATTACTTTACTATTGATTGAGCTCTTAAATTCAAATAAAATGTCATATTATTACTACATTGAAATTGGTTTCAATTACTATGGTTATTGTTACCCTGTACTAAATTAATCTTCCATATCCATATTATCAATAAATGAGAATTCTTATCTTAATAGAATGGTTATAAATACCAATTGGTAAAAATTTATTTCTCTCAAAATCAAGATCAGAAAATGCAAAGTTATTAGTATCTCCAAAATTAAAATATTCATCTGTAAATGAGTGTTCTTCTGGTATACGAAATTGATCAGCTTAAAATATGCTTACTTCTGAATATTATGTCATTCCATTTAAATTCTGATTCACCAACAGTAAAAAAAAACAAAAAATTTGTATTAAAGTAGCAGAATCAAACTTTTTACCTTTTTTCCAGTCTTGAATTTCTTTTAAATTTAGCATGTTATTAATTATAAAAAAAATATAAATATTTTCTAAAATCATTTAAAAAACTTTATCAATAAATATTCTGACCTATTTTTCTGCTTTATATTCTATTCTTTATTATTATTTTCTCTAAATCAAAATAATAATCAGAGAAAAAAATGTAGATTAAGAAAAGAATTGAACATTGCTTATAGTATTTATTAATTAATATAATATTAATAGAATTTTTGAAATAATATTTAAACAAATGATGTAAAATTTTAAATCATATAATTCACAGTTTATTAAAAGCTCAATAATAGTATAAATATTAAAAAACCAATATAGATGTTTCAGATATCTCATATTATTATTTTTATTAATATTAATTAGTTTTCTATTAATATTTTAATGATCTTAAGATAAAAAATTTATAGAAAAGCGCCAATTACTTATTCATAATGTTCATTAAAATTGTAAGAAACACTACACTTAGAATTAATGTTATCACTATTATTGAATGATTAAAATTTAACAGTTTCAAAAATCAAATATTTAATTTGTATCTTTTATTGCCTTTAAATTCTAAAGAAGTATGAAGTCATATTTTCTTAATTGTTTTACAATTGTTTTTTAAATCCTAAAAATACATCTTACCAAGTTTTTAATGCAAATTTTAACACTATTTGATGAAATTTCCATTTTCTTTATTTATTTATAGGATAAATGTTTTCCACTTTTATTTGCCTCTTCTTCAATTTCAAATTTCTACCTAGATCTTTTAAACAATTTCCAGAGGAATTAAAAAGTTAATCTATTAAAAGAATTATATGATAATCTCTAAAGGGGTTATTCTAAATTAATGTAATAGTTAAATAAAGCCTATATTATTATATTTCATTAAAACAATTAAATTAATCTACCCTTCATAAAATATCTATTATTTTACCAGGTAATCTAACTATTATTTCAATTAATAAAAATTGAATACATTTTCAGTTGAATAATTGCTTAATATTTAATATTTAATAAAATTATAATTATAAAATTATTGCTTAATTTTCTTTAAAATCTTAGGTTAAATCTATTAATAATTTAATATTAAAAATACAAACTCAAGTTTTTTATTTTTCCTTTATATTCTTAGATATTAGAATATAAATAGAATTTAATGATTTTTTTTATTTTTAACTTATTTACTATGTTGTATTATAAAAACTCATATAATTAATGAGTTTATTGAAGTTTATTATTTAATAAACTAATGAAGAGATTAAGAATTTATGAAATAATTTTATAATGCATTTTTATTTATTCAGAAAATTAGAAACAACTATAGTTAATTTTATATATAAATATATAATTTCGAGATGAACGATGAGTTTTTGACTTGTGCCAAGATAATTGAATTTTTTTGGCTATTGTTAGCATTTGTTTTCTTTTTTTTTGCTGCTTATGCTAAATTCAGATTAAAAAAGGAGATTCATTTAGATATTGAGAATTTGAATTCGAATCACACATCAGTTAAATATTAAGTTCCTTCATAATAAGGAGATGCACAAGAGATTCATATGGTAGATTAAAATGTTTCAAATTCTGGATAATTATAATCAGTAGCTTAATAAAATAAAGAACCACCTGTATGTTTAAAAATCAATATTAGACAAAATTAGAAGAATTTTACAAGAAGTCATTAAGTATTACAAGTAGAATATTCCCTTAATTGGCTGTTGTTATTATTTGCATTTTAAACGGGGCTAGTTATGCATTTGCAGTAGCTTGCGTTATTTTATACTTTATATCAATCCTTTTATTTAATATACTGCAAATATAAGATTGTTTAGGGTCTTAAGGAATGAAAAGTATTTTAAATTTATTATATTTTGAGATATGTTTAAGTTGACAAATAACATTTGGTTAATATGTCTATTCATAAATTATTTAGCTAGTTCATTATTTTGATTTTTATGATATTTTATAAAGGTTTTAGATATAATTAATTAAACAAAAAGTATCTTTATATGATTCAATTTTTGAATTTAGTATATAAAACTTGTTATTTTTTATCAAAAGAAACCTTCTTAATAGATCTTTGAGAGCCAGCTGAAAGTGAAATATTTGAACTCTCTTATCCACTCCTTTTTCTTAGAATAGGCTTTTATTTAGAAGTATCAGCGAATGAATTTTTTTGATCAAAAGAATTATTTAGATTGCCATTGTATGAATTATTCATATCATCATTTTTTAATTTGGATACATTGATGGCTTCAATGGCAAAATTTTTCTTAATCCAGGGGTTTTATTGTTGACTGTCTATCTCTTCAGATTATAAAGCTGTATAAAAGAAGAGTTGATCAACTTGTCTTTCATTTTATAATTGAGATAATTCATTTTTTGGAGATTCTTCCTTCTCAACCTATTCATCAGTTATCAAAATACTGATAATTGGAGTAGGTCTAAATAAATTAGGTGGGCCATTTAATTTATTTGAATGTTATGAAATTGTTTTTATTTCCACTTGTGTCTATTGTGATCCTTTAACACAAATTGATGTACCCATACTTGTAAATTGTTAATATTTTAAATAAGATAAAAAAATTTAATAAGTTTTTATAAATATGTTATGCCATTCTAATAATATTTTAATACTTTTTGTTATATCCTATTATTAATATCTTAATTATTAGAAAAATATATCAATTTTACAAATCTTTTCTATTTTAAACATACTATTTAGGATATAAATATTCTAAAGATTTTTTGGAAATAGATATTCTACTGGACATAGCTAGAAATTCCAAAAATATTGAAGATTTATAAATAATATTATCTATGAATAAGTTTTTCCTAAATAAAATTACACAAAAATATAATTTAATTATCTGATTCTAAAATTATTTCATTACTATAATGAAAATTAAATAAAAAGTTTTAAAAATTTTATTATTCTAAAGATACAAATAATTTAAATGAATTAATAATTATAGTTTAAATTAAAATATGATTTAAAATATATACATAATTAACATAATTGAAAAATTTATAAAAACTACAGGTTTAATAACAAAAAGATTTCATAATGATCATAATAATCATCAATTAATAGATTCAATGCTTTTATTCATCATCTACTTCATATATGGCTTATTATCTTTATTAATTGAATTTCGAGTATGTGAATTTCCTTTTTATAACACTTTATTAAATGAGTCTAGGACTATTACAAAAATTCATTCTTCCAGAATCAGGTGATTAAGTATCTGGTGTTAATGGATCAAAATCTTAAGTGGAAAACTTCTTAAATGCACTTTTCTTAGAAAAATCAGTAGGTGAATATTCGTTAAGAGCTAAATTTTTTTTTTTTGCATGTTATGCTAATCTAGGACTATTTAATGTTGGAATTCTATTTCTAGATGTTTCTTCTTCTTCATTGTCATCATCTCTTTATCGAGATCTTTATTTGATTTCTGGTAATTATAATCTATCAGATTTTTCAGTTTTGAAATTTGATGTTTACCAAGGTTTACTATTATTATTAATTTACTTTTTAGATGATTAAAATTTCATTTTTCTATCAATAAATGTTCCAGTAAAAAATGGATGATCTAAAGCTTATTATGCTGAAATCCTTTAATGTGGTACAGCCTATAACATTTAAGATATTAAATCAATAGCTAATTAAGGAGTTGAATAGATATAAAGAGTATCCAAATTTATTACGCATTTCTTGTTTAACTTAAGAATTTCATGATAGTCATTTCCTGGAAATAAATCTTTAGATGTAATTCTAAGGGTTATAATAATATTACAATTTATAGAATATACAACCAACGCTGAACATATCACAAATCTTATCATATTTAAAGCTAAGATCTTTGAGATTGGCTATTTCTGGTGCTACATATCCAGGAGTACCACATTTAGGAAAAGGATAAGTTGCAGCAGTTTGCCATGTAGCTAATCCAAAATCTACTATTCTCAATCCATGTATATCATTTTGTTTTTTAAACATTATATTTTCTGGTTTTAAATCTCTATGCATTATATTTAATGAATGCATATGTGCTACTGCAGTTAAGATAGCCTTAAAATTTAATTGAATTAATTACAAACATGATAGACCTGATTTCATCCCAATCTAATTATATTATTCCTTTAGAAATCAAATCATGAAGTGAATTTCCTTTCAAGTATTCTAATATGAGATAAAATGTAGTTTCTCCTTCATATACTTCCTCCATCTTTACTATATATTCATGATCAAGAGCTGCCATCAAATTAATTTCATTAAACAAAGCTTCCTAATTAGATTATAAACAGATATTTTTACATAGCCTCCATCTTCCCTTAGATATCTCTTCTCAACATTTTTGGATGCGAATTCTTGTTTGTCGCATTTATCCATAACAAGATAAACCTTTGTATATAATAAATAATAGAATACTCTTGAAGAACCTCCTCTTCCTATTTATTTGATAGGTAAATAGAAATCACTCACATCTCTATACATTACTCTATTTCTTAGTAATCTCTTTAATTATTTAAATTCTTCAAAGTTTCCATCAAAATACTTAACCTCATCCTTGTTTTCAAATCCCATTTGTGTAATTTTTTGTCTATCCTATTACCAGTAGATTTTTTGTTAAAGATTAATTTCAAGAACATATTTTGGTTATTGGGAATTAAGTTCCTTTTCTAATATTACCTAAGAAATACTTGAGTCAAAATCAAATGGTTATCTATTACATATAAAAAGTAGGTTAGTTCTTTGCGAGTATTCCTACGTTAACAAACCATCTAGAAAGATGCATTTTCATACACAATATCAGTGATATTATTCATTTATTAAGCTAAATTATATTAATTTAAGTAAAATTAACAAAGTAAATATTTAAGAATTGCTTAATCATTAAAATTATTTATAATTAAGGGATAATCATTTATATTTTGTAATCTATATATTAAACTAAATGGTTATTTAAATAAGTATTATTTTATATATGGCCTAATTAAAAACTAAATATTTTATGATTCAGTATTTAATATATATATATAGTATATAAGTAAATAGAAAGGAGAAACAATGAAATTTGAGATTTTAGGCAAAGACTATGGCATTTGATTAGTTTTCTATATAATTAATTGACAATTTTTATATAAAAATTTAGATTTCTTAAAATTAATTGTGTAATTAAGAATGCCATATTTAAATCATTTTTAGTTTTCTTTCTTTAAGCTTTCACGTAAACGAATTCTTAATTTAATATAAATATCTACCTTTCTTTGGCTGATCTTTCCATATCTCCAATTTCATCACTTCCCAAACGATACATCACAAACAATATTACTCCAGCAAACCATCCCATATAGATACAAAAATAGAAAGCATTTTTCAATCTTAATTCTCTTGATTATGGTTTCAATTCTTCATCTAACTTTTAACTATCATTTTATATATGCTTTTACTTTTGAGCTAATTATTCTCTAGTCAACTAAGGACCTCTTTAAAAATCTTTATAATCTTATTTCTATCCCTTAAAATTGTATTTAGGAGGAGCATCTATTTTCTATCCTCCTTTTACAACATTCTCATAAAAATTCTTATAAATGTTCCTTAATTTTTACATTAATTATATATATATATCTATCCTTAATTTTTATTATAACTAAATGGGACAGTAGTGTTGTAATGTAAAAAATGCTTATGTTCCTGATCAGATACCAATAAACATTTATACTCCAGATCAAATTGATTATTAAGGACTTTAAAATACAAAATAAATGCTAGAAGTAGTCAGTTAGGGTTTTGATGATGATTAAAGCAACAGAAATATAATTGAAGATGAACATTTACCATCAGATGCAATGAAATTACATGAGATTCCTAAATTAGATAATCAAAAAGCAGAATCAATTAGACAATAACTTGGCTCTATCAAACTAAATTATGATTCTGAATATCCAATTTATCAACCTGTATAAATTGTAAATTACAAACCAAATGGAGATATTCATTCAATTGTTATTTATGAAGGTCAATGGTATAAATCAAAAAGAAATGGAGCAGGTATTCAATATTATCCTGATGGTTCAATTTATGAAGGTCATTGGTGTCATAACAAACATGATGGATTTGGTAGAATTATCTATGCAGATGGAGAATATTATATAGGAGAATGGAGATTAGGATAAACTCATGGTGAAGGAACATTAGTTACTAAAGAGTTGACTTATATAGGAAGATGGGAAGATGATTTATAAGTAAGTATATTTTTATATTAAGAATGGATAAGGTTATGAAAAAAAGATTAATGGTACTACTTATGAAGGATAATTTAAAAATGGACGTAAGCATGGATCAGGCTTAGTTAAATATTCAGATAATTCTTAATATAAAGGAAACTTTGTTGAAGATCGTTACGAGGGGATTGGAGAATATAAATGGAATGATGGTAGAACTTATGGGGGAGAATGGAAAAATAATCTAATGAATGGTAAAGGTGAAATGAGATACCCAAATGGAGATAAATATATAGGTATAATATTAAAATCATCATCTAGGACATTTTAAGAATGATAAAAAACATGGATTAGGAAAATTTATTTAAATGAATGGTAGATCTATTGAAGGAGAATGGGATGAAGGTAAATTAAATGGAGAAGCTAAAATAACAGAACCTAATGGAGAATCATTTTTTGCTAATTTTAAAAACGATTAAATTATTTGATATTGACATTATACTTTAGATTAATATTATAAAAAGCAATAAAAATTTGCCATTTTCATTTAAATATCTTATAAAAATTATTAATTTATAAGCGATCACACAAATTTTAATGACCTTAGAATAATCATAAAAAGAATATTTCGATTAATTTTAATTAATTCAATAATCTATGTAAAATTACTAGTTCTTAATTAAAAATATAGAAATTTTCAAATAATTAAGATTCTTGATTATAATTAGTTTATTTAATTATTAAAAGGATTAGACAATCAATATCAAATTACAATCAATTTTTTTGATAATAACCTTAATTTGTTCAAATAAAAAAGAAATTAGAATTTTTTATTAATTTTCACTTATTAAATTGTTAAATTGATTACTTTTGAATATGTGTGTAGATTGTTAAATTAAAATTCATTTTAGAAATCTTTACTATATTGTAATATATTTTTTCTTTGTTTTAAGCTCATTTGGTTAAATTTGTTTAGAGTATTAAAAATATCATTAATTTTATTAATTCAAATTTTTATGAGCTCCCTCTTTGTTAAATGTTTATAATGTAATCAAAGACCAGCAACAATAAAATGTCAATAGTGTAAAATTGGCTAAGTTGTCAGATTATGTTACAGCTGTGATTCACAGGTGCATAATAGATAAGGACCTATTGGTCAGCAACATAAGACAGAAATCATTCCTTATTAAGGTAATAATGCAAATTTAATATATCGTAGAAATGTATTAAAAAGCTCCTCAATCAGCAGGTTAAACAAACTAAGGAAATAAATTTGAAAATACTCAAATTGCTCAAAAAAAATAATAACCTTAACAGTCATAATAACCTTAACAGTCATAATAATCATAACAGTCATAATAATCTTAGGGATAATTTAAATTTGCAGCCACAACTAAATAAGAACCATCTTAATTTACTTAGAAGCCTATTACAAATGTGGGAAAACCACTTCAATAACCAGCTACAAGAGAAATTAATTTCTCTGGCACTAGATCAAACAATAAGCCAAGATATGATTAAAAAGAGGAAGAGCAATACAATAGTTCATAAAAAAATTCTGTAATTAATGTATCATTATGTAATATAGGATTAAAAAAATTCCTTAAATAACTAATTGAAGGAGGAGTAAGATACATGCTAATAACTTAAAAAAGAACTAAAATAAGCTTAGGATTAATTAAATTCCATAAATAAAGAAGTTGAAAAGAAAATGTAAATAGTATTGATTTAATTTTTTAGCAAGGCATCTTAATAGGAACTTGAGAAAAAACTTAATGATTTAAAAAAGGAAGGAGCCGAAGAAAAGAAGAAAACTTAATAATTGACTGAAGATGTTAAAAAGTTGAAAGAATAATTAAAGAATGCTGAATCTTAAACTTAAAAGAAATTGGATCAACAAAAAAAATAATATGAAAAATAAATGCAAGAAATGGAATAAACTATAAATGAGAAGCAATAATAAATTGATGAAATTGCTTAAGAATTTTAGAATTATAATCTAGAAGATATATAAGCTAAAATGGAAGAAATGGCAAATGATATCAATATGAAAGATTAAATTATTGAATAATTACAAACACAATTATAAAAAGGAGAAGGCAATTAAAATGGAGATGGATAAGAAGGTGATAAAGAAGAAATCATAGCTTAAATAGAGTAAAAGGATTAAGAAATCAAGAAACTAGAAGAGTTAATAGAGAATTTTAAATAATTATATTAACATATGCTAGATGAAAAATAAGTCATTATGGAAGAAAATGAAAAATTAGCAAATGAGAATAATCAATTCAGAGAAATATTTAGTGTATTATTAATAATAAGTTATATAGTAAAACTTACACTTATTTGGAATTGATCCTAATTAATTAGAAGAAGAAGGGGAAGGAGAAGGTGAAGACGGAGAAGGGTATTAACAAGAGGAAGGTATATATTAGACTCTATTAGGTGAGATAATTGAAGAAGATGAGACCAATGATACGTCTTGATAATATATAGTATCATTTTCCAAAAATATTATTACAAATTGTTATTTTTATTCTCAATATTATAAAGGTTCTAAATTTTACATCTATAATATAATATAATATTTCCTATATTCTACATTTTTTAAATGTTATATTTTATTATATTATATAATTAATAGCAAATTCAAATGATTAAAATATCAGATACCTATTTTCAATATAGAAATAGAATCGATTAAGAATTAAGAACTTCATATTTAAAAAATATTTAATTTTAAACTTAAATGATAATATAATATATATTAACAATATTTCAATTGAATATCATCTATTTATTCACATTTCTAGTAGACTTATTTAAAAGATTTCTTTTTCAAAGTTACATTCATCATATATATGTTCAGTTGTTCTTTTGTTTAATTTTTAATGTGGTTTAGTTACATATGCAGTTTAACAATCTAAAATAACTTTAAATATACATTGTAAAAATCTTTATAATCTCTTAAAGTATAATTCCTTCCATTATTATTCAATATCTCCATGGCCTCCATTTTCAACTAGCCAAACAGAAAATAAATGATTAGTATTTTAAGCCAATTATTCAGCATGAACAACATTAATCATAGAGTCAGCTCCTCCATGAAGTAAATATACTGGGGCTGTCACATCAACTATGTAATCAATATTAGGAAAAATATCATAATATGATGTTTGATCAATTGTAGGGTCAATCACTCTTAGTCCACTTGACAAACCAGAATGAATGATCAATCCTCCTACATTATGTCTTGAGGCTAAGTTAGTACTTGGTCCAGATCCTATACTATATCCATATATTATTATATTCCTTGGTTCAAATTACAATTGATCAACTAAAAAGATGTAAGCTGATTCAATATCATATAGTAAGTTTATATCAGTAGGATAACCAGTGCTTTATCCATATCCTGAATAATCATAGGAGAATAGGTTTATTTTACACTCCATGACGATATCAACATATGTATCAAACATCAAACCGATATCTGTAGAATTGCCATGACTATAGAGAATAATCTATTCGCTGTTTTAAAATTCAATATAAATAGACGCAATCAAATTGCCAGACTTGGACTCTAAAACATAGCTAGAAATAGGCAATCCAGGATTATTATCAATCTCCATAGCTTTCAATTCATTGCTTATAAAATTAAACTCTTGTGAGGGATATTAACTTATGTATTATATTGTTCATACTGCTAATTCTTTGGGTTTCTTAATTGTTACTTATATTCTGCACTTTATAGTGTGTTGTAGTATTTTATTCTTGGTGAGATTATGGAAAGATGTTCTTTAGTTAATTGATGTGACTATCTAATTGGTTGTTTGACTTGTATTAACGGTGATTGTGGCTCATCCAAAGTCCTAGATCTCTCTTCTTGCATCGGAGAGAGAGTAAGTGTTTTTATCACTTCATTTCTGTTTCGTATTAAATAACCTACTTCTGGGGGGTTGAATGCAACGTATTGAACTATAGTTGATCTGAGACATCTAATAATTGACAATAGCTTAAACAATCCAGTCAAAATTCTTCGAAAAATCAAATACATATATAATGAAATTATAAATTTTATCAATCAACCAAATTACATTCAATTTCTTCGTCTAAATGGGTAATTTTAAATATTAACTACTGCATACAAATGATAAATAAGTATCTTCAATATTTAAATCATTGATAATCATCATAACCAATTTTAATAAAAATATCATACTTTATAGAAGAGAAATCAATCAAAAACCTTATATGATTTAAATGAGTATGGAATATAATTTATAAAGTTAATAAATCTGAATATAAGTACTTAGAATTTATATAAAAGAATAAATATATTATTTATTAATAAGGTTTGAAGATGATATCAATTACTAAAAAGGTTCTAATAAGAAATTAAAAAATTAAGAATTAACTTACTTTAATCTAATATAAAGTATATTCTAAATTTTGTATTTCAAATTCAATCAATTAAGATTAGATAATATAATATAATTGCAAAATATTTTTAACATATATATATAATATATAATTTGTGTATTTTTATCATGAATTTTTACTATGATAATGGGTTTATTGATTACCTTGAACTTCTTGATGTTTATGAAGAGTTTGATTTTCTACTTTCACTTGATGATTTCCTAGATTATCTTCTATTTTATCTATTTTTTTTTAAATTTCTGCTTCTTCTTCTAGATTTTGATGAAGATGAAGAAGATTTGGATGAAGAGGATGATCTTCTTCTTTTTCTATCTCTTCTTTATCTTAATTCTTTTGTAACATACATTACCTTCTTGCATCACTAGGAGTTCTTGACATAGGACACTCTTTTTTGATATGGCCTTTCTTGTAACATCTATAGCATGTTTCTCGCAAATCGCCTTATTATAATACAATAGCTAAACCTTCCTTGCATTCATTTGCCCAATGGCCTTTGCGTCCACAATTGAAACACACATCTCTGGCTGTTGGTCCTCTTACACCTGAAGGTCGATCATCTTATCATCACACGATCAAATGTCATCCTACCTCTTTGTTTAACAGTGACACGATCACCACTAATCCTTCGCCCGTCCATTTATGATATTGCCTACTTAGCCTCATCTGAAGCTTCAAATTCAATGAAGGCATGAGTGCTTCGTAGATCAATATCCTTAATCTTTCCATACTTCTCAAACTCCTGTTATAAATCTTCCCGCCTTATTTTAGATCCCAATCTCCCTACATAAATTTATCGACTCATTCTACTATTTCCAAATATAATTATAAATAAATATATTTTAAATAAAAAATTCTGTTCTCATTCAAAATTTACTAAATCTACTTAGTTCCCTTTTTAACTTCTATATATCCATCTAATGTTCGGCTACTATTTAATTAGTATTTCTACTTGTAAGTAATAAGGCATAAATAAAAATATAAATCCCTAGAGTCAACTCAAATTCATTTTTTTATATCATCAATCCATTTTATAAATCACCTAATTTATGATATATGGCAAAATTTTGATAAATAATTTAAAACTTCATAGTATAAGAATATAAAAATATTTTTTAATCTTGAAATTATAATTACAGTTAAAGATTTAAAATGGTATTTTTCTGTTATATTTTGGTTTGTTTTAATAAATTGAATATATATAATAGTTTTATTAGAATTCCTTTATTAAATGAAAAATTCATATTCTTTGATATTAGACAGATACTAAAATATATCTACATTAATCAATTTTCAAATAAAATAAATGTTCATTGTCATTTAAATAAATAATAGTTTTAAGTTTCTTGAATCAATTACTAATTTATTTTAGAGAAAGTTAATGCCAAATCTCTTATTACAATTAATAAGTTAATAATTTAAATAAATAATTATTCTTATAAAAGAATAAATTGAAAATCATAGAATTATTATGCTATCATAGTAATTTTATAAAATATTTTAATTTTAAATAACAATTTTGAAATTAATTTTCCTAAATCGAAGGTTTTGTAAATAATTAATATTGTAAAAATTAATGTACTAATAATTGGATAGACAAAATAATATTAATTACTTAAACAGTCTATTAATCTATTTTATTAATTATCTATCTGTGTCCATCTAATTATATTCACTTAATTTACAATAAAAAAGCTTGGTAATTTGTTTTATTATTCTGTGAAAAAGTAACCAACCTATAAGTATCATATTTTCATTAATTATAGTATTCATCGGATACTGTTCAATTCTGCATCTAGTATGATAAATATATTACTTGCATATGAAGAATAATTTTAATTAAAGAAAATGGACAATTATGAACCAAAACCATATTAAAAATTTGATTGGGAAGAATACAATAGAAAAAGTGCAATTGAAAAGGAATAGTATGAAAAAATATCCAAAGAAATTTAAGAAACTTAGGAAAGATCAAAACAAACTTTAGCAAGCTTGGAGATAACATTCAAAAATCTTGATGAAGCAAAAACTTAAGCTAGATAAACTGTTGATAATATAGATAAGTTTAAAAAATAGTTCAGTGATGCTATGGATAAATTATTAGAAAATATTGGAAGATCTATGGGAGCAAATAATATTAAATCAGATGAATAAAATCCTAAAACTGCTCAAGAAGTTACTGTTGAATAAGCATCAAAACTAATAACTAAAAATGTATTAATATTATGTGGAGCTGGTTTAAGTTATGCAAGTGGAGTACCAACATTTAGAGGCAAAGATGGATATTGGACAAAAGGAGAAGATACATTTGAATGCCAAAAGGTTTTGACAAATGAATTTTTAACAAGTAATCCAGATTTATGTTGGGAATGGCATAAAGACTTTTAAAAGATGCTAATTAATAAAAAACCTAATGCAGGACACATAGCAATTGCCAATTATAAAAAGAAGAATCCAAATACTTTAATAGTATCATAAAATATTGATAATATTCTCACTTCTATACTACCTTAAAAATAAATCAAACATGGTCATTATGAATCAATCTATGAAATACATGGTAATATCAAATATATGAGATGCATGAAAGAATGCACTCTCAAAAAAGATGAATTAGCCACACTTTATGATATGCCAGATCTTACTAAGAATTTAAGACCAAAATGCCCTCAATGTGGAGAAGATGCAAGACCTCATATATTATTTTTTGATGAATCCTATACTAATGAAAATTGTAGGATCTAAGAGTTATAAGAAAAGTATGATAACTATGATACCATCATAGTGGTTGGTACAATGCTTGAAACAGGATGTGCTAAATCAACTGTTTGCAAATTTATTAAAAAAAAGGCCATTATAATTGAGATTAACCCAGAACCTATAATTGAAGTTGGAAATACTTATCAAATAAAAGGAAAATCAGAAGAAATCTTGCCAAAATTATTGAAATGAAATTTATTATATGTAATTCTCATTTAAATTAAATTAAATTATTTAGATTTTATTATCTCTATGATTTATGTTTCTTGATTTTATAAATATACTTTGAAAATTATGAATCTAATCTAGCAATTAAATTTATTACAGAATAGAAGATACAACTGAATAATTTGAATATAATATACTTATTATATAATTTTAGAATAACTAGATTCTTATATAAATGAATAAGATTATAATTATTAATATATCATATATTCATAACTAATATACATTATTATCCCATCTAAAAGTATTGCATTCATTAATATTATCTCCTAATTTGATAGCTAGATCAGTTGATAATATTCCAAATTCAAGATCATTTAGACTTACTTTATAATAAAGTAAATTATCCTTTATAAACAACTAATTTGCTTCAAAGTTTTCTGAATATCCATTTTAAGCTATCTAATATATATCATTTATATTACTATTTTCCATTAATTATCTACAAGTTAAATATCATTATATATTATTGGAGTGGATTATACTTTAACAAAATTGAATTCTCCCCAACATTTAGATACAAATCTATAATCTGCATGTCTTCCAGTCTTATTTTTAGTCAAGTTCTTATAAAAGAATTACTACTATTATTTCTTAAATAATACAAAAAATCTGACATCCTTAATACATGATGTAAAGTTTTTAGGTTCAGTTTCTTCTAAATATAGAAATCCTTTATGATCTATGAACATAAAATAATCTCTATTAAAGACACTCATTCGATATTTTATTTTATTCATCATTTTCTTTATATGTGTAAATTGTATTTTAATTTATTATAAATCAAAATAGTATTAACTTTGTTTTTTTTTGTATTCTTATTATTCCTAATGTATAAATCTGGGATCAAGTAAAAAGCTGATTTTTATTCTAATTTTAAGTTGAGTAGATTATTTTTAGTATAAATTTATGTATTATCTAATATAATAAAAGCACGGCATTTTTGATTAAGAATTTTAATTCAATTATAAAACTTCACTTTATAATTACAAAATTTAGAATTGTTTTTTTTAATTATTTCACTAACTAACCAGATTCTTTTTTAATAAAGAATACTATTGAAAATGATAATTATTTTCTCATAGAATTTATGTATAAAATAATAATTTATAAATTTATTATTCAATAAATACTATTAGTATTGTTATAATTAACTATAAAATTTAGCATTATTATAAATAGTTTTAATCTTGTCATATAATATGATAAAATATTTTGAATATTGTATATGTTTAAATATTATTATTAATCATACTGATTAATTATTCCAAATTTATTATAAAAATATCAGATTTTGAACTTTAAGAATCAGAAATTGAATTATTTTTTGATCTTCAATTCTATTATTTTAAAATCGAATTCTGATCCTGAGAATAGTAAATTTTTAAGTTCATTTTTCTTTTAAATCTTTCAAATAATTTGAATACTATAAATTTCTATAGTTATTTATAATCTTTTTAGGATTGATAAAAGAATATAATAAGAAAATTGATATTTAAATTAAAAAATGTTTATGAATTTAAATTAATTAGTTATTAATTAATTATTATCAAATGATATATCTAGTTTTTACTTTATTTGTTTATTCGTCCAAACACGATTTTTTGTTTAATTATTATTTTAATATTCGATTCTAAAAATTTTAGACTAAAGCTGATTTATTATTATTGTTTATGGAAGTATTTTGATTGCAATTATTTAGACTACTAAATTATGAAAAGTTTTCATCATTTCTTTTTGGAATTTGCTGACTATTTTATATACATTAATATATTACCTTATTCTTGGTCTACTATTTATATGATAAGTCTCTTCAATTCTTTCAACTGAATTACTATATGTACATTTTGTTTCTTTCTATTCTTCTTTTTGTGAATTTATTTAAAAGGCAATAATTAATAAAGTAACATTGTCACTACTTTTTTTTAATATAGCTTCTTTCAATACAGAATCAACTGCAGTCGATAATACTGAATGTAAATTAGATTTATTATTATTTTAAATATCTTGCCAAATGATATTAATAACCTCTCCTGATGACATCTTATCAAAAATACCATCACCTAAAATTATATTAATGTTACATACATCCCAAAACAATGAAATCATGATCTTAATTAATTTTAAATATTTTGACATCTGGTTCAGATATAACAACATTTGAATTTCCACCAAATTATTCAAATTTAGCTTCTATATCACCAAAAGTTCTTGAAACTGATAAACGTCCTGGTATAACTCTAACTGGTCCAGTAACTTACGTTCCTTCTTCATTAATTCCTTAAGTTTAATATATTTTGCCTCCTCCTCTTTAGATTCTCTCTGCTTCTGTTTCTGGTTTATGATCAATTGATAAATTTGCTACTCTTTTCCCTGTTTAAGAACTTAGTACAGCTCTACTATCTCCAACATTAGCTACATAGCAAACATCTCCAACAATTAAACAAACTATAGCACATGAACCACTTCTTTCTTGGATTCCTTTTGAATATTAATCTAATGCATAAGCTAAAAAATGATTTTCTGCTGCTTCAAATCCTTTTCTTATGGCTCCTACAGGATTCCATGGAAATTCAGGTTCTTTTATTACAAATTAATGTAAATTATCTCTTAAAAAGTCAGCACAAGCTGCTCCTCCATGTCCATCATAAACTCCAAAAAATGAACATTTTGGCCAATTCTCTGTTGCTCTATTTTATGGCTTAACTATATTCAAAATTATAGAGACTCTATCTTCATTATAATCTCTAACAATTCCTTAATTTGTATTAGCAGCATAAGCTCTAATTATTCCATTTCTACCTGATGAACATTTAGTTGGTTCATAATTCGGTAAGACAGATTATTTTTTGAATGATTACTCTTCCAAACTAGAAAAATTTAATTCTAATGTTTTTTTCACAGGTTGCTTTATTAATGGAGATGCATCATATTTTTAATAGGATTTATTTTGGCTTTCAAAAGGTCTCTTAGGATTTGTATCTTTCTATAAGTATTTATTCAAAAAGGATGGGGCATCCCTTGATTTATAATTCATTAGTTATATTAATAAATTTGAATTTATATTTACATAATGACCAACGGATAAATTCTAAATGATATTAACTTTTAATCTTAAAAATATATTATAAAATTAAACTTTTTTTGTTATCTCTTTTGTATAATGAGATTATTCACATTTCTTTTCATAACAATCATAAATTTGATAAAATTTATTAAGGTAAATATTTTATCAATTATTTCATACTAAATAGAATATTGATATTGAAGTTTTCTTCTTTATTAATAAATTAAGAGTTTAATAAGACCTTTATTTATAATAAAATAGACTTGATCTTCTTATTCAAAAAGGATCTTTTTATTATATATCAATTTGAAATTACTATAAAATCTAAATGAATATTTATAGAGGATGAATTTATAGATCTAAGTAAGATAAAATACCTTAAATTAATTTAAATTAATAATAAGAATCTAATTGAATGAAAAATTGCTTATTAAAAAAATTAGATAAAACTATTATTAAGCAGACATTAAAATATCTTCTTGATAAACTTCAAAATATAACAACCTACTTTATTATTTATTTAAAATGTGAGAGGATTGAAACCTATTAATTAAGCTTTCCTTTTTTCCTTATAAATTAAACGTAAAACTTTTCATGTATAAAAATGTTCCAATCAAAAATCTCCATTAACTGTCTTATATATATATATTCTAGCCTTAGTATAAAGTTTGTGGTTTCAATTTATATTAAAGAAACAATATAATTGTTAGAAATTAGAAATTGAAAACTAAAAGTATTTTGATAAATTAAAAATAATTGAAAAACTAAATATTAATTTTAGATGATAATTTTGTTGATATTTTAAAATCCTTTTCTAATTTGCAGTATTTTCATAATAAATTGGCTTAATAACATTAATAATATCTATAGAGATTATTTTAATTCTTCCAATTAATTTTTTATATTTCTTACATCCAAAAATTATATGGAATTGTTATTTAGATATATTGAAATATTAATTGATGATATTTGAATAAATATATAATGGGATTCTCACACTTTTTGGAGGATACATTAATAATTGAATTACTATTAACTGATTGGAATAGTGTTGGGGGATTAATTGGATTGCAAAACTTCAAAAGGTTAAGTTGTATAGTTTTATGGTATCTATGTCTATAAAACCAAATGTTATTATCTTAAGGGGGAAGTAACCTAAAGTTGTATAAAATGATAATTTACTTAATGGATTTGTTAGATTTATTAAATAGTTTATTATGGTTATATTTAATAAACAGATTATTGAATTTAAGTATTTTATTATTATAATATGGGTTATTATGAAACTAACATAATTTATTATTATTATTGTGATGGTTACATGAGTATTTAAGGTTATTACATAATTTAGTGTTATCTGATTGGTGATGTTGCATCTTATTAAATGAATTATGTATGTGTGACTATTTATTATTATTGTACAGCCACTTATTAAACCATCTCTTATTATATTCCCTACATTAATACTCTTTATTGTGCAACAGATGCTACTTATTAAGGTTAAGCAATAACTAAATTTGGTTATTGAGTCATCATTTAAACAGTTTAAGTATTTGCATATTAAGTTTATTAGCCTACTAATTATACAGTTTAACCAATTAGATGAGGCTATTAAATTTGAATATGCTATTATGAATATGTTTCAACATTTTAAGTAGGTTGAACCATAATAACTTATTATACTGGTTGCATTTCTTAAACTTATACAACTTATTATTAAATAATAGGTTAAGCTTGAACTTAGATAATAGCTTATTATTAAACAACCTAAGGTTAGACTGCCACCAACTATTATTATACAGATTAGACAGTAAAAAAGGACTCTTAATGTCTTAAAGATTATGGAGCTCCATATGTTCTTTATATAATTGTAGGTGTAACTTCTTCTTATATTATTACTGGCTATCTAACACTTGAACATTTAGTTCTTATTGATTGTTTAGCAACCTAAAAAGTTAAATTTAAAATTACTTATGGCATAAGAATGCTTCTTACTGAATTAACTGGATAAACAACTTATTATTAAGTTCTTGGAACTAATCTTATAAAATCTTCACTTCTGGGTATAAAAAGTATGTCTTAAGCTTTTTCTTCTATTACATCTGGTTTCTTCTTTTTAGAGATTTCTTCTGCATCCTATGGAGCATTCTTCTCTATACATTCGGCATCACAAACAGCCAATTTCATAGGTTCCTTTTATTTCTCCTTATCATCATCTTCACATTGTTATGGATTTCCATCTTTACTTCGAAAGCCATATCCATACATTAGATGAGATCGCTATTTTAATGTAACTTTAGCGGATAATTAATATTAGGCTTTTAATTCTGCCATTGATTTCATTTATAATTCCCAATTTGCTATAGCACCATTTGCAGATGTTTATTCTTCTTATTTCTTAAGAGCAGCAGCCATAGCTACATCGCATGCCATCTAAATTTTACCTGCTGAACTTTTAAATTATTTTTCCTAATATCTAATTAAAATATACTAACCTTTAAAGAAGCATCTGAAAAATTATATTTACTAAGCATTAACTTTCCTCCAAGTTTAGCATGATCAGCTTTAAGATTGTAGCCACCATATTTATACAACTATTAATTTGTTAATTATATATAAATACAGCAGATGAACTTTCCTAGGCTTCTCCTTCAATACTACCTTAACCATTCATCATTTCATATTCGACAGTTTCAAACTAGATATATATATATACTATTTATACTTATCCTTAATCTTCTGATTTGGATATTCTATGTTATGATGTTGTTATTGTTTTTGTTACTATTGTTTGAGTTTAATAACTTGTCTATTAAGTACTCTATAATTAGGATTAAAATTACAGAAGATGTTTATACATTTAGCTAAGATTGACCTTAGACTTGCATTCCTACTTCATTTTATCCATTTTCTTCCATCCCATTAAACCTCATAGATGAAACCTGATTATAAATATTATTATAACACAATATACATTTCCATTCAAACGAGTAGATTAACCATTTTATAGTTAATTACAATCGAATTGTATGGTTTCATGGTCATTTTTACTCTAATTAATAAACTGACAATAATGACTATTTTTACTTTTTTTTTAATTTCTCCTCCTATACTTGAATACTACTATGTATAAGTATCCCCTCCGTCATACTTAATTTCACTCTCCATTTGTTAGAAATCCTACTGAAAAATAAAACCATTAAATTTTACTTAAAATTTCCCTTGATTGTTTTAGGATTAATAGTTATGCTAAGAACTTTCAAACTGAGAGGATGTTTTACTCATATTTACGATTTTACTCATTAGATTTGATAAATAGTTTTAATATTTTATTTTTGTAGCAGAAATTAATCACCTTTTAAATACTCAAAGCCATTATTAATTTTTTATAAAAGATTATTATTCATTACAGTATATAATTTGTTTCTATTAAATTTAATAAATAATGCATGCAGTATTTAACCACCCAAAAACTAATTCTAAACTTAAATTATTATATAATTAAATTATCAGTTTTATAAAAGCAGCTCATGAAAAATTCAAAAATTCATTTTTATTTTTATTATTTCACATTATTTAGTTACATTTTATTCTTAAGAATCAGCCTAAGTTGAGAGTTAATTTAATTCGATCTCAAATATTTTAATAGAAGTAATATACTTATCTGATATTTGACCAATACTATATTAAATTTTATGCTATTGTGACAAACTAAAGAAAATTTATTCAAAAGAATTCATAATTTTGTGAAAATAATAAGAGTCAGTAACTCATTTTATAAATATTGATAAGAATAAAAAAATACTAAGTAAGTTAAATGAAGAAATTAAATAGTTTACAAATTTTATTATGAAATAAACTTAAACTATTTTCTAAGTCCGATGATGTTTAAATATAACTTTAACATATAACTTTAAAAAATTATTTTTAATACTGCTTTGTGTAATTCAAATAGGATTTAAGTTCCAATAGAGTAAATAATCTTATATAATTTATTTAATCAATAATAATATTGAATCTTAATGGAATATATTAATTTATAGAAATTTCTAAAGAAATTATATAAATAATTAATTTAAATCATATAAATTCCTTGTAGGACTCTTAAATATATAATTATATTTAATTTTTAATAATAACATGCAACAAAAAGAAAAGTAAGAATAAGAATCAAGTGAAGAAGAAGTAGAAGTCTAACCTTAATAGTAATAATAAGTAGTAGTAAAGAAAAATATTTAATATAACTAATAATTAATTGACAAATTAAATAAACCTCATCAATTTTGGTAAACTCAACCTATGCCCAATATCAATGAGATGGATAAATTAAAACCTGGACCCATTCAACTTGGAGTATTGGCTGAAGTCAGAAAGGATCCATTTAACTTAATTGAAAAATATGAATGGTTTAATGTTGATTTAAGAAATGAAGAATAAGCATAATAAGTAAGAAATATAAATTAATTAGGTATACACTTTATTGAAAGAAAATTATGTTGAAGATGATGATAATATGTTTAGATTTGATTATTCAATAGAATTTTTGAGATGGGCATTATTACCTCCTGGATAATATGCTGATTGGTTGGTTGGTGTAAGAGTCAATTAGAAATTAGTTGGATTCATATCAGGTATTCCTGTAACACTTTTTATTGAAAATTAATAAAATAAGGTGAAGATGACAGAAATTAATTTCTTATGTGTCCATAAAAAAATAAGATCCAATAGATTAGCTCCTGTTTTAATAAAAGAAATTACTAGAAGAGTACATATCAAGAATATGTGGTAAGCTGTTTATACAGCAGGGATTGTTGTCCCAACACCAATTTCATAAACTAGATATTATCATAGAAGTTTGAATGCAAAGAAGTTAATTGAAGTTGGATTCTCTTCATTATCAGCAAGATAGACAATCTCAAGATAACAAAAGTTGTATAAATTACCTGAAGAACCAAAGACTCCAGGACTTAGACCAATGAAAAAGAAAGATGTAGCTTAGGTTACTAAATTATTAAATGAATATTTGAAGTAAAATAAAATCAATCTATTTAGAAATTTTAAGTTATATTTTAAATATACAGAAGAAGAAGTGAAACATTGGTTTTTACCTAGAAAAGATGTGATTAGTACATATGTAGTAGAAAAGGAATAAGGTATTGTTACAGATTTTTTGTCATTTTATAATTTACCAAGTTAAGTGATAAATAATCCTAAACATACACACTTAAAAGTAATATTATATAAATAAATCTTTTAAGGCTGCATATTCTTATTATAATGTTGCAACTTAAACACCTATTGTATAATTAATGTATGATGCATTGATTTTAGCTAAAAATGAAGGTTTTGATGTTTTTAATGCATTAGATATAATGGATAATGATAAATTTTTAAAGGTATTTACGTTATCAATAATTTTAGGAATTAATGTTTTGTTCAGGAGATGGATAATTAAATTATTATTTATATAATTGGAAATTAGAAAACGATATGCTTAAACCAGAAGAGATAGGAATTGTTCTTGTATGAGTTATAAATACATATAAATTTATATATTAAATACTTTATTTATTTAATATAGAGTAATTCCAAATGTTCTATTTAAAAATACATTAATATATTTTTGAATATAATATTTCACATTATAACTGTATTTTTGTTATAGATGTTACTTGTAATACCTCTATGTGGTAATATAAAACTTTGATTTATATAGACTTCATCTTTTACTTAGACATCTTCACCACAAACAGAAACACCTTCTATCCTAACCCATTTACCTATAGTAGATGACCATCCAATAATAGATTCATTAATCCAACTATTTGCATTGATTATCACTCCTTTCAAAAGAACACAATTCTTCAATCTCACTCCCTCTTTAACTTAACAATCTGGTCCAATTATTACATTAGGTCCAATTACAGCATTAGGATCAATTTAAGCAGAAGCATCAATTAATACATTTCCTACAATGTTGTTACCCTTTGCTAATACATCAGGTGTATGTGTTTTATAACTTTCCAAAATGAGAACAGTTCCTGCTAAGTAATCTTTAGGTTATCCCACATCCTTCCAAAATCCTGGTAGTATGTATTGATATAATTATCCTTCCTTAGCCATTATTGGAAAGATTTCTCTTTCTATAGATGTTGGTTTTAACTAATTAGATAATTTTATTTCTTACAGGAATCCTATCAATCATGCTGACATTAAATAAATAGAGTCCAGAATTAATCTTATTACTAATAAATTCTTAAGGTTTCTCAATGAAATCCTTAATTCTACCTGTTTCATCAGCTAATATGACTCCATATTTTGATGGATCATCTACTTCATTGACGAATATTGTTCTATAAATATAAATATTTTAAACCCTTCATGATTATGCTATTTGTGAAATTGCAACAGTTTATCAAGTGGGAATTCACATATTATATCACTGTTAAGTACAAAGAACAAACCATCAGGATTATCCTTAATAATATGATCTTTAGCAAGTCTAATAGGACCAGCAGTTCCTAAAGGTTCTGTTTCTTAAGAGCAGATGATTTTGACTTTATAAAGATCTTATAATTTATTGATTTATTCCTTCATAGTGTCTGGTTGATAATTGATGGCTAAAATAATTTCTTACACTCCAACTTTTACCTAAGGTTTTAAGTAATAAATACTAATGCTTCAATTTGATGCATGAGAATTGGTTTATTTGCAAATTCAACAAGAGGTTTGGGACATTTAAATGTAAGAGGTCTCAATCTAGTTCCATATCCTCCAACAAGAATTAATGCTTTCATGAGTTAATTTATATATGATTTATTAATTTATCAAAATCGTTATTTGAAATGATAAACACTTTTTAACTTTTATGTCTAATGGCTTATGTATCTTAATCTATAAATATGTAATATTGGATTGTTGATTATAAGTGAAAATAATCAGAAATTCTTAGAACCAGATCCAAAAAAGGTCTATCATATTCGATTATAGGAAAAAGAAACTAAGGTGTATGACAAATAAAGCTTTTACAAACTTGTGGCTCTTCATTAGAATAAATTAAAAGATCCTTCATTTGTTTAAATTTCAAAGTAGGATCCATAATATATGAGAATGCATAATTATAAGAATATCTAATATACTGCTGATATAGGAATAGGATAAGCAGATAATACTTTTAAAGTTGTATTGGATACTGGTAGTGCTAACTTATGGATAAATTCAAATAGATGCTAAGAAGAAGGTTGTTTAAGACATAAATAATATAAACATGAGGATAGTTAGTCATTTATATCGTTAAATTAAGAATTAAATGTAGAATTTGGTAGTGGAGATTTGAAAGGGATTGTTAATGCTGATACAATCTATTTTGGAGATGTCACTTTACCAAGATAAAATTTAGCAGAAATCATCAGTGAAAATGGATCTATATTTAGAGATTTGGATTTTGATGGTATATTAGGTTTAGCTTATCCAAAGATGGCTCCTATAGATTTTAATCCAGTTTTTGATAACATGATGTAATAAAATTTTTTAGAAAGAAATCAATTTGCATTTTATTTTGCCAAAGATGCTAATGATATTTCTCATAGTGAATTTATTATGGGAGGATACAATCCATCTCATGTTGATGGAGATATTCATTATCATAATGTTATAGATAAATATTATTGGATGATCAAAGCTGATAACATTCTAGTTGATAATAAAGATATAGGTTTATGCAATCATTCATGTAGACTAGTAGTTGATACTGGTTCATCAATTATGAGTGGACCCTTTGATGATTTAAGAACATTATTAAAAGAATTGAATGTTAGGTCTCATTGTCATGAAATCAACACACTACCAATAATTACATTTTAAATTGATAATATTGATTATACTTTAGAACCTAATGAATATATTAAGCCTACTAATTTTGATGGTGCTTAATTAGCAGAATTAAATGATGGAGATGATTTATGTAAATAATCTTTGTCATCTTATTAGAAACTTTAATTGAAATTAATAATTGGGATTGCATAGCAGCCTTCATACCATTAGATATTTAATAACCTTAAGGACCAGCTTGGATATTAGGTGACATTTTTCTTAGAAAGTATTATAGTATTTTCGACAGAGAAAAAGATTAAGTTGGATTTGCAAAAGCAAAAAAATGAACTAAAAATTCCATAAAATTAAATTTATTGTAGTTTAGAATTTTAATATATTATAAATCAAATTTAAATATTTTAATCAATTAAAACTATCTTAATTCTATTAATATTGCATAGATAGTATTTTGTCTATTATTTATTTTCTCAAATTAGCTTCATCTTTATTTTTTCTTTATTCTTGTTATTCTTTTATTTTTTTATATTAATTCTATTGAATCTAATACTAATCAAATAATAGAGTTATTTTAATTTAACTCAATTCAAATTTCTTTACATTAGCCTAATAATCAAATTAATTTAATATTCTAATAATTTCATTATTGTTTTGATATATTTGAAAGATAAGTTCATTTATCTATTTTTTACTTCCCACACTCTTTTTTACACTAAGCACTTCCTCTATAGGTTTTAATTCATCAGCAATTTATGGATATAATTCTCCTTCTATCTCATCTAACTTTTCAACACTTTATATTTAAGTAATCTCTTATTTATCTATATATATTATAATATCTAATACATTTGACTATCATCTCTCTTAAATATTAAATTGTCATCTTATTTTTCTTATATGTATCATATTAATATCTATTTTCCATAGATCTTTCATAAAGTATAGGTTCTTCTAGAATCTGATATTTAAATAAAATATATTGACTTTATTTATTTGTATAATCAGATATACTATAATCTTCAATATCAATTTTCAAGATAAGAAAATGAAAATAACAATAATCTAAAGGAATTGCTTAATTGATAGAAAAAATCATTGAATCTAAATCAATTTCTTTATCATCAAAAGACATTGTCCTAACACTAACTTCTTCGGTTATTTTAATTTATATTAATATTTATTTGCAATAAAAGTACAAGTAGTCTATCTCTAATTAATTTTGAAGATACTTTTAGATTGGAACAATCAATTATCTTTGTTTACTTATACAATTTTATAATTTATAAGTATCAAGATCAGTTTTTTAAGATTTCTCTATATATTTTTATAATTTATTTTCAAATTCCTATATTATTGTAATTTATTTATTCAATAAAATAATACTTTTACTTTAATTGAATTTTATTAAGACTAATTCTATAATTTCTTATGTTTAAAAAAAGAATAAAAATATATTATCATTTTTAGGCAATTTTTAAAAATAAATACAATCACCTTTTTTCTTTTCATTAATTGATTAAGTATATACTTGAAATTATTAATTTTTGTAATGAAATATATGAAGTTTTTTATATAGATATTGCTAATTTATAATTGTAGTATCCAATTTCTAATTTGTTTCAAGTATTTCTGAAAAATTAATTTAAAAAAGATGACCAAAAATATTTGTAAAATATATATTACTATGATTAAAATAATCAATATTAAAATTGATTATTTCACAAAGAAGCATATTTTCTGATTTTAGAGTGAAAAGATTCATAATTTAACAATTTTACAATTAGTATATTGAAAATTATTATCCAGTTTATTACATTGATAAAATAATTACTACATTCAAAATAGTTGGATGAATTTCTATCTGCTAGTATTCAATTTTGATTTAATTTTAAACAAAGCATATTTTACTTGATTATTAAGTTTCTGTAAGTTTATATAACTGAATATTAGGAAATGTACATATTCCAAAATATATTTCATATATGATTTCATTTTCCATAATACCTATCACTAAAGTGTTATTTTTGAATTTGAACTTAAAATTTTTTGGTTCAAATTAGTACTATGTGATTTCTTTATTATTGCTAATTAAACAGATTTGTCCAATTTCAATTTTTTCATAGTTTGACTTGAATTCAAACTTGATTATATTAAATTTGTTATTAGAATACTCAATTTAAAAAATATCTTCTAAATATTGAAAAAGCATAGCATTTGATTCATTATTTTATGAACTCTATTGTTCATGATTATTCAACATTTGAATTAAGTTTGTAGACAAAATTTGCTCTAGTATTTAGTTTTGGTAATTATAATTATATATATAATTATCCATTTAAATATATAAATTATTGCTTTTTCAATATTATTTTATTACTTACTTTAGAATGATTGGATTAATAGTTCAATAATCTTAATTTCATATTTTAAATTATATTGTCAATAATAATTATTTATATTAATTATAAAGATAAATAAAGAGTAGCCATTTTAAATAATAATGGCTCATTTTTTTTAATCAATGAAAATTCAACTAATTTTAAGTTATTAATTTCTAAAGCTCGCTTTAATATCAGTTTAATGAATAATGAATTCTTATTGATACTTTAAAATTGATTTCTATAAGGATTGGTATACAATATCTAATTTTATTCAGATTTTATATTAAATATATCTGTATAAAATATATGAATATTTTCTAAATAAAAATTATGTATATAAGAAAATAATATATAATTTAAAGTATTAGTACTGATAAAAATAAATTGATATTTAATATATTCCTTTAAAGTAATAGAGTTTTAATAGTAAATCTTTAATTTTTATGATAAGTAAAATAATAAAATACTTTTAAGATGGAAGAGGTAATTTGGTTTATCAAATATTATAAACGGTTGTAATAAGCTAAATGATTATAAATGATATATATTGGTATAAAATGATTTATGGATTAGATAAAAAGGAAGCCATATAAGTCGTCGTATAAGTAAGTATTATTGATTGATCAGAATGAGTTTATTGAAATTGATAGTTATATTACATTTTATGTTTTCATTCTAAAATTAAATTTGCTTTTTTAGCCTTTTTAACTATAATATTATTTGACTAAAAGCATATCAAATATTTAATCAAGATATAAGTTTCATTATTAATGTTCACAAATTAAAAATATTACAAAAAGATTTAAATTCTAGAGTTATATCATAACTTTTTTTTTAAATGAAATGAATATTTAAATATGATTTATGTATAATAATTAAAAGAATCATTAACTTAGATACTTCTTTTAGATATCCTAAGATCTTTATAGTAATGTTTCTTAACTTGCAACTCCATATTATATGATTGGATTAGTCATAATATATGGTGGAACATAAGGTGTTTCAAACTAAGGTTAATAGCAATACATTATTTTATTAGGTTAAATAGTATTAAAAGCATAAGAAGTTGAATAAAAATTAGCTGAGAGTTGTTCAATATTCTCGAAATTAGGTGTTGCATAATAATAATAATTTTGTTATTATTCTTCTTCTTTTACCAAATCAAAGGATTCATTTGATACTTCTTTGACTTTTTGCTTACGTTTATGGTCACTATAGTATTCTTAATATTGATCATCATTTGAGGCTTGAGAAGGTTTTTTCTAAACTATATTTTAAGCATTTTTTGATATTTTGTCTTGTTCATTTATAACATTCTTAAATTAAGATATCCCAATCTAATAATTGTTGTCCTCTATTTTTTCTAATTATTGTGATATTTTAGGATTTATATTATATTATACTTTATTAAGTAATTTCTTTTTTTTGCTTTGATTGTGCCTTACTTTTGAAGTGTTTGAAAAAGAGAATTCTTAATTTTTTTAAGGAATTACATAGTATGGATTTTCAATTTTCAGATATTTCTTTCGCAAATATGAATAAAATCTATTTTTAATTACATTTTCCTATATATTTTTATTATATACCGGTCTACCTTATAACATCTTAGAGATTTTACACCATTATGATCCATAATTCATATAACCTTCTACAATACGATTGTCTTCAGCATCTGTAAATGGCTCTTGATTGATTTCTGGATTTAAATTGTTTACATATCTTTCTCTCACTTATTTACTTGTTCTGTTTGGTATCTTTTTAGCAATTTAAACCCAGTTTTTTTTATGTAATTCAACTAATCTCAATAATAATTGATCTTCTTTTTGTGTCCACGATTACCTTTTTCTAAATACCTTATATAATATTAATAAATTTTATACGTTATTTGGCTTTATTCTTTTCCATCTTTAAGCACATTGAGAAGGATTTCTATTTTATAAAGCTGGTGCTACAATTAGCCAGTTGGTGCCATACAATTTTATAGCTTACTTCAGTTAATCATCTTCTTGTTATGACCATGATCTTCTAGAATATTTACTTAAATTTCCAGACTCAGTTTTATTTTTATCTAATCCAATTGGATTGTCCTCAGGTAAATTATTGTTTTAAATTGATGATAAATGATCCATAAATATTATATTAAATATTATTTCAAAAAAACTAAAGCTCTGTCTTTTATAAAGCAAAAATTTGACTGTCTCTTCGAAATAATTATCTATCTTATACTATTACTTAAGAATCAATTACATTTCTTAAAAATATGTCATAATTTTATGGATTAGCTATAACTCATCGACCAAACCATTTTATAATATGTTAATCATTTAGAAAAATAATATCATACTTCATCAATGAAAAACAGTTATAAATTTTTTTGTGTTTAATTCGATCTATGAATAAATTATCGTATGTTTCATGATAATTATCCTCTAATATTCGAGATCTCATTTAAATAATTCATTCTGTAATATTAGTTTATTTGTTTTTGATCAAATACAAATAAAATTAATGAATTTCTTTGGCTACAACTTATTTCTAGACTAATTCTCTAATAGTCTAAATAAAATACACATATAAATTTTAAAGAATATATTTCAAAAGTGAAATTCCATTATTTTTTAAAGATATTTGAACATTTACAAAAATATATCCCAAATTGTACTTGTGAAGTTAAGATTGATAAAATTAGAAAATGATCATTTTTCCCCAATTAAAATTTCAAGAGATTTCATTTCACCTCACTTTAATTATTTTATAAAAAAACATACAAAGTATTTATTTATATGTATGATAGAATTATAATAATATTAAAAGTAAGAAAGTTAAGTGAAATATTATTTTATTAAGAATGATGCAAAATTGTGGAATTTGTTATTAAGATTAAAATATTGTAAAAATAGAATGTGGACATCTTTATTGCAAATAGTGTTTAAAATAACTTTTTGTTAAATAGCAAGAATTGGATCTAGATAATTTTAGATGCCCTTTAGATGAATGTAGAAAGAAATTAACTGATAAAACATTGAGTTTATTTATTGAAGATTTTTAAAAAAAATATGAACAATATTTAAAATAAGGTGTTTTATTTGGATTAAAGGATAATGAAAAAATGATTTCTTGTTTAAATAAAAATTGTAATTCTTAATTTATAATATGGAAGGATGCAGGTATTTATTAAAATTCATTATAATGAGATACTTTAAAATGTCCATATTGCAAATTAGAATATTGCTTAAAATGCAAATTAGAAAGACATGATGGTTTTAAGTGTATTTAAGCATTAAGATTGAATCAAGTAACTAAAACTAGAGTAGCATTTTTGGAATAAATTAAATCTTCTAAATTTTAACAAATTTGTCCACATTGTTTAACAGCTGTAGAAAAGAATAAAGGATGTAATTTTATGACATGTTAATCAAAATCTTGTAGTTCAAAAAAATACTTCTGCTTCAAATGTGGAGAACCTTTAAAATAATCTGAATCAATAAGTCATTTCGAAAATGGAGATTCTTTTTATGGAAGATGTAATTTAAAAGTAAATGGGAAATGGGTTGAACAAAATAAATTACCTTAAAATACTATTCCTTGTCCTTAATGCTTAAATACCAATCCTTTGAATAGTAAAATAGAAGGAAATTTATTAATATGTAATAGTGAATTATGTTCTGATAAAATTTATTGCCATTTCTGTAAAATTGAATTAAATAACAATACTATTTTAGATCATTTAGAAACTCATAAAAAAGTTAAAAAAAACTTTTTGTCGCCTATAATTAAATTGTTTTTTAAATGAAATATATATTTATCTTAATTAAGATTATTAATTTTATTTATAATTATATGAGAGTTATTCAATATCATAATGATCATCCAAAATTTTTATAAATTTAATTAATAATGTTGAATTACACTCATGCTAGTAAAATTTGTGAACATGAGAACATATATTGAAGTAAAATAATTAATTAATTGCAGGCATATGTTAAAATTTGTATAATTTTAGAAATGCTAAATCAATAATTAAAACAATAACTCCTTATTCAATCAACAAAGAGATAATATTTTAAATAAAAATTTATAAGACATAGTTCTTAATTTGAAAGATACAGTAAGAATATCACTCTAAATGCAAATTAAATATTTCTTTTATAAAATGGAAATCATCTCATTATGATTTCATATAACTATTATTCTCAAAATCATTTTAGCATAAACTTAAAAAACTTTATTAAGGTAGTCATATATCTCAAATCAGTATCAATATTCAGAACTGAGTCCATAGTTTTCAGAAAATTTTTAAGTTTATTTTTGATAATTTATTAACTGCTATTTAACAGATTATTTTTTTTAATTATCTTTTTCAAAAATATGGCTAATTCAAGAGAACAGCCACTCTCGAAAGGTGATTATCATAATAGAGTTCCAACTCATAATTATAATAAAACTATTAAGACAGTCTATAATGATGAACGTAAGGATCCTGAAAATTATGTGTAAATTCCTAAAAAAAATAAGGTTTCTTTCGAAACTGAAAATGAAGTTAGAAATAATCAATAATATTATTAAGACAATAATCAATTTGATGATCCATTTTCAAATAATCCTTATTATAATAAAGCTGCTTTAGATAAGGTTTGTAACAGATCAATAAAAACATATATAGATTAACCAAATTAGGTTTAAGACAATAATGAATAGTAAGGAGGTAATCATAATTAAAATTAATAAAAATAATAATAAAATGAACCAATTTCTTAGTATTATAATAATGAATATAGAAATAGGTATTAGGAAATCAAAAATTAATATTATAATTAAAATCATTAATATAAATCTATTTTATCACCAAAAGTATATTCCCAGGATTAACTTCATTAATAAGAATAATAGTAAATACCTTAAAGCAAATAACTATCAAATTAATAAAGTAAACACAAGTAAGCAAATTAAAGTCTTTATGAAAATCCTTCATTTGGATTAATTTAAGACTAGTAATAAATATATTAGTAATCGTAAAATTAACCAATCTAACAATAATTTCCTTATTCATAATACCCATCTCAAGATCAACAAAGTGCAAATAAACAAAAATTTATTTAAAATTCGACTAGACAATAATATAATAATTCTAATGAGAATTATTCTTAAATTGAATTCTAATAATAAAAATAATGTACTACATATTAAACTTAATCTACTTAACAATTATATTAAGATTTGCCAATTCAAAAATAATAGTAATTTCACTAAAGATTGCAATATTTAGAAGAATTGAAGAGTAGACTACCTAAAAATGATATTTTTTAATAATAAATTGATACAAGAATACCATAAGGTGAACAATACTATAGATAAGTACAAAATGAGAGAATAAATAAAATTAATCCTATTTCTGCAGTTAGTAGAATGTAGAGACCAAATGAAATTGATTAAGATAAATATTATTAAGTTTAAGATTATCAAAACTAATATCCTTAAAATAATAGAAATTATTTACATTAAAAAAGATAAGATTATTAGGATATTTAATTTTAACATATAAATAACTCTAATTAATATATTAACCTTTATAACTCTAATAAATTAAACAATATTCGTGAGAATAACCATAATTAATCTTATTAGAGATAGAACTATTAATAATAAAAGACTAGAACACCTAATCGATATAGAGAAGACAGCTATGAAAGAGACAAATAATGTTTTATGTAACAAACATCACATATACATAAAAATTCATAAACTATCAATTAAAGAAGATGAATAAATATTTTGTATTTAATATTAAATTACTATATATATTATGTATAATTTAAAATGATTATATCAAAATTCAAATGATAATTAAAGCCTACTAATTGAGAAACTTCAAATTATTCATAATAAAATAATAATTATCAATAAAATCATATTTATCAATTTAATTAAGTTTATTAAAGATGATAATTGAGCACAAGCGGAATTCATTGGCCATGGTACTTTATCCATCAAACCAAATTCATTATTACAAATAGAATTCTATTTTTGTTTTTCTACCCATTAGACTAAAGTTTGATAAACTGTTCTATTTGAACCTTCAGGAATTGTCCAATTAGAAGAAAATGATAACTAACTTAAAAATAAACTAGTTTTAATTAATGGAATACCAATCTGATATACAGCTAGGAGCAAAAGACCCTGTATTAGAATTATTAATCAAAAATTCATTTATAAGTTGACGATATGTTGAGAAAACAAGATCAATAAAATCCTTTTCATTTTTCTAACAATTTTTAAGTGTTAAGTCTTTTATACATTTTATATTGAGATAGTTGTATAGAAAACTTATATCATAAAAGGGCTAGATAATAAATACTGGTTGTTTAATATATTGCATTAAATTTTAGAAATAAAAACATTTCCAATTCTGATTAGGAAAATTGTATGCACAATTCTTTTGAGGAACTAAGGTTTCATTATTAGCAATGTAATTCATAATCTTTAAGGATTATTACAATAAATTTGATCCATTTATTGATTGCATATCAAATAATATGCTTGAGTCAGAAACACATAATATTGAGATATTGTCTGGAACCAATGAAGTAAGATACTATTCCCATTATAATGCTGCTATTCCTCCAATGGAACAACCAGATAATATTATTATTTCAGCTTTTTAAAATTTTGTTATAAAATGGTCAAAAATGCTTCTTATTATTAATTCACCTCTAAAATATAATAAATTTGATTAGTAATTAACTTAATCACTTTTATAACCTTAAAAGCCTAAAATAATAATAATTTATTAATACCACCTCCATCACAATAATTTATGTGAATTAGATTCCAATTATGGAAATAGTAATTTTTTAATTTGTCCTAAGATAATATACCATCAAACTCAAAAGCACTAGCTCTATTTAATGAACTTCCCTGTTAGGTTTACATCCTTAATTAAATTCATATTTTTACTTTTCAACAGCATTGATTAAAAATTATTCTTCAGTATTTCCTAAAATAAACCTTGCATTATAAAGCATACTTACTCTCCTCCCTCAAAATAAATAATAAATTTATTCTAACCTTCTTCAAAACCTTATTGAAAGTAATAAGACTATAACTAATTTTCAATAATTACTCCTAATGTACCATCTAAGCATTTTGCTCTGTCATCTTAAACAAATTATAATTAGAGCAAGAAGCAGCATTATAGTTATTGAAAAAAAATAAGAAGCATTAATTATTTAAATTAATTTACTTTATTCTTATTGTTTTGAGTTAATGTATCATGAATATACTAAATTTTAATTTCTGATGATGGTTGCTATATTTATTTTCAATATAATTAACAATAATTAATTATGGAACCACATTTTTTATAATTTAATGATGTATTCATAAAAACTTAGACAAACTAATGATATTCCTTTTAAGTGTATTAGAATTTAAATTCAATAAAATTAGCCTATATTTGAGTCTTCTTTTTAAAAAAAATAAAAATACTTATATTTAATATTAAATCGAAATATAAATATTTGGACAATAAACTAGTTTCAGATTTACAGAGAAATTAAAAATGTAATTACAATTATCTTAATAATATGCATAAATGGAATATCTTAAAATTACAGAATAAATATAGTAAAATACAATTGTAATATTTCATTTCAAGTTTAAAATTAATTAATTTTTATCTTAAAATGGCTTATTATTTAGTAAAGTAAATAATCAGATCAAATCATTAATGCCTTATGAAATAAATATAAATAATATTGTCAAAATGTTATACTAATATAGTATTTTTGTTAAATAAAGTACTCAATTTCAACTTAGAGATTGATAAGTTGTATATCTATGCTTAACTGATTATACATAGTTTAAAGGATAACTATATAAGTTTTCACTTAATTATAATAACTTAAATTTTATCCCAGCAATTGTAATATATTCAACTTATTAATTCTATTAATTTGTTATATAAGTACTAATGATATTAATTTAAGACTATTCTTAAATAATATCATAGAGTTAGGGACAAATTTGCTTATATTGAATGAATTTTTGAAAAGTTTAGTATTTGAGTCTGACTTTTATAAAAATTATAATTATAAATAATATATAGTTATCATCTTAACCTACTTCTTCTTATTTTCTTTTGTTTTTATAATTCTGGCTTATTATGATATAGAATCTAGAATTATTATTAAATTTAAGATAGTGATCAACCATTTATTAAAATTAAATAATGAAAAGATATCTAAAAAAATATAATATATTATTATTAATAATTTTAACTTAAGATGTTATGTTTAATATTTGAATATATCCAACAATTTTTTATAAATCACTCATATGAGGTTTATTAACTTTTCATAACCTCTCCATATAATATTTAGAATTTTGCGTACACCTTCAGGTAATTTTTTATTTTCACTTAATTTATCAGCATACCATACTCTAATATATGCTTGGGCATTTTTCATATTTTTATTAAATTTAGTTTTGAGTAAGACATTTTAGAAAATAATTATTGCATGAATAAATGATGTTTTTTTTAAGAAGATTCCAAATACACAATAAAGGAATAAGTAAATCTCTATTTTCTATTTTGTTAGGATTACTTCACTTCTATTATCTTGTAGATACCTAGTTATTTTCAATGAAATTTCTTATTATGGATTAATTTATGTCCAAAACTCTGCAGCTCCAACTAAAAAATGTAAAGCAATTGGTATTTAAAATGCAAAACTATCAATCGTAAATAAAGAAACGATATAGAAAATATTTGATGTGAATTCAAGTTATATTATTTTTAAAATATATTCTTTGTAATTATTTCTATTTGGTAGTCCTTATAAACGATGTATAGCAAGCAAGCAAATAAAGATAGATCCAAAATTTAAAAATTTGTACAATTAAGGTGAAAATAAGAACAATAATGCAGGAAAATATATCACTTTAAGTATTCCTTCTATAACTGTTAAAATAGGAATAGATGGTAATTATTATTATTGTTATTATTATTATTATTATTATTACTATGATTATTATGATTATTATGATTATTATGATTACTAATAATTTTCTTATTTTTATGATTAAGTGTTTGGATTAGGATTTTAAGATTCTGTATTGATATCAAATTCTGGGTCAATATATTTTTTATACCATTTGCGTTTAATTTTATCTATATTTGGAGGCAAGGGATAGACATTTAGTAGATATTACTAAAAATTTTCATTTCCGTCAAAATCAAATTTACTATATGCTTCCATAATTAAAAAAAATAATATGACTAATTTAGATCAAATTGGATTTATACTATCAATTGACAAAGATTGGCAGAATCTAGTTGAAAAATGTTAGAGCATAGACAGCAATATAAAAAATATGCAGACTAGACTTACATTTACAATAGGATAAATGAATAAGGAAATTGGGAATCGGCATATAATACCTGCCTATTAAGTGGAAGAAGAATAAAGTAAAGAAGAAAGTCCTTTGCCTTAATAAGGTGAATCACCTAGAAAGAAACCTGTAAATTTAGTGAAACAAGCATAAGTTCTAGCTCCAGTGTATTCAACGATAAGTGAAAGATTTTAGATATGTAAATTTTTGGGAAAAGGAAAATTTAGTGATGTTTATTAGGCATAAGATAAATAATCAAAAATAATTGTTGCATTAAAAGTTATTCCTAAAGCCACAATATAAAAATATGGGATGGAAAAATAATTGGCAAATGAAATTAAAATTTAAGGATATTTAGATCATCCAAACATACTCAAACTTTTTGGATATTTTTAAGAATGGTCAAAAGTAGTTTTGATTTTAGAATATGCTACAGATGGTGAGCTATTTAAGTTATTAAAAAAATAACCAAAAAAGAGATTTTCAGAATAAACTGTCTCTGGGTATATTAGATAAATTATTGAAGGTATAGGATATATGCATAGCAAAAATATTATTCATAGAGATATTAAACCAGAAAATATATTAATTACTCATTCATTATTAAAAATAGCTGATATGGGATTATCAACTTATAATCCTGCAAATTAAGTTAGATAATCTTTTTGTGGTACTGTAGATTATATGTCTCCTGAGATTGCAGCAGGAAGAGATTATGATCATACAGTAGATTTATGGGCTATTGGAATTTTGGCTTTTGAATTATGTACTGGAGAAACACCTTTTTATGAAAAAAAAAAAGAAGATACTATGAATAAAATTATCTATAGTGGATTTGAATTCCCAAATTTTATAAGTGAAGAATGCAAAAACTTTGTGCGTGCTTTAGTTTAAAAGGATCCTAAAAAAAGATTAAGCATTTTTTAAATTATGTAGCATTCTTGGATTCAAAAATATGAAAAAGAAAGTACTATTTTTAATAGAGATTTGCTAAATTCTATGGTTAAACTTTTAAAATGATAATAAAGATCAATTTTGTAATCAATCATCAAAATTCAACTCTATTATCACATCTAAGTCTTACTAAATATTTATTATGTTTTATGATTAAACTAATACTTCTTAATCATTATATCCTACCTATATATTCTCTTAGATTTGAGTTTTTAAAACTAACAAAGGAAATTGAAAGATCTATTCTTATTCGTCTAAATCTAAATTCTAATTTCTAAATACTAATTTATCTAATTTGGCTTATCTTTTGGTTAAATGAGAAAAAATTTTTCTCTTTTCTTATAAATTTTACTCAATAAGAAATTTTACCATTGATAAATTATCAATTTATCTTCTTATTTCTTAATTTTGAAAATTATTTGAGTTCTCTATAAATTCATATGTTTTATCACATTTCTTTATTATTCCCATAGCCATCATAACATTTAAACAATCGTATACTCTTCTCGATTGATTTACAGTATTTGTCTAATAAAAAATAATATAAATATTACACTTTATGGATGTAATTTCTTAATTTCTGATAAAATTAATTATAAATTTGTTTTTTTTTGATTTTTTATGATTTCACAAACACTTTTACTCATTTCTTTAAGTCCTAAACACCCAAAATGTTCTGATATAACTTAAAAATTTCTAGTTTTTGAATTTGAATGTTCTGGGAAACCTAATGAAAGATTAGTATCAAATGTTGGTTGCTATTGTTCGCAGCCTATTGAAGAGCAATCACTAGTAAACAAAAACATCAAATATAATATTATATATAATAAAATATAATAATTATAGAACATATTTTTAAAGATAATCACAATTGATTTTTGTTAGTCATGCATGCATAGATTTAGTATTAATTTTAACTTTATTAGCTATTCTTTCATCAGTTTTTCTTTAAGATTTACAAGAAGGTGAAACAGCATCTCTTAATAAAGGACTTTTACATACAGAGCTTTTAGATTTGAGTGTATTAGTACAATTATGTTAACCAAAAGGCTGCTTTTATTTTGACTTTGTTTTTTATTGCATTTTGTATTTCATAATTCCCTATTCTATTATTTTAATGTCTTTTTTTATTTTATTAGATGAATTAGATTTAAAATCTTTTATACTTGAAATTGATAAAGATCTATCAAAAATAGATATATTATCATTTATTTAGGTTGCAATTCTTTTGTTTGAATTGGAAACCTTTTTATTATTTACTCCATAATATTTATGATTATCTAAATTGAATTATTATTCCAAAGATTCTATTTTTATATATTAATCTTATCTATCAATTCCTGATTTAAATAGTTGTTATAAATTTTATAATATTTCTTTTTTATTTTATTCAGAAGCCATTTTCTCTTTACTAATCCCTGTAAATATTATTTAATTTTAGTCTTCCTCAGACATATATATATTCAAACATAATTTATCTGATTCTATTTTTTCAATCATCTTGAAATTTTTGTTTAAAAATTCAATCAATTAAAATGGCTAAGCCTACTATTATTATTATGATATTTCAAAAATGCTATCATTTCTTTTAGAGATCTTTACTTTCTCCAGACTAATAGCTTTGCCTATTTCAGGACTTTAATTAAGTTTTCGATCTGTAATTAATCCAATTTCTAATTTTTTATTATCACCTCTGAAACTAGTTCTTAAAGAAGAATTTGGAAGTCCAGGAGAATTAACTCGCCGGAAAGAACCTAGTTCATTTCTATTGGAAGGAATAGAACTATGTGTTGAATGAATCATATATTATTGGCAATATTTGCTCATTTTACAAAATAAAATCGTTAATAATTAATGATTAAAGTCAAACTTAATAATAAAAATGCAGAAATAATTTCATAATATGAAGATTTACAAATTTTTATATTCAACAAATAAGTAAATTGATTAAAATGAGTTATTAATAAACTATGAGTATGGATTTATTAAAAAATCTTGTTCATTTAATTTTAGAAAGAATAAGACTTTTAGAAACCAAAAACATATAATTAATAAATTATAAAATCATTTTTTTTTCTGAAGTTGTTTTTAAATATCCAAGGCTTATAATTAAATCAATTTATTATTTTTAAACATTTCAATTACTTCTTTTAAATTTTAAAAGCATTACAATCTTAATAATGAGGTTTTATAGGATTATAAATCATCCCTCAATTCATAAACTAATATAATTAATTAACTAAGTAAAGCTAAATGAAGTAGGTATGCCTCTACATTTCCTTATCTTACTATTACTTTATTTACTACATTTTTATGAAATGCTTAACTGATTCCTTCCAACAGATTAGCTTTAAATAATATAGCTTAAACTTATTTTTCTTAAGCAAATAAACATAATTATTTCATAATAGAATAAAATATCTATTAATAAAAAGGATTAGGTAATTGATGAAATTATTCATTTAAATTAAATGAAGAAGTATCATTGAGCTTTAAATAAATTCGATGATTTCTTTATTTAAAATTTCTTAAAATTAAATCAATTATTTTTGTGCTAAAAATTCTTATACCTCCAATATGATTTTGATTAGAAAAGAATTCTTCCTTACTTATTTTTTCATTCTACATTTTATGCATATTAGTTAAATTTCTGCATATTCTTGGTAGATATATAACATAAAGTTTGCTTAGTTTTTCATTCATAGGTTTCTTATTAATTCTTTGAATTAGATCAATAAGAATAATTTAACAATTATTCGAACTATTTTCTTCATATGAACTTTAAAATAAGGCTGTTTAAGTAAGAGAATAATGATTTAATAGTTTTTCGAATAAAATATACTAATCGTCTAGAAGTTCATCAAATGCATAATGATATTCAAAATTTTACATTGATTAAATAATAATCTTTAATAGATTACTATTTCTTAATGATGTTATTTCATCATTTTAGGTTTCATATTTTGAATATTCCTCTTTCATTATTGTGTCTACAACACTATTATCTTAATTTGGATAATAAACAAATAATTTAGCCTAAGAAGTTGGTGTTTACATTAAATTAATTTATCTGTAAGTTGAAATATTATCTATATTATTTATTAATAATTACCACTGGTACCAACCAAACTCATATACTAAGGTTGATCAGATCTTTTACTAATTGTTTAACCTGGATTGTTTTCAGAAAATGTCATTGATTTTTGTTTACGTTGAGTATTTTTTGATGTTGTTAATTCAGTAATTATGCATGTAGGCTAAATATTTAAAGAAGGAAGTCTAATAGAATTTTATAATTAAATAATATTTAACGGAGGTTCTGTAGCTTAGGATCTTTATGATCGATGTTCAAATTAAATATTTTTCATTCCTTCTGAAGCTTATCTGTATACATTATATAATGTTGGAGTTTCAGCAGGAGTACTAATTTCCTTATAAAATTAAACTACATCCTATAATCTATCTATATCTTTGCCTTATTAATTTAATTCAGATAAATCAATATTTTCTTGAATAATAACTTTATTGATTTATCTTGTTAAACTTGATAAGTCTGAGCCTCTTCTGAGATGTGAACTTAATAACATTTTTCTTTCTAAAAGTTGCTTATTTTAAATCAAAGTTTTTCCTGGAATCAAAGGACCCAAATATTGATCAATATTACTACTGATAGAATATGTTATTGCTGCTTAATCATCATCTTGAATTAATTGTAATTTATAGTCATTAATATGTTTTAAAAATTAATAGGCTTCTTTTGTAATATCTTTCCTTTTATTAAATATTCCTTCTTTTTCCTTATTTGTAATCTTACTTACAAGCAGAGTAATATATCCTTAACGATTGAGGAATTACCAAATATAATTTCTTAAATCCTAAGGAATTTTTGAATAATTGGGATCCATAAATCTCATAAGAAAATCTAAATAATGGGGATTATCTAATATAATGAATATTGCAAATACAAAGATAATCTAAAAATTACTGATGAAATTAAAAGTAGAGAAAATTATAAACGGTTTCTTTCAATTCATACTTTAAATAAAACTAGAGTAGACCAATAATATGAGTCAAATTTCCACTTGATTATGAGTTTTAAAAAAATCCAGATATACTACGGACTAAAATAGATTTCATTAATTACAAGCAATTTGCATAGTATGTGAGTTAATTTACATGATCATTTGATGATTATGGTAATCTGTTAGAAATAACATAGCTTTATAGGATCTTAGAGTAGTTAATTTATCTGGTTTCATTACATGTTATTTGTATTGATTATCATCACAATGCTATTGAATATCATTTGCTAAGGCATCTGTTGCAAAGATTAATCCTGGTTCTGTAGCCACAGGATTAGTAATATATGCAAATAAGTTTTATAAAGCATCTATGTCTGCTAGATATTCACTTTACTCTGAATCAATTCTTGGTTTATGTTAAATTAAAATTTCATCAAGATTCACTTCACTTGCTTGAATGGAATCATCAGAATTATTATTATTTATATGATCATTATTGAGCTACTATTTGGAAGGCATTTTGGAAGATAATGATTAAGATTAAAGGATATTCATTGCCATTAATGACATTTTTGGTTTTGAACCTTTTCTTGCTTAACTACCTTTTTCTTATAATTCAATGGCTACATTTTAATAATGAAATTCATTTGTATTCTTTTAAACCTCCTCTTGGTATAATTTTAATACAGCTATTCTTTAATCAAATAATTTTAATTACTTTCTTCAATTAGCTAATTTAATTGATTTGCAGATTTCATTCTATGTCCTAATTATTGTTAGATTTATCCTACTTTTTTCATAATTGCCCTTACTAATTTTTCATTTTCTGCATTTTAAAGAAATATAATGAAAGCATAACATTTATCATCAACATCAAAACTAATATTAATTACTTATTTTATTACTCTAATTCAGAGATTTCAATTAAAACAGTTTCTAAAAATTCTAAAGCAACATATTTTCCATTTCCTTGATTTGGAAGTTAAGCATATTCTTCAATAGCTTTAAAGCAACCATCAATCCATTCCTTTGAATGCTTGAATATATTTAGTAATGACATTAAAATCATATCTATAGTATCTGGTATTAGACTATGCAATTATAATAAAAATCTAATAATTCTAGGTTCATGTATCAAACTATGCTTTTGTGGAAATGGGATAGTCTAATTGATGAACTTCAATATTGGCAACACTTTAGATAGGATGTCGTTTTATTTTAGAGCTAACTCAAATGATTTTACTAAACTCATTCTAAAAATATAAATTGAATTTTTGAACTAGTATTTCTGAAAATATATATATAATTATCATTTATGAATAAATATACATAAAATAATAGAAATCATTTTTTCCTCTAAGTTGATGGTTTTTTTATTTGTATTGATTCTTATGGTATCTGAGCATAAGGCATTTTTTCATTAATTAGATCTACACTTTTGGCTGTAGTAAAATCAGCAAGCTCTAACAATTAATTTTAAATTTTACAATCATTAATTGCATCTTTTCCTTTCATAAGTATACCTCTTGGTAATCTTTTATCTGGACAAGCACCTTTTAATTATATTATACTTTCTCTCTCTTCTCTAAGTGTTCTTTACATTTTCATCATAGTAGATACGAATTTAATTTTATTCTTCAATTTTTCAGTGTCTATTTTTAATATATATATAAATAATTTACTTTTTTATGCTCCTTATGAACTACCTGTTGTTGATTATTTTTATAAAGCAGCCTATTTGGTCAATTATTTAAATTACTATATATCTGATTCACTAATTTATTCATCATCATCTCCCTAAATATCTGTTTATAATATATTATATAGCATTTCAGTTACTAAAATTATATTATAATATGATATTACTTTTTTCAGCCACAAATGGAATTGACCATGTAAAAATATCCATAAAGTTTGGTAATAAATACGGATGAGGTGTATATTAATATTACTGAATATTCAAAGTATTATTTTCAAATTTGATGACTGCTCCTCTGTTATTATAGACATCACAATAATTTGGAGCACTAAAAATAGTAATTACAACTGGAAAGTCTTAACCACCATTCCATCTATGCATTTTATATCCATCCAATTAAGCCTTATATTATTAATTTATTTTACTTCATGAGCTCTGATAATAGATATTAAATTATTCCTTTATAAAAACTTATTTGCTGAATCTCCACCAAAAAACCAACTGCATCCTCTTACTTCATTCGATTTCCATGCAGTATCTAAATAACCCTATTCTTAATCAACTGGATCACTCCATAACAAATCACAAAATAATCCTTATCTAGGAGGTTCATGATATCTTTCTATCTTTTTGATATCTTCTATTGATTTTAAATCAGGAGATATTCCACCATGAATTGCAATGAATTTAGAGTTTATTATGCATGCCAATGGAAATAAGTCAAATGAATCCATCAACATTTCATAAGTCTCTTAATCATATTTATATAAACATTCTTCTTTAAAATTGAAGAATGCTGTTAATTATCTACATTCGTGATTTCCTCTTAAAAAATATACTGTATTTTGAAAATTCAATTTTATTGCATACATCAATATAATTACTTCTATTGAGTATGAACCTCTATCGACAAAATCTCCTAAAAAGAGATATCTATTATTTTTAATATTTTTCAAATTTACTTTGTGTTTTCAGGATTTCCTCCCACTTTAGGCTCTAACAATTTCAATAAGTCATAATATTAACTAAGATTGAATTTCAATATATTACCCATGGATATCACCAACAACAGTTAGAGGATCTTACAAATATATTACATTCCCTTCATTTTCTAATAATAACAATAAATTTATACTTAATAATTTATTACAATCAGCAACTAATTTAAATAAATCCTCTTTAGCAATTCTACCTTCTTTTTGTAAATGATCTCGTAACAATTTCCAATCAGGTTTGTCTATTGTTAATGTTTTGATTACTTTTCAATTTATCTGGAAACATTAGATTCCTTGACAATGGACGATGAGGTGGAGGCTTTAGTGTTTTCACTTATCGATCATTGACAGGATCTTTCAGAAGGTCCATTTATTAATTAATTTATAAACAAAGAAATATGAATAATAAAATAAATAAACTATAAATTATATAATCATTTCTTACATCTAATAATTCTATGTCTAACCTTAAGAGAATCTATTAATTTTAAAAGATCTTTATTATTCATTTTATATTGATTATTCACAATTGACTCTACATGTAATGTTGTGAACCTTTATGGATTCGATTAAACTTGTAAATAATTAAAATGAGAAAAAGATGCTTAGGTAATTGATTTTGCATTATTTTATTTTATCAACTTCTAATTTAAATAACTCAAAGGTTTCAAATGAATTTCTGATTTTGGAATAACGTCTTTTAACATTTTATTCATATACAATGAAACTTAACTTTTTCTAGGTTCTCTGGCACTATTTATTAAATGATTAAAAAAAGTTTCATCATCAGGAGTAGTTTTAATCCTTACTTTTATTACAATTAGTACCTCTATGATTATCTTGATTGAGGAATACTAATTAATTATTATTGCTATAAATGTGTTGAGGCAGTAATTTAAGATTTTTTTACTGTTGTTAAATTTCTCATTGCTTTTAGAATATGCATCCTTTTTCTGAATTTTTTAATAGCCTCCACTTTATATGATAAAATAAAAATAATAGCATTAATTGCTGCTTTAAATCTTTTTAAAACTCTCTTTCTTTTCTACCATCTTGAATTTTATTAATTTTTTACCTTGTTCCATTAAATGGGTATTGTTTTTTTATTGTCCCAATAAATTAACTGCATTTTCCACATTCTGTACAATCACAACTCAAATCAGTTTTAATATATTCTTTTTCTAACATTGCTTTATTTAAATAGAATAAAGTTCGCTTCTTTTTTTATGATAATTTTGAAGGTTTGTTTTTTAATGTTCTAACATGTTTCAACTCATAAAATTCATTTTAAGAAAGAGAGTTTTCAGACATTTATTTATAAATAAATATCCTTAAATAAAGAATTAAGACTTAAATTGATTTAATTCAATCAGATTTAGAATTATTATTGTTGTTTACAAAAAAATCTCTATTTTGTATAAATCATCATTGTTTTATTAAATGCGACTATGCATTTCAACATTTACTCATATGCTATCTTTTTACTATTTAACAAAGGTATAGAAAAGAATATTATTGATATATAAATAATGTTAATGATATTCATATTTTATTTGATTTTTGCATTATAAATAAAATAGAATGAGCAATTAATACAAAATAATGTAATAGATTATAATTATCCTATGTAACAAAATTTTAATAATTTTAATATTTCAAATAAAGCAAATTAATTATATATTGAATTGATAATTATTAGAAAATAGCTTTATTATTTATATCTTAAATTTCACCAAATGAGTTTATTAATTTAAAGTATAATTTTTATATACAATTAATCTAAAATAAATTAATTAATAATAAAGTTAAACATAAATTATTAATAGTTCATTGAAGATAATCCAATTCTTCATCTTCAAAGTTTCTACCAATTATTTTACTAAAATATTACAATTAAATTACTCAAAAATTTCAGATTCTAAGTATTATTATTATTATGATTACTAATTGCCATTATTATTGCCAAGAGTAAATTATAATACACTTCGACCTACTTGCATTTCTATACCATTTAACTCTGTTATTAAGGGAATTACAGTTTATTGAATGAGAATTAATGTTCCAAATTTAGATTTATTATCTGTTAAATATATTTATCCATCTATTAATTTAAGTGTTCCATGATTTCTACTAACTGAGATATCATTTACTCTAATTTCAGTTTCATTAGCTCTTCCTATTTTTAACTCATTAGTTTTGATATTTTTCATTTCACCACTATTATTATCAAAAGATATGATATAAACTCCATTACATTAATTCCATTAAGTATCTTCACTCATATTATTTTCCTACATTTCCTATATGATTATCAAAAATATAAATACTTCATATCTTTTTTGAGTAATTTCCATTAAAATATATGGATATTCTGTAGGTTTACTCAATTCAATTAAATCAAATACACCTTCATCACTTTTAAAAATGGGTGGATAATTAAATTTACATAATTCACATTCTAAATTCTTCCACATATATATGATACAATGATCACTTTATTTGGTTTAGAATTTAGACTTTAACCATTTTTTTAAACAGTTAAGATGAATATATTTAATAGAACCAGTACATTTACAAGGATTTACAAGTGGATTTGATCTGCTAAATGCACTACTGCAACATACTCTGCATGTAATTGCATCTGATTAACTAGATTTTGCAGAATCTGAATCTTATCTATGTTAAATAATATAATAAANTAATAGATTATAATTATCCTATGTAACAAAATTTTAATAATTTTAATATTTCAAATAAAGCAAATTAATTATATATTGAATTGATAATTATTAGAAAATAGCTTTATTATTTATATCTTAAATTTCACCAAATGAGTTTATTAATTTAAAGTATAATTTTTATATACAATTAATCTAAAATAAATTAATTAATAATAAAGTTAAACATAAATTATTAATAGTTCATTGAAGATAATCCAATTCTTCATCTTCAAAGTTTCTACCAATTATTTTACTAAAATATTACAATTAAATTACTCAAAAATTTCAGATTCTAAGTATTATTATTATTATGATTACTAATTGCCATTATTATTGCCAAGAGTAAATTATAATACACTTCGACCTACTTGCATTTCTATACCATTTAACTCTGTTATTAAGGGAATTACAGTTTATTGAATGAGAATTAATGTTCCAAATTTAGATTTATTATCTGTTAAATATATTTATCCATCTATTAATTTAAGTGTTCCATGATTTCTACTAACTGAGATATCATTTACTCTAATTTCAGTTTCATTAGCTCTTCCTATTTTTAACTCATTAGTTTTGATATTTTTCATTTCACCACTATTATTATCAAAAGATATGATATAAACTCCATTACATTAATTCCATTAAGTATCTTCACTCATATTATTTTCCTACATTTCCTATATGATTATCAAAAATATAAATACTTCATATCTTTTTTGAGTAATTTCCATTAAAATATATGGATATTCTGTAGGTTTACTCAATTCAATTAAATCAAATACACCTTCATCACTTTTAAAAATGGGTGGATAATTAAATTTACATAATTCACATTCTAAATTCTTCCACATATATATGATACAATGATCACTTTATTTGGTTTAGAATTTAGACTTTAACCATTTTTTTAAACAGTTAAGATGAATATATTTAATAGAACCAGTACATTTACAAGGATTTACAAGTGGATTTGATCTGCTAAATGCACTACTGCAACATACTCTACATGTAATTGCATCTGATTAACTAGATTTTGCAGAATCTGAATCTTATCTATGTTAAATAATATAATAAATAATACATCAATTATCTTTAATTTAATTAAATTTCTCTTATTTTGAATTTTACTCTTCCCATTTTAATGACATCTCCTTCCTTTAATTTAATTCCATTATTACTCATCATTGATTGCATAGATCTTACTACGACCCATAATTTACTTCCTTTTTCCATTAATTTAGTATTAGTTCTCTAACTCATACTGATTTTTTAATGATGACTATATTTCTTAATTAAATCATTAGGTTAATGAAATTCATCCCCCTCCAATTAATCTAGATTTTCAGATTATTAAAAGTCTTTATTATCACCATGATATTTTGTAGTTTATTCTTACTTGTCGTCTTCATAATTTTATTTACATTCACCTTTTTTATTTATTATACTGAAAATTCCATCATTTTTATCAATTCTAAATAGAATTTGTTCCTATTTAATTACACTCTTATTCCAATCTACATCATCATCAATCCATTATAATTCATTATTATTTTTAATTAAATATCCTCCCTTACTTATCTTTTATATTTTAATCCAATTACTTAAAAGTTCTATTCTTTCAAATGACTCTAGTTTTCATAATCAAAAAGTGAAAATGATTCTTTTTGCCAAGTTTTTATCTTTATAAACAAATCTTTAACAGCTCCTTCTTAATTATTAACCCTATAATCATCATTTGTTGCTATTTCTTGTAATTGTGTATTGGAATTAACTTATTCAGATTCACAGAACTTACGACACTGGCAACTTCCCATTATAAAATAATATATATATATAAATTAATATAAAATATATGGTATTTCAAACTATCAGAGCAAACCAACTTAAGAACAAATAAAATAGAATCACTGGATAAAGTGCTAATATTCTTTTCTATTCTGGAATTAATAATTTCATAAATCCAACTGCAGCTATAAAAATATATTATAATTATAATACAGTAGGTTGACCATAGAAAACAACCAATAACCAAAAACATCTTCAAATAAAAGAAGGAAAAGAAAAGAGTAAATAATGCTCCTAAATTTATTGGAAATACACAATATCCCAATACACAAACTGATTGGAAAAATGATCTTAAATTTTATTTCTATATTTACACTTTTCCACCTAATAATTAAGCATTTAAAGTAACTACAAAGGATCCAACCCAAATAAGTACAAATATTGTAGCAAATATTCCTGGACCATCATCATTATTACCACTCATACTTAAAGTTCTAAACTTCAAACTAAAATATACAATGCTAACATCAAACAAAATACTAATGGTCCCCATAAATCCCCTACAATATCAAATATAATTCAATTACAATTTCTTAGTTCTTTGGCATTATTAGATGACATTGTCGGTACCAAAACGCATCTTAATTTTACTCCTATCTATCTCAAATCTCGAAGCTATTTTTTAAATTGATATGTACCAATGTGACTGCTACACTTTCTTCTAGTGTACTTGATACCTGTAGGTCAGTTTATTTAATTGGGATTTCCTATTGCTATGCTTAGACTTAATTCACTTAAGGCTAAAGATTTATAACTCCTTATATAGAGTTATTTGCTTAATTATCTTAAACTTCAAATTCCATTTTATTTTATAGATATAAATTATATTATAATCAATATCAACCACAACAGCCCTTCTTTTTTTTTGTAAGATTCTAATTTTAAATATAATTAAATACTTTAAGTCTTAGATTGAGTTCCTACTTATCCTTTTCTTATTTTTTTAAATCATCCTCTAATTTTTATTTTTCAGCAATATTATTTTAGTTAGATCCTTACTATTTATTACTGTTTTACATCTTCTCTAATTCATCTTTTAATTTCTTTTTTTCTTCATCTAATTTTTATTTTTCAATTTCTAATTTTTTTAATTATGTATCTTATTAGGATATATTCTATTCTAATAATTTAAATTAAGAATCATAATCTCGAATTTCCTATGCTAATTCTTAATTAATATTAGTCTAAGTTCCTCCCTTTTTATTTTATTTTAGTCTTATTGATTTCTCTAATTTTTTTAATAAATTTGAATGAGTTAATTTTAAATATTCATAAAGTGTACTTGCCTTCCTTGCTCCAGATGCTTATTTATCATAATTCAATAAAAAACTAAAATGAACTCAACTCTTACCTGACAAAATCAGCAGAAAAAAAATGTAAATCATCAGCAGTGTAGTTCTCTTTTTCTACATCATCTTATAATTTCTTGGTTTCTTATGCTATAATCTCTTAATTTTTTCTAAATAAATATTTAAGATTTACAATTAATGATTTTCATCATTTTAATTTAATATTTCAGTTTCAGTATTATTCATTAAATCTATAAGTTTTTATTTGTAATCTTCATAATGCTTATTCATTTCTCGTACTCCTGCAATAAGATGAAATGTATCAAAACATTCACTTCTAATTTATGATAATATTAAAAATGTTTCTTCTAATTTTCTATTATTTTTATTCTGAACAAAGAAACTGTTAAAACTATTTTAATAATTTTTTCTTGCTAATTCAAAACCTTATTAACATTCATTCTTTAGAATACTATCCCATGCTGTATCAATGTTAGGAACACCACCTCTATTAATTACACTTATGTAATTATCTAACATTGCACAAAACATTCTTCCATTCACATTTTCAGAATGTATTTATTTTGGAGAACAGTTGTTTAAAAGATATTCTTTTATTTATAACAACTTGAAATTAATTTAATAAAATTTACAGTCTTTTAAAATTCAGGTCTTAATTGATTAAGACTTAATTAATTAACTTTTGACAGTTGAGTATCATCTATAGGAGTGATTAAAGGGAAACATTGCCTCTCCTTAAAAAAGTTAAGTAATGATTTTCTTATTTTTTTACTTTATTCATTTTATTTCATATATTAACTCTCATCTGTTAGACAATATTCCATATATTCTTTAGGTGTCAAATCTCTTTGTTATTTATCTTTCATTTCTAGTACATAGTCCCTTAAAATCCAAACAAATTTAGGTGTAAAATATTTAATTTATGATTCATTAACAGATTCTTTATTCTAATCTTAAACTTAAATATTCTTTGCTAATGTTGTTGTTAATTATAATTAAGAAATTGATGTTTCATCTATGCACCCTTTTTAATTGAAAACAAAAATGGAACTCATTAAAATAGCTAAAGCAAATATTTTTGCATCATGGTTTGCTGATCTTTCAATAGATTCACTTCCTTCTGTATCTAAGAAATATATCTAAACATTAGTCTTTGGATTAATTATTGGTTTTGTATACATCCAAATACCTTAAGTACAAGAGTCAGTTGCAGCGTCAACTTTGAACTTTAAAATTTAATCATAAATTTACTCCTTCTCCTCCTGCATCTAATAGCTTATTTAGCAAGAAGCTTTTGCCTGTTCTATACTTTCCACAAACTACAACAAAACCTATATCTCCATCCAACTGTTGAAAAAATTCTCTAGCCTCTTGTGTTATTTCAAATTTTTATGTTTCCTTAGTGTACTTCACTACCTGAATGGGCTTTTCTTTTTAAGTACTCTTCATATTATTTAATTTAAATAATGCATGCTAAAATACTAACGGGTTAGAAATGAATAAATTTTATTATAGTCATTATAAGCTATAAATTCTAAATTTCATTTAATTTTAAGAATTACTAAAATTATCAATAAAAATATTCCTGTAAATAATGATTTAAATGAGAATATACAACAAAAAGTATGTAAATTCAATGAAATAATAAGAAAAATTCTTATTAATTAACTAAAAAGTTGTTTTAAAATACAATATTATTATATCTTAAAAAAAATATAAAATGTCAATATATATTCTTATTATTTTTAATAAGGAAAGTATATATAAATAAATTAAATTTATATTTTAAGAACTACAAGATGGAAAAAATAAATAAAAAGATAGAGAGTATTCTAATAAAAATAATAAAATGTAATATTAAAAGTAAGCATTAATAAGGATGTCAAATTAGATTTAAAAAACAAATACTATTTGTTAATTTTAGAAAATTATAAGGCCATTTTAATATACAGAAAATAATGATTAAAGTAGATAAATAACTAATAATATAATTTAATTGTTAATTATTTAAATGAAATTTATATATGTACCTAAGATTTATTAAATTTATTTATTGATTATTTTGCTTTTGAATTTAAGATGAGATTAATGAATATTTAATACTATAAATATCAATAAGAATTCTAGATAACTAATATATTTAATAGTATTGCTTTACTAGGAATATCATTTCAACTTTGATTAAGATTATAGGATAATAATTTAGCAAAGTCCCGCAAAAAAATTCAAACCGATATTAAATTTATGTTTCAAATAATTTAAAGGACATAGAGCATCACTATTAACACTTAAATAAATAAAATTAATGGATTTATGAAAATATTTAATTGTATTATTATTTAATTTATAATTAGAATAGAATTATAATATAGATATATAACAGTAGCGTCTAATAAAATTTTGTGAACTTTTGATTAATAAATAATAGAAATTTTAAATCAATACTTTAATATTGATATAAAAATAGATTTCCTATAATTAATTCATGAAAATTATATCTAAGGGGAATTATATACCTACTGTAGATGATATCAGAAGTTGATTTGATATGAAAGTTTTAATTGGGGAGGGAAAGTCGCTTAATGAGAATTTAGTCATGAAGTTATAGCTACAATAAGTGATTTCATATAATCTAAGCTTAATTATTTTTATTTTTATATGTATAACTCAGAATAAGTTTTAATCCTAAATGCAACTTAATTATAGTCTGTTCATTCCTAATTCAATTCTATTAATGAAGAACTTGCTTAACTCATTCTAAAAGTATGAAAATGTTATAAACTAGAAAAAATATAAAAAAATATACGCATTACTGTCATAATTTTTTGATCGTTATGACTAATCTGGTTAAATTCATTTGAATGACAGAATTCACTTTTAAAATATTCTGCTCAAATCTTTAAATAAGATATTTAAAAAATGTATACTGAAGGATATGTCACAAAATAATATTATAGATATAAAAATATGGAAATAGAAAATAGTTAAATATTTAGAAATATATCCCATTCTTATATCTAATTTAACTTCTAATTTAGATATGATCTAAATCGAAACTAAACATACCATAAGAGAGTAAATTAGAAACTCTATTTTTAAAGATTAATTATCAAAATAAATTCTAATATCAAATAATACACAACTTAGATTGAGTTAAATTGTAAGATAATTTTGTTTAGAATAAGAATATGATAGCTATTTATAAAATATTATGATGGCGTTTCGACTTTTAAGTTATTAGGAATTTAAACCTTAAGAAAAAGTTAAATATGCAAAATTGTCCTATGATGTCAGTAAGATCTTAATTTAAGGAAAAGGAAAAAGGGCATCAAAATTGTATAATTACATTTTATGTGCAACTAACTTACTTACTAAATGTTTTGAAAATAATATTGATACTATTAAAGAAGTATTAGAAGAAGTCAAGAGTTCTATTATTATTAATTACTTAATATATTTAGTTTAATAAATAGAGACAAATAATGAATTTAAAATAAAACTTAAATGTAAATGGAAATTTATAAGATTATTAAAACCTTTAATATGGTTTTGGATGTAATCCATTTATTATTATTAATCTATTTTTTAATTTGAAAAATGTTAAACCATTATTACTCTGTTAAAATGGTTAAGCTTTTATTATCTTCTTTAAAATGATGAATTGGTTGACTATATTTAAAATGTATCCACATTAACATATTCAAAATACAAAGAATATATTATATTTAATTCTGTTATAGAATCTATTTGTTTAGATGATGAAGTTGGAATGCCAAGATTGAAAAAATTAATGAGAGACATTTAAGAATAAAATAAAGAGAAATCAAATTATAAACAAACAATAAATTATTATTATAATATGAATGATAAAAACACTTCTAATTAACCAAACTTTTATTATTGCAATCCATAAGTTTAAGCTTAATTAATAAAATAACTTGATATACCATTCATTGATGTTCCTATTGAAAATCTAAGCTTAATGGACACTCGTTAATCTAGTAAAACATTGAAATGTCCAAAAAAATTGAGTTCTTCATTTAATTAAAACTATCAAAATTTATTTCGAAGATCAATATCCTAATATTCTACAAGTTTGTCTGAAAGGAAACATTAATCCTAATCTTGTCATATTTAATAAACATAATAAATTCAAGAAAATACTGTTCCTATGCTTGATAAAATTATTAAAAAATTAATAGAACAAAATATGAATCTTGATAATATTGAGTAATATTTTATACTATAAACATTAGTGATAATATATCTTAATAACAGTAATTATTAACCAAAGAGAAATTAAAATAAAAAGAGAATGATTTTTATAAAAAGCTCTTAAAATTCAAAACATAATCTTCTAATTTTTAATCTAAAATCAAAAGGAAATCAAATTAAGAACTTATTACAAAATTAGATCTATAAATTAAAATTATTGAGAGATAAACATAGCTTGATTCAAAAAATTAGCAAAATTATAATTTTTAAATAAAATAAAATGATTAGGATATATCCTTGTTATCCTTTGAAAAACCTGGAGTTGAATTAACTCCACTTTAAAAATTGAAAAAAATCATTTTTAAACATCATGAAGTGTTTTCCCTTCAAAAATTGAGGAATAAACTTAAATAATCAAAAAAATGGTATCACAAAGCATAATCATCAAGTCGAATATTAAATAACTCTACTCATCAGAAAATAAATATAGGAAGATCAGTAATGAGATAAAAATCTAAGGAATAATCATTAATAGATTTGAATTATATAAGATATAGATCACAAAGTTTATTAAGAAAAAAGTTAAGTGAAACATAATTATAATTGGAGACTTTAGATGATAGAATGAAGAATGTTAGTGCAAGAATAAAATAATCTAGATAATCTGTGGATGAACCTTTGAGATTAGACAATAAATATTAAATACTAAGTAGATCAATAATAAAATAGGAGACGAGTAAAAAATAAATATGAGATATTTTATTCATATATTTCGTAATTTTTTTGGAATTTGAATTTGAATATAATAATTAGCGGAAAAAATTTTATCTAAAGATGGAAGAAGATCAAAGTAAATAAATATATAATGTTGATTAGACTTAGTTTCATTATCATTACTCAATGATGAATAGGATTAGAAATTGTTAGAAAAAATATCTAGTAAGAGTAAAAAAATTTTCAAAATTATCTATCCAAATAAGTATTCATTATTCTAAGTATACTTTTAGTAAATAATTAATCAAATACAAGATTTATAATAGAAAGGAAAAAAGTTTGGAGGAATTGAGTAAGAAATTCGTTAGATGTCTAATTGATTATGATGAAAAGATTATATGTTTGGATTAGATTACTGAAGAATTGGGTAATGTATTGTTTAAAGTTAGGGGTTGAAAGAAGAAGAATTTATGATATAATAAATATACTTGAAAGCTTGTAAGTAGTTAAAAGAAAATGTAAAAATAAATATAGTTGGAGTGGATTCAAAACTATTTATTAAACAATTGAATAAGTATTTTATAATTAATATATATATATTAGTATGCAAATAAATAATCTAATTTCGACATAACTACACATAAAAGAGAGAAGTCTTTGGAAGTACTATCAGCTGGGTTTATTAAGTTATTTATGTAATAAAAGTCAATTTGGACTTTGGAAGAAGCTGCTAAATATTTAGGAAATGAAGTTGATCAAAATAAATTAAAAACAAAAGTAAGAAGGTTATATGATATTGCAAATGTATTAAAATCTATTGGTTTAATAAAAAAAACTCATTTGGCATCATCTAAAAAACCTGCATTTTAATGGGTTGGAAAAGAAGGGTTAAAATTATTTTATCAAAATTTAAAATAAAATGAATTGAGAAATTCAACTCAATAAATTAAAGAGAATGTAGCTATTATACCAACTCCATAAATTTAAAATCTAAATAAACCAGATAATTTTAATTAATATGTTGGTAAATGCATAGATTTGCTGATATAACAATAATTAAACGATAGAAAACTATAAACTGAATAAAAAATTAGAGAATAAAATTAAAATTAAGTCACTATTATTACTCCTAAGTTAAGAAAAACATATACAATAATTGTAATAAATATATTTTAATTTAGCCTCCAAGAGTTACAACCCCAAAAAAGACTTTGTCGAATACCCCTAAAAAAAATTAATCTAATAGTCATACTCCTAATAATAACAAAACTGTAGTTGGTTCTCTCATTGGGAAGTTTAATTAAAACTTATGATTCTTTATAGACATCTATATTTTTCATTAAATTATTTATTATAATACTCTTCCTTGTCTTTTCTAATGAGGAGAGATATAAGTACTGAATAAAATTAGTAAACCGTTGAAAACATCTCATAGTTGGGAACTACGTAATGTAATATTTAATATTTAGATTTCGATTTGAACAAGCTAATTAAGTTTTAAGCTCTATATTGCTGTCCAATTCTTTTTATGTTATAGCAGTCTTATTATTCAGCTTTCAATTGAATTTTGATGGCAATCTGCTATCTGTTATTTATTGTATCGATTCAAAATTGTTGTTGCAATTGATCCATTAGTTGTATTTTTATCGAATATTTCTACATTTCAACATGTATGAAAGTTTTTATTAGTTATTTAGAACAGATAAACACGTTTTAATAAGACTAATATAAACTTTAGTCGAAGGTTCTTATTTACTTGTACTTAATTTATATTAGATATCTGGGAGAAGAGATTTGCTATTGTTTTCAAACATCCTTCCCTTATTTAATATATTTCTTTCCATGATTTTAAAAATTAATGAAGGAAATTAGTACTTTAAAGAATCAATATCATAAATCAATATGTATCATGTTTTTAGAAACATCACTTTATTGATAATATCAATATTTCTAAGTTTAAAACTTGAAGGGTACTTTGAAATACATTGGTTATACGCTTTGTGGATGTTTTGGATACTTTTTGGAGTTTCTACAATAATAGTGATTTATTGTATTTTTTTGGTTTTGGGATTAGGAATACAAATTATATTAGAATAAAATAGTAGGCTAAAAAATTTAGGTTTGATATTTGTATTTATAAATAGTTATCGTTAATTTCTGGATATTATTTTTTATGATATCGAATGCATCAATGCTTCTTTTAATTCCAATTTCAATACTGAATTTTTATAATATAGGAAATTATTAAAATATTATTGACACCTCAAGAATAATTTTAATAGTTAACTAAATCATGTTTTCTTATTATACAGTTAGATTTAAACCTGAAATAGTTGTAAGTTTATAAACTTATTTATCTTTAAATGATTCAGTAAATCCATTAAATACTCTACCAACATTATAAGGAGAAGAATAAATTTAACAATTTAAAAAATAAGACTTTATAGATAGTCAAGTAATAGAGCCTCGAATGCAAATACCAAAAGTTGTAAAGAGAATATCTAAAACTTATTTTGGATTTGATGACATACTCTCAGATAAAAAATCAGAGACTTAACTTCCTTGTAAAAAACCCACTCATCATAAAGCCTTATCTTCTTAAATATAAAGACCTCCATAAAATTAATATGAAAATATTAAATTGACATCATTAATCAATATTAAAATAAATGAAGGACAATAGAGTAATACACAATTAGACAATATTTCGAAAGAAATTGAATAAGTATTTTTATATTATCTATTGTTAATTTAATAGGTTAATTTACCAAGATCAGTATCATTATCATCTATAAATGCATGTTGTATTTGTTTTGACAATGAACCAAATGCTTTATTTATGTAATGTGGTCATGGAGGAGTCTGTTATAATTGTGCAATTGATTTGTGGAAAAATAAAGCTGAATGCTATTTATGTCGTAATGTAATTAATATTACTTAATTTTAGAAAATTGATAGAGTCTTGAAAATTTAAATGAGTGAACAATAAAAAAATATTTATCAAGTTGTTGCTGCTACTGAAATGAATTAAAAACTAAAATTTGAACAAAAAAACTTTACATAAAACTAATAATAATGACTTACTGTCTTGGATATTATTTATAAATTTATTTATTATTTTAATATACTTTTGTTCTTAATCTTTTTTTAATTATTTGTATAATTTAGATTCTGTAAACTTATTATAAATCTATTTAAATACAAATGCATAATTAAAATGAAAGAATTAAAAACATGGCTTTTTCTCTTTTAATTTTGAATTAATATTTTAAATAATTTATAAAAATATTTAAAAATTATTCTAATAATATTAAATACCTATTTATTTACTTAATGATAATCTATTCATATTTAAGTTTTGATCCAATTATGTTAAAATGTAATTGATTATTAAAATCTATTATAAATATATATATATATAGTACATATATTGAGGATTATAATATTTTATTAAACAAACAACTTTTATTTAAAAAAATTAAAATATAAAGTCAATAATATATAAATTTAACAATTTCAAAACTTTAAAGTATCCTTGTTGCTAGAAATAGCATATAATTCTTCTGCAAAAACAGCATATCTATGATAATTAGATAATCTTGAGTTAATTGTTTGCTTTTTTTAACTTTTTGGTTCTATTTTAGGAAAAACAATAGAAACATCCTATGAATCTTCTCTTTTTGTAATGGATTAACTTTTCATTGTCTATTTAATACTACTTACTTTTTAAGATTTTTCTAATGTTTTTGTTCTATCAGTTTTTATTTGTCTATTAATAATCTTTTATTCTTATCTTTGTAATAAACTTGAAAAATTATGAAATTCTCTAATAAAACTCATTTCATCTTGATTCTTTTATTTTATTTTTGATATCTTCTCTTTATTTTCAATTAAAGCTATTTCTAAGTATTTTTATTTAAGTTAAGAATAATCAATTTATTCATTTATATCTTCTAGTTGAAATTGTTTCTTCTTTGTTTAAATGACACTATTATTTAAAGATTCATTTTATTCTTTAATTTTAGAATTCTTCAAACTACTATTTTGTGTTCTAAATCTACTTGTCATTGCAAATTCTTAATAAGATTATTCTGTTCTTTTTTTAAATTTAGGTGGTTTAAATTATATTTCTGGATTTTCTATACACATAATAGAAAATTTAACAGGCAATTAAGTTGAATTACTACTTCCATCAATTATAACAGATTAAGGAGATATATCAATAGATCTTTATTGGTTATTATTTTTAATAAATGAAGCTTAATCTTGTTAAATATCACAAAAAGATGAACTTATCTATTATATATGAGAACTATTTTTTAAACTATTTTAATTGATTTATATTGAATTTTGATTTTATAATAGTTTTAATTTATTTTATTTTATTGGACACATCCAAATGAAATTATCAATTAAACGAGAGTTTTAATTAAAAAATTATAGTTGAATTGTTTATTTATCATATTTAAATTTCTCTGCTTATGAATTATTTTAACATAATATTATTTAATTTTATTTCCCATCATATAATTAGGATGTATCTAAAGCAGGTACTTCTAATTTAAAAACATTCTAAATTTTCTAATAGTATTTATTTAAAAATATAGTTTTTTAATAGAGTGAACTCTCCCAAATATTATCACTAAACATAAGAATTTTTGTTCCATTAAGTTTGAATCTGTAAGTAATTAATGCCAAAGCTATAACTCTGTATTTGGCTTCACTTGTTGAAGCATAAGTGAATTTAATGTAATCTCTATTGTTTATATAATCAAAAGATATAGATGCTCCAAAATGAAGTAATCCATAAATATCTGCTTATATTTAATATTTAAGATCATTCAAGGATTCCTTATGTTTACTTAAATATTCTCTATTTCTGCAATTCCATTTTGATTAATTTTAATCTTATTTAATAATACTATAATCTATTAACTTTTGTTCATTTTTGTGTACCTTTTGAATTTCTTGAATAAGCCATTTAGGAACAACGGAAATATTTAAATGATCTAATTGAATTAATGATTGTGCATATGTAGATTAAATAGAATCATTAAATATTTAAGATTTAAATTGTAGTCTAACAATTTAATTATCTGCCATAATCTTAAAATTATTATAATTATACCGTATTATATTATTCTAAGAATTTAAGGGAATGTTTTTAATTGCTAACAATCTCTTGAATTTTTGAATATGTTTACATATCAAGATATAAATTAGGTGTTGGGATTTGTGAAACATAAAATGATATTTCTTTATAGAAATTATTTCTGTGATTCCATCTAATTCTTCTGAACCATCTTTATATTACATATATAGCTCTGGATTGATTTATCAATTTCATAATAGTAATAAATTTCATACCCTTAGAAACAATGTTTCTTTTTGCTCTAAAGTATTTTTGGATTCTACATACAGCTGCTATTTCTCTTAATTAAAAATCAAAAAATATATGGAGTTATTTATTTCTATTTTAACAATTATATTAATAGATCTTTTTCAAAATATTCAAATTATCTAATTCTATATATTTTATTAAATTGTATTCTTCTGACTAAAATTTATCTATTCTATGTAACATTTATTAATGTCTCATTAATTCCTGATTATTTAATTCATATTATTTTTTAGACAATTTAACCTTGACATATTTAATAAAATTATAAAGAAATTCATATTTTATTATGTCCCTATTAATATTAGTTTCTCCAAAGGTTTTCTTTAATTAATGAAAATTGAATAGTATGACTCCAGATTTGATTCTATGAAATAGTAAAGGTATAAGATTTTTATGTTAGCAACTATTTTAAATGTGCAACCTTATGGTTTTAATGTTTACTTCTTTGGCATGTAAATTAAAAGCATTTTTAAATATTTGCTCTTATGATTTTAAAATATAAAATCGTTTAACTTAATTCTAATTCAAAAATTCTCTAAGATGTTTGACTTTCCATAAATTGATTTTCAACGCTTTGTATATTAAATTAGAAGCATTGCTAATAATATATTATTAAAACCTTCGCCTTTTCAACTCCTTATATGAATTAAGAACTCTTATATAACTTTGTTTGTATTATGCAATGAGAATACTTCTAACTTCCTTTCTTCTAACTACAAAGCTTCTCCATTGATTAACTAATTTTTGTGCCAATTAAATATTCATAAAATTACAAAAAATATCAATCATTCATAGTTTAATTTAACTTTTTGTTTGTGATAATAGTTTGTCCAAGCACCTCCATTATTTGAATAATAATCCATTGGATAGATCTATTTCCAATCAGCTTCTCCTAACATAACATAAGTTTCATATGGAGTTAATAATGGTTTTGTAAATTATACTCCCCAATCAATTGAGAGTCTTGGACAAGCAATTTATATAAATACATCTACTTCATTCAATTAATTTAGTTATTCAAAATTTATTTCACTTATCAATAGTGTAAAATATTAAATCTAATGTTTTTTTAATAATTCTTCGATTCTCTACAAAATTTAAGTACTTCCCTATCTTCCAAGTGTACTCATTATTATACATACTAATTAAGGTTATATTTTTTAGCAATGTACAATTTATTAATATCTTAAATTCATCATTTTTGGATTGTCATATTTTTCTATAGTAAGTCTATAAGTGTATGGATCATATTAGAAGAATTCAAATTATGGATTTTGGATCATAGTTGATTCCATATGAAATCTACCATCACATACAAAAATGACTACATTTCTACTATCTTAAGATACCTCTAATTTAGGGGAAGTACATCCCAAGACTTCTCCTGATGATCTTGGTTTTTCTTAAGGAATTGCAATTTTATAACCATCCTCTTCTAATTATTTCTTGAGTAAATGTATATAAGTATTAAATTATATTGTACCCATTAAATAATACTTTATATTTTTATCAGAGAAGTTCTTTTTGATTGTTTCAAATAAATGTGTTGTATCAATATTAATTTCAACAAAAACATACAAGGTTTTAACTGTACATTCATTAATTGGAATCAAACAACTATGACCATAATGAATTATATAATCAGCTTGCATTTCATCTGCTGTCAAATCATCAATACAACATGCACCATATGTTACATCTCCACTGATAAAGGTTTCACAACCAGTAAAGGTTGTTAGAATATCTGATATCATACAAGAATATAATAATAATCCTTCTGGAAATTATAAATTGATTAAGATGTTTTGTCTTTATAGTCTCTCTTAAGTTTCAATAATTCTGCTTATTGTTTTATGAATTTCAAAATTATAATGTTTTGGTAACTAACTTATTGCATTATTCAAGGCTTAATTATTTAGAATGTATTCTGGTATTTGATTTAAGAGTTTAGGTTTATTCTACACATTTTAAATCATTAATAAATATTTTAATATACCAAGAAAATAAGAATTTTTTAAGACAATACTATATTCTAACACATTTAATTTATCTTAATATTTATGATGATATATCATTCCAATTTAGCATCATAAGTAAAATCTTAATATTTTTAACCAATGCTTTCACCTCCAATCGATAACGAATTTGGATCATGTGATTCCAATGGCTACTCAGTAAATTCTGGATCAAAGTTTGAAACATCTACTTCACTTTTCACTAATGGGATAAATGGTGGCTTATATAGTTTTTTCAATAAAGTTTCCCAATTTACATTTAAAAACCAAGGATGATCCTTAACTAAACATATAAGAATTACATTTACTTTCTTAAGCTCCCTTACTTCCCAATCTTTTATCTGGATTCTTAGAAAATAATCCTTCTAATAAGGATTTACATGCTGGTGTTAGACTTACTGGATATTTTAATTATGCAAATTTAATGCTTTCAAATAATTCTTCTCTATTTTAAGTATAAAATGGAGGAAATCCTGATAACATTTCATATATGATTGCTCCTAAAGTCCACCAATCAACTGGTTTACCATGACCAGATTTTAATAAAATTTCAGGAGCCAAATACTCAGGAGTACCACAAACACTTTAAGCATCTTTGGTACCTTTAACATTTCGTTTTGACAATCCAAAATCAGTAATTCTAATATAACCTTATGCATCAATCAAAACATTTTCAGGTTTAAGATCTCTATAGATGATATCATGATTATGTAAGTGTTCAAGAGCTAAGACAATTTGTGCAGCATAGAATCTTGCCTTAAATGATATTTGAATATTATACTTGATCTTCTGTAAATACTTTACGCTTTTATAATAAATTAAATAACTCTCCTCCTGAACAATATTCAAGAACAAAGTATAATTTCACATCACTTTTAAAAGCATAAAACATTTTTATGATAAATGGATGCTTTACTTCAACTAGAATGTTTCTTTCTCCTAAGACATGGTCTTCTTATTTTCTTTTTTCAATATTTTTTTTCTTTAAAATCTTCATAGCATAAATTTCCTTATTATCCTAAGTTTAAAGAATCAAGTCATACATTTTTTTTCACTAGTACTACTTTAGCATAAGACCCTTTTCCAATTACCTTAAGGAGTGTAAAATGATCTATTGTTAATTTCTCCATTTATTTATAATATTTGTAATGTGCATATCAAGATATGTTGTATATATAATCTAAAAATTCTTAACATCGGTATTATTTATTTTTAAATTAATATGGATTCAATTTTCGGCTTATAAGGAGGTGATTTTGTAATTGTTGCATGCGATGGTAGCATTGCTCACAGCATTTTAAAAATTAAGGAAACTGAAGATAAAATTCTTAAACTTGATGATCATAAGATTTTTGGTATTTCAGGTGAAGGAGCTGACAGAAATTCTTTTGGTGAATTAGTACATAAGAATCATTCTCTTATAAGATATAAAACAGGTGCATACATGAATCTTAAAGAAACTGCTCATTTTGTTAGGTATTGTAATTAATAAATCATTAAGATCCATGTATGCTTAAGCCATCAGATCAAGAGATGGCCCTCATTAATGTAATGGCTTATTAGGAGGAGTAGATTCAGATGGTACACCTTCACTTTATTGGCTTGATTATTTGGGATCTCTATAAAAGATTACAAGAGGAGCTTAAGGGTATGCAAATTACTTCCTATTGGGTTTGTTGGATAACTAATATAAACCTGTATTTAATTGATTATTATAATAAGAATTTAACAAAAGAAGAAGGAATTGAAATAATAAAGAAATGCATTAAAGAATTATAAACCAGATTTCTGATTGCTTAAAATAAATTCATCGTTAAGATTGTTACCAAATAAGGAATTGAAACATTCACATTATGAACATAATTACAATTATAAAATGTTTATCTTAATTATTAAATTGTTTTTTTAGATGTAAAAATTATAAGTAACTATTTATACATTAATATATAAATATATCAACTTTAAATATATCATACATAAATGTTCATAAATTGTTTTTGAGTAATTCGTATTTTTTATGATTCAGAATTATTGCTAAAAATTCTTTTTTATATTTTATTTGTTTAATATATTTATGCTTATTATATTTAATTACTGATTCAAATGTAAAATCATTAATAAGAAATCTGAAGTTTCGATAGTAATTGTATATTAAACAATTATTTTAAAAATTCATCTTATCAAATTCCTTTTACATATATTTTCATTCAATTATATCTTAAATGGCTATATTTAAAAAATAAGTCAATTTTTACTTATTTCTACTATCTAATTTAGGTTTTTTTATTTCTCTTATAAATTAGATATTTTGTATTTTAATCAAAACTATTTTTTTCTCTTTTTAAATAAATTCTTTTAAATTCAAATGATAAAGTAATTAAGATAAATATTTAAGAGATTGCCAATCATTTAAGAATAATTTATTAGGTTAATTAAAGATCGAATTATAATTATAGAATATTGAATATTTGATACAAAGTATGTAATATTTAGTTATTTATTGTTTAGATAATAAATAATCTAGATGAATTTAAATTTTGGAATATCAAATAGATTATTTTAAGGATGGATATTATTTACTCTAATATTTTTGATGTATTATATGAATATTATTTATTTAAATGGTCAAGAGTTTTAACCCAATAATTCTTGCAATTTTTATTTTCTTTACTCTAGTTCAAATGTCTCATCTCTTATCTTCCTTACTTCTTCTTCCAATAGTTCCCTTGTGATGTGTGTTTAAAGGAATTATTCACCTCTACTTTAATTAAGGAGATTGTTGTGTCCATACAAAATAATTAAACCCTAGAAATTATTGTTATTATTCATACAAGTGCTCCAGCTAATATAAAAATCAATTCATAAAGTGGTAACTCTACATTATTTTATTATGTAAGGGGCTTAAAGATATAAATAAAAGTTTACATCATCCATTACTAAATAACCATGAGGTAAATTAGCCAAAGGATCAGTTTCATCAGCATGGAAATATGGATCAGACCAATAGAATCTCTCAAAACTTTAAATATGAATAATATTTGAAACCTGAAGAAAGGAGCATTTACTAAATGTTGATATGGATTTGTATTGTCATGGTGAGGATGATCATGGAGATCATTGAAGCCAGTGATACCAATTAATTTGCCATTCTCATTTGAAATCCAATTTTAGACAGTATTTAATTTAATATGGTGATGGCCATGTCCACCTGATCCAAATCTAAATAAACCTAAAATTCTTTTCATAATTTTATTATTATAGATAATAATAATAATAATAATAATAATTAATATTAATAGATTATTATAAGTATCAACAACAATTATTTCCATTAGGAGTATCTATTTTTTTCAACTAAACAGCTTCTTCATAAGTGTTTATTACTTTTATATCTTTATCCTTTTTTTTATACTATCCACCAATCTTAATACCTGGCTACAATAAAATAAGATCATTTACATCTTATCCAAGTAATATTTTTTAATCATCTATTTCTTACAAAATCCTCTATGTAGATTAATAAAATGCTGATTAAACATTGATACCCTATTTAGCTGATATCTCAAGAAAGATCAATGATTATGATTAAGCATATTACCATCCTTCTTCATATGTTACTGCTCGCCTCTACATAAAATCTATTTTAATTACTCAGATTCCAAATCAATCTTATTACCACATAGTACAATTATCATATTGGCATTACCATTATTTTTTATTTCTTCCATCCATCTTTATAGATTATGAAATGAGTTTTTATTTGTAATATCATAAACTAATAGAGCTCCTTCAAATATAATTTTACATTACCAATAGCTGATCTATAATAACTACGAATAATAGATCTAAAGTTCTCTTAACCAGCAGTATCCCATATTTACAATTTGATATTCATTCCATTTACTTTAATGATTTTAGCTCCAAATTCAACACCTATTGTAGCATCATGTTATTCTTTAATTTCATTTTCAATCAATTACAAAAGGATACTTGATTTTCCTACTCCTAATCATTATATTATCTTATTTAACCTGTATCACCTATTATTATAAACTTAAACATAAGACTATAATTAGACATCTTTTTAATATTTTAATTATCATTTTATAAACAATCATATTAATTTTTATTCTTCTTTACAAATTTTCCATTATAGAATCTCTCCTTAAGCAGTTCCACCAATCATTTTATTTGTAAATGGTAATTTTAATAATACATAGATTGATCCTTTTCCTACTACCTAACTATTCAAACAAAGACTTTCTTTCCAATTCCATATTTTAATCTTACCCTCTGTACTAGATGAAGCTATAGTGTCATCATCAATCATTTAAATTGACCAAACAATATTTTAATGACCAATTAAAGTTTTTAAAATTTCTCCTGTATAAAAATTTGTAATCTAGATTGTAGCATCAGATGATCCACTTGCTATTATAGATCCTTTCAATTGTATCATACAATTAACATATTATTTATGAATTTTCAATTCAGTTATTTTTTAAGTTTTCTCCCCAGATTAACCTGTATTTATTACCTTTATTGAACCATCTCTATAATAATAATATTTTTATTTACTTATATCCACTTAAAACTGTACAATGTTCCTAAATTGCCAAAAGAGACCATATTTCTAATTTACTTTCCATTTTCCATATACAAATTGCTGTCTTCCAATTCCACCCTCTTATTACACCATCTTCCCCTCCACTTACAACCATAGACTAAGTCTATTATAATACTTATAAACATAAAACAGGTTTTGTATGACCATTTAAAGTATTTTAACAAATCCCTGTTGATATTTCCCAAATCTTAATTGTTGTATCATAACTACCTGATATTATATGTTTATTTTCTTAAAGTAATCCTATTGCTTTAATATAACTTTGATGTCCTCTCAAAATCAATTTTTCTTAAGATTTCAAATTGAAAATAACTATAGTTTTGTCATCACCAGAGGATGCAACATAAGGATAATTTATTAATAATAGTCCATATACACAATTATCTTGATGATGAAAATAAGTAGATTAATGTTGGAGATGATAATTACAACAATTTAATGGCCCATTCTTTATCTTTTTGATTTTCCCATCATAAGTCAAAAATTGTTCCCCTACTAATTAAAATGGTTTATTATCAATATAAATAGATTCTATTAGCTAATTTTATTAATCCAAATTATATTCATTCAAATAACCATTTTATAACAAAACTCTCAAAATTTTTTAATCTTTTTAATCCAAAAATATCTATATATCTTATATTTATTATTCAATCTTTATTACTTATAATACATTTTCTAATTCCCAATTCCAAATACATATTAATTGATCATTATGCACTGATACTAATAAATCATTATTTTAAGGAATAACTTCTAATTTCATAACTTCATTATTTGAATTTTTAAGTTTTTTAATATGATCTGCTTGTAATTATGGTTTAGATTCATTTAGATATATAAAATGTATTGTACCGTCAACACAACCTAAAAGAATAAAATTACCCAATAAAAGATTACTAAAAATAACACTCACCTATGATTCCATCTTTTCATGAAAGTTTAATTATTAATTCCACCAAATGCAATATACATTATTTGAATATGAAGTAATTAAATAATTATTCTAAATTAAAATTAATAGTATTTACATAGACTTGCATACAAATAACATGATATGTGTTTTAAATTTGTATTTCTGATGATAATTTTAGAGTTGTTATAATCTCTAATTATTTATTGTATAATAGAATATCTCCTCCTTGCATTCCTACTGCAATATTATTATCTTTTAATTTTACAATGCAATTAATAATATAGCTATCCATATTCTCTGTATGAATAACTCCACTATTCTTATACTTTATAATTCCATTGGAGAAACAAAAAAGATTCATTTGATATTGGCAAATTATTCTAGGATTTTATAATTATTCAATTCTTCTATGAGCAAAATATAATTGGTTTTTTAACATTTTGTTTTCTCTTTTAAGACTTTCAAATTCTTAATTAATAAATTCATTCAATTTATTTAATTAAGCTTCATACTTTTTATCTATTTTATTCACAGATATATCAATAGCTTACATTTTAGAAGTAACTTCTTCAAAATATTTATTAATATAACTATCTAATTCAAATTATTGATCCAATTCTTCAAATAAGATCTTTACTATATTTTGATTAGCAGTTAATTCTGTATTTTATTGATTTACAAAATTATAAAAAAGAGTTCTCAATTATATATAATGCTCTCTTTTTAAATCTTTTAATAAGAATTTATTATTATTATTTTAACTATCAATACTTTATTCTTAATTATGAGCATAATTTGTAAGTATTTCAAATTTGCTTGCTAATATTATTTCTCTAATTTTATCCACTATTTATTAACTTAATAATCTAATATCAGTTCTATGCACTAAAAGTCCTTCTCCTCCTATTTCTAATAGTTGTTATGTATAATCTAATCCTTCAATTAGATTGATTTATTAAATATTTTACAATGCAAATGATAACAGTTATTCTTATACTGTAATACCTTCAATTTATGGTGATTAAGTTATCCCTATAATATCACATACTTTCAAGGCTTACCAGACATCTTGTATACAAAAATCAATTTTGAAACCAAATAATAATTTAACACATTGTTCAACTACAAATGCTTCCTTTTCAGTCAAGCCTTAAATTTCAACTTCAATCTTTTGTTAAGTTTTATTCATTAAAACTTACTCATAAACTAATTTGGACCATCCTGCAGCTAAATCACTAGAAATTCCAAAGGAAAGTGGAATAGAAGGGAATATGAGTGTAAAATCATAGGCAGACATGAAACGATTATTTCGAAGGTAGGATGCTGTAAGAGAGGGCTAATAAAATAGTTGAATGCTAAGACTCATGATTATAAAAATATATTTAATAATTAGTTAGAAATAGAGAATTAGAGATAGTATGTTGTAAATTATATAAAGATATAGTATTGTATATTTATCGAAATATAAAAATAATAAAAGGTTCAGGAAATATAAATTAAATTTAATTAATTTGTGGTTGAATGTCTATTACAGTTGAAGATTTAGCAGCTAATATCGAGACAGTCTTAGCCTCTTTGGGTGATGAAAAAATGTATACTTGTCTTCATCTTGTAGGGTCAACTGGGAAGTGGTTGAGTAGACAGAACATAACCTAATGAAACATTTTGATTAACTATTTGAGAGATTATATACACTCAAAGATTCATTATAAAGAGTATTCTTAATAAACATCAAAAATTTGAGATAATATGATGCAAAGGATTTAGTCTAAAAAGTTAAAGATAAAAAACTAGAACCTGTTGTTTTAAAATCATTAACTCAATATGCCTTTAAAAATGATAAGGATGAATTATTACTTAATCCTTCACTCATTAAAGGATAGGTTAACAGTATTGTTTTACCATGGGTTGGAAATAATTTATCAGTGACTGATAAAATTAAAGAAACTAATGAATGGCTTGATTAAAAATTAGCTGAATTAGAAGTCTTTAAACCTAAAGAATCTTAAGAAACTACTAAAATCTAAGATTTATAACCAAAAAATGAGGGAAATGATAAAAGTATCATAATTTATTCTAATCATAAGACAACTACACATTCAAAAGTGACAAATTAAATGAAATTGCTTCATAAATTTAAACTATGCATATTCCAAATACAAATAACATGATTAGTATTAAGACATACACTTAAATAGTTGAAGGTAGTGTTGAGTTGGCTGAACCTGAATTTATAAGAATTACTTTGGAAAACAGAAAGGCTAGAAGAGAAGTTCTATATTCTGATGGAGCTAAATATGTTTAATTATTATTGGATTATGTTAATGACATTGAAAATCTACTTATGAAGGCATAAGAAGAAATATGTAAAAAAATTGATATTTCATAATAAACACTTGAATAAAGTGAAATGTTATTAATGGAAAGAGGACTTGGATAACATGTATTTATGTTACAAGCATCAGCAAGATAAAGAATCAAGGATAAGCTACCAAAATAGAAATAGGTTTAAATGAATGCTACAAAAGAAATTATTAGATATTAAATCAAATTACTAAATGAGAAATAAGATTTCTTAAAAAATATGATTGATAAATTGCCAACAACATATGAATCAGGATAATTAGTTCCTATGGTATTAAATTTAGTTATGGGAGATATGATATTTGAAGAACATAGCTATGAAGAAGAAGATTATATTTCTAATCTTGAAAATCCATGTAAAATAGTTTAAATATTTTAGAATTATTCTAAGATCCAGATATGATGGAATTACTAAAATCAATTGAAACTGGAGTTGTTTAATTATTAGGAAAAACAGCATTCGCATAACCTTAAGGTGGTATGATGGGTAACATTCCTCCACAAATGTTATAGAAATAATAATAATAATGATGAATGTAGATTTTACATATCAAATATAAATAAATTTATAAACATAATCTTAAATTGAAAAAATTAATAAAAAAATTGAATTTTGAAAATAAAAAAATTGTGAAAATTAATTATTTTTATTTATTTAGAAATTGTATAATATATAGAAAACAATATTAATACATCTGATAGGTTTAATTATTATCAATAATAATATTGAGTTCTTTTTAATAAGTTAAATGAATAACAATATTAAATAAAGAAGCTAAAATTATAGTAAAAATAACTTAATATAATAATAAATCTCATTGTCATCAAAAATAATCTAGTTTAAATTAAGGTCTTCTAATTAATTTTGAATTTTGAGTTTCTTTATGTTTAATATATATTAATAATTGATAATTTTTATAATGAGAATATTAATTGTAAATGGATATGGGAAATCAGAAACTGGTAAATAATAATTTGAAAGATATTGCGGATAAATACGAAAAGTAATCTTAAAAAACATTAATAGTTATTTTTGAATTAAAAAGAATTACTGGACACAGAAACAGAATTTTTTTCTAGAGATGCAAATGATTTAGATGAATTCCTTTATGATTAAGATTCTGGCTATTCTAAATAAGAAGCTGCAAATTAATTTAATTTTATAGATTTTGTTTTTATTGAAATAGATGCGAAACTTAGACCATGGTCTAAACATTTAAAAAAAGTTAAAACATTAATAATATATTAGGTTATGGTGCTTATTAGAATGTGCTTAAGAACTAATAAAGTTTTATTGGCTACAGCAGGAGCTATGCAAGCATTGGTTTTTTTTGTAGCTACCAACTTAGAAACTGTATGAATAAATTATTAAAATGGTTAGCCTGTTGATGTAGTAAATGGTCCATAGGGTGGTCCTCTTGGTGATATGAGCAAACTTTAAAAATCACTTGATTAAATTACAAAGAATGAATATTTTTTGGATAGCATAACAGGTGATCTCTATGGGATCTACTTTGATAAGATTGAATCTGCAAATTGTTGGATTCCAATAGCCAATTGTGGAATACATTCTAGAAGAGCTGTAGAAGAATTCAATACAGTTGGAAAGTATATGTTACAGGCTCCAGTTTATAAACCTTAAAAAATAAAAGAAATTTATGGACTTTATACATCTACATAGGATGAAGAAATATGCTTGATAAAAAAAAACTTTGTTTAACATTACTTATTTAAAGATATTATGTAAGAGTTCTTAGTTCATTCTAAACATGCATGGGATATACATTCATTTAATGTATTAAATCCAAAAAAAACATTTGTTATTTTAGCAGATTCATCAAAAGGACCTTAAGTAATTACAGTAAATGAAAATATTGTTGGTTTATAATTTGATATTAATCCAAAATATCCAGAAACATAATTAATTCTAAGAAACTTCATTATTCATTATTTGATTTAAATACGATCATGCATAAATATGCCATAAACTATCTAATAAGCTAATAATGATTTAAGAAAAAATAAATTAGATTTAGAGAATATGACTAAATAATAAGCAGAAAGTTAATAAAAGGGTGAAAGAACAGCTTTTAATTTTGAAGTGTTGACTAAATTTAAGCATGTAGGATTTACAGGTAAAAAAGCAAAGAAATTGGAGATTGTTATGAATAATGCAATAAATGATTAAGGACAATTACAAGAGGCTATGAAAACTATGAGATAGAAGTAGTCTCCAAGAACTAAGTAATCAACAGAAGAGACTGATCTAGAGAAATCTAAGTTTGCTAAGTTTTCAACTAAATTAAATCATGAACATAGGGATACTACTGAAAAGTTCAATAAAACAGCTGCTGAAATTAGATAAATGTTGCATCCAAATATAGATGAATAATTATTACCTGAGAATGAACCTTTGTGGGTATAATTGTTATTTAATATTTTATAGGTACCTGGAACAATGAATACTTCTATGTTAGCTAGTTCTGGACAAAGAATTAGATAAAGACCTTAATCTACAACTTAAAGTCGTACATTTAAATTAACTAGAGTTCAAACTGCAAAATCTAGAGTATCAAAGGGTACTAATAAAGAGGATTATGATTTATGCAGGGAACATCCAATTGTTAGATGTTCATCTCCATATATTACTAATGTAGAAAGAGATAGATTGGATCAGAAATAAAAAGATAAATAAATAATTGGGCCTAGAAGCATTAGGACAAGTGTTATAAGCACAATTAAAGGTGGAACTCCATTTATTTTGTATGATAATCCATATAGCAATCCAGCAGATTTTAAACATAGGGATGAAAATAAGTCTAAATGGGTTGGTGGCCAGAATTTTAGAGTTTGTTGATTTATAACTATAATAATATAATGGATTAAGAAAAAAGTCTTATTGATTTGAAATAGGCATTGACTTATCGAAATAGAAGCAAAGAAATTACAGATATAATTGTAAAGGGAGTTCAAGATCTTAAATTCTTCAGAGAAAAATAGTAGTTATTTGATCCAGCATTATATTGTTAGATGCTTAAAAAGATCTAACTGAAGGAATTCAAAAAAGGAGAAGTAGTATTTCATTATGGTAACATTATTTTGAATGGTAGGTTCTAATAATGTTGAATAGTTTTATGTAATTCTATAGGGATAAGTTGCAATATTATGTCCTAATGATAAAAGCATTACACATCAATAAGTTATTGAAGAGTATTAAAAAGGAATAGATTCTAATCCATCGTAAATAAGAAGATCATCAGCAATTTACAGTCCTAGATTATCTGCCTTTAATAATAGAGCACTTAAAGATATCATTATGGCATAGGCTTATGGTGATTTTTTAGGAATCAGTAATTATTCAATTATATAGTTGATTTTTTTAGATATTCAAAAAGTCGATTAACAATCCTTAATTGAAGAATATACTAATAATCCAAATCAAATATCAGTTGATAAATGGTTAGATAATTTAGTGAAAAGATTATTTCCAAGTTTACATATAGTAAATATGTGTTGTACAGGAGACTAATTTGGAGAGATAGCTCTTATAGGTAAAGTGACTAGAACAGCAACTGTGTTGTGTACTTAGGATACAGCAATGATTACTTTAGCCAATCCAGACTTTCAAGCAATTTTATAATAATATCATGATCAGGTTAAAAATGAAAAGATTTCTTTACTCAGAAATTTTGAACTATTTAGTAAATTAACTGATAAAAGACTAAGAGGTATTCTAGAAAATATTATTGTTTAAAAACCTTCAATGTTTAGTATAATTTATATGGAAAATTCAATCCCAGAATATATCTATTTTATTAAATAAGGAGAAATTGAATTACTCAAAGTATTTCCTAAGAACAAAACAGTTTCAATTACCTTACTTTAAGTAGGCTGCGTCTTTGGACATGAAGAAGTGTAGTAATCCATTTCAAGAGAATACAGAGCTATTTCAAAATCCTCTTAGTGTGAATTATATTTATTACCTGTTGAAACTATATAATAATTTGAGAAAAAAAACTCGCAATCTTTAGAAAAAAAATTCCATCACGAAAGACTACAAAGGTTATTGAGTGATAAAAAATCATAGAAAAATAGTTCAAAAATCACATAAAATTCTATTGAATAGTATAAAACAGTATTTGAAAAGGATTATTCGAACCTTTTTAGTCATGAATTACTTTAAAAAAGGTACAATATAAAAGTAATTAAGAATAATATCACCAAGACATAAAAAAATAATGACAGAGTTATTTACTCCTTTATTTGATGTTGATAAGAAATGTTTTAATTCAAAAAAACAATTAACAGATAGGAAAACTATTAATACAACAACAACTAGATATAATAAAGAAAATTCAACAAGACAATTAAGTACGTAAACAACAATCAATATACACAGACATTTATTCAGTCCTAAAGTGAGTAAAAGACAACTAGACACCATTATGCCCTTCAAAAAAATCTTGTCATAATGAACTTTCATAAAATATATTATAAAAATATTATAAGTAGAGATTGATAAGTTTAGTTTCAATAATGGCATTCTTCAATTTACAAGTTATTGTGATCATCTATATTTAATTAATTAAGAATATTGCTCAAAGTAAAGTTTTTGTTTTCAATTGGTTTTTGAGTAAAGCTCATGTCTTCATACAAGTATTATTCATTCATTTCAACTTCCTCTTCTATCATATCCTAATAATTAAAATTATTTTCAATATGTTCCTTAACTTTATTCATGATATATCTTTTTTTTTTTTAATTTTATTTATAAAAAATAACATAATACTTTTAGCATTAGAAGAGGTAGGAGATGATTTATTTGTACTGGTATTTAAAACTGAATGATTATATTTTATCTAAAGTTGTGCTATATTGATAAATAAATTATCTTAATAAAGGAGAATTCAATTTTGAAAAAGTATTCAAATTATATATATTTATAAATTTAAATAAAATAATATATGAGCAAGAAAACTGAGAAAAAAAAATAGGAAAAAATTATTGAAGATAGAACATTTGGCTTAAAAAATAAGAACAAAAGCAAATAAGTTTAAAAGTAATTCTATTATGTAAAATTTTTAGTTTTTGTAAAGGTGTAGCACAATAAGTGAAATATAGTGGAGTTTCTTTGTCAAAATTATAATCGGAAGAATATGAGAGAAAAAAAATTGAAAAGTAATTGGAAGAGGAAGAGAGACTTATGCAATCTCTATATAAAACAGTGGAAAAAGTAAAGGAAGAAGAATCAGAAGAGGAAGTTGATCCAAAATCAATATTATGTGAATATTACAAATAAGGTAGGTTGAAATGATAAGGCTAGGTCTTTGTTAGAAGGGTAAGAAATGCATGTATTCTCATGATATGAGTTTGGAATAAAAAACTGCAATACTTGATTTATATACTGATTAGAGAGTATAATTAGGTGATGAATGGGATACATGTTAAAATTGGGATGAAAAGACTTTGAAGGATATTGTTGAGGCTAATGAGAAGACTTATAAAAGGTATATTTTTATGGAATATCCAAGTTAAATTCCTTCGGCAAAAGTCTGTGATTATTTTCTAGACGCATTAGAGAAAGGTAAATATGGATGGAGATGGGTATGTCCTAATGGGATGACCTGCCATTATAAGCATTGCCTTCCTTAAGGGTATGTATTTAGAAAGAAGGAAGAGCCAAAATAAAGGTAAGAAGGTGATCTAGAAGAAGAAATAGATGAATAAATTTCTTAGTTATAGAAGGGAGGAACAAAAATTACAAAAGAAGTTTTCGAAAAATGGAAATAAGACAGAGCTGAAAGAAAAAAATTAGAAGCTGAAAAATAAAAATTAGAAGAATAGAAGAAAAAAGGTACAAAAATTTTAATGTAATTTTAGGTTAAAAATAAACAGGAGGTAATTCATAAATGACAGGAAGAGCTTTATTTGTTTTTGATCCTAGTTTATTTATTGATGATGAAGAGGCAGAGAAAGAATATGAAAGAGAGGAACTAGTTGATGAAAATGATGAAGATGATGAAGATTAAAATAAATAAAAATTATATGAAGGAGATGAAAACTAATAATAAGATGAAGAATTTGATTAATAATTTAAGTAGTAATAATAATGATAAAATGTTCATTATAATTTATTATTTATCTATTAAAGTAAATTATCATTAATTAGAGTTGTTAATGAATTTAATTTGATGTCAGAAACTACTATATCTGGAGTACTCTTTTAAAGTTGATTTTTTAGATTTATAATTTGTTAAATGTTAAACAATCCCTCAAATGATATTTTGTACTCTGTATTATATTCAAATAAATTTTATGTTTCATTTTCAACTTAATCAACTCCATTATAAGTTTGGATATTATTAAAATAAGAATTATTAAATGTAAAATTTGCAGCTACATCAATTATCTCTTTTTCTATTCCAATATTAAGTATAATACAAAAGGTTTCTTTAAACTTTTATTTTATTTTTAATTTAATATTAAGCGAACAAAAATAAGGTCAAAGTACTTATTAAAAGTGACCTATGTAAATTTTAAATAAAAAATATTAAATTATAGACTTTATTGAATAAGTATAAAATATATTTTCTCTATATTAATGATAAGGTGTATTTAGTAGGGAATTAAGTTGGATTTGTGGGAAACAACACTGATAATGGAGTTTCTATACCTAAAAAAATATATTCTATGTGTTTCTATTCTAAAAACTATGATTTTTATAGTTATATATTTAAAGCATCTTGTCTTGTTATAAAAAGACAATAAGGTACTTTCTAATTGGAATGTGAAAAAAATGCCAAAAATAGAGTATTTGAAATCATAAAATAATTATTCGCATTATTTTTATATTCTTAAAAGACATTAGTTAATGTATAAAATATTTGTGTTTTATTTAATATTGTTGACAATGATTTTAGATTTAATAGACTATATTCATTATAAACAATTTTATTTCTCTTATCATAAACTTAAAATTGAGCAAAATGTTCTTAAAGTGACAAAGATTATAATTCAGTGGTAGAATTAAATGTCACTTAAGTAACAACTGCATACTTAGTTACACCTTTTTCCATTATTTAACAGACCTAATCTTTTCTAAATTGAATATTTCATATATACTTTTATTGATTTACTTTATTAGCAGGAGTACTTGGATAATAAGATTAAAATATTTATGAAAAAGAATTCGAATTTGAATGGGGGGATGTAATTGTTTAGATTAAATGTTTTGATTTTGGTGTTTAACATAATTGTTATGATGGGTATTATTATTTTTTTTTCATATAAAATTGAATATGAAATTATATATATAAAATATTAAAATAAATCAATGAAATAATACTGAACTTTGTATCATCTTTCATCGCAGATACTATCTTCCTTAACATCATTAATTGGTTAAGGTTGATGCTGGTTTTAAGGATTACTAATGATAATATCACCAGCAGTGAGTTCATCATGAGTTACAAATGAATCATGCATTTGCTCTTGTTAATCTAATTAAGGTTTTGTTTCGATTTAAATTAATACTACATTATCAGGATGTTTATATGCTGGTTTTTAATTTACTTTTTTTTTTTGAACACATTATAAAAGAACTCTCCCAGTTTAAAATAAGATTGGAGACTTCCCATCTTCTGGTATAATAAGTAAATCTTCATCTTGTGCCAATACCAAAGTACCAAATTTGCTTTTACAATCCTAAACTCTTATTGTATAATCTGGATTTTCAACTGTGTGTTTACTAGTTGGTATTAATTTTAACATTGCATGAGATCGAGAAACGGAGATATCTCTTAATTTTATATCACAATCTGGAATTCTACCCTATATATATTAGAAATCAATTTATTACAATTTTCAATTCCGTTTTTTCACCTATTTCAACAACATATATCATTGCTTCTTTAGATTTATCATCATTTGTCACTTTAAATGTTATATATGAGGACTTTGGCTTTGGTAATTTTAGAACTGAATAACTCTTATCTTAAAATGTATAAGTATTTCTAAATGTAAACTTACAAATTTCACAATCCAATCTTTTACAAAGATATTATATAAAATGATCGCCTTATTTAATTTTCAATTATATTCCTATCCATTTTTATAAACATTCTAAATGTATATATTTTACTGATCCCTCACATTTACATGGACTTATCAATGGGTTTATTTCACTTGCCTTACTTGAAAAGCATATTCTACAACTTGCAACATCATTAATTGTTTAAATATCATCTTCTTAATCATCTTGATATTGTGTTGCCTCATCACAAGGAGTCATAAATGCATATTCCAATAAATGCATTCTTACTCTTCCTAACTTTATTATATCTCCTATTTTTAAATCCCAATGCTTTTTATATATATTAAAACTCTTACATCTATTGATTAAAACTAATTAATCTCTGATTTCAATACAGCCCACAATTTGTGATCCTGTTATTACGATATACTATTAATAAAAGCTTATTATTCATTTAATGTAATATTTGCTATTTCAATCGAGTTACGAGCCCATTCACTTTTTGTTAAAGCTACAAGTTCTTTATCTACTGTTGCTAATTAAGCTAAAATAATAGATTCCAAATCAAATTACCTGAAAAATCAACTTCTATCTCCTTCACAGAATAAGAACTGGACTCGAAATCAAATAAGTTGTGTTAATTCTTTGGCCATATTATTGCCATTATGTGAACTCTAAATAAATTCTCATAATGTATACTTATATGGCATTAATGTTCTTACAATCTCATATCTTTTTTGCTTGGTCGATGTGCAAGCTCCCATTAAATAATTTATTTATTAATTATATTTATATAGTGTCTTTCTAAAATCTCACCTATTAATATCATCTAAATGATTGAAAGCTTCAATTAAACTTTTTATTTATCAATAACGTCATACTTTACAAACATATAATATTAGTTAGGTAAACATAATTAATAAATATCAATGTTCAATAATTGTTCTACAAATATTAACTTATTGCTTTTAAAATTTACCTCCATTCAATACACATAAACTCTCTAACGACTTTAAATTCATCAACTCTATATACAATTTTCAAAATTTTACAAAATTTATTTTCAATCATATACTTTCAAACATCATTTCTTTACCTATTTCTCTTATCAATAGTTCATTAATCATTTTTCAAACAAATTAAGTTTATTTGTCAAAGCATTTTTAATTTAAAAAAATTCCTATTTTCTTAAAATGTTTATATATTGTGATTTTTGTAAAACTTGAAATTTTCGTTATTTTTTAAGATTTTCTTAATGATATAAAAAACAAACTTAAAAATAATAATCATTTCTGTTTTTTATTTTTCAATTCAGTTTATAATTATAAACCTACAAGAGGATTGTATTGGTTTTAACAGTTAAATTACAAATTGAATTTTAAATTATTTGATTTTAGTATATATACTATTTAATATATATTGTATCTTTTATAGATTAATAAATTAAAAAATATACTCTTCTTATAATCATATTTCATAATAATTTATAAAGAGTATAAAACATTTTCATATTTATTCAAATTATATTAACTGATTTTTCATATTTGTATGATATTTTAGAAATTTTAGAATTATTATTAATTGAAAATTAGATAATCTTATCATTCTAATTGATATATTAATTGAATATATAAAAGAAGATGGATTAAAGTAAATTGTGAGAGATTATCAAATATTTAAGAATTAATCAAAGAATAGAAAAATTATGTTATTAATATGATATTTTAATTTATATCATTTATCAATATTTGTTCCTTGAACAGGTTTATCTTCTTTATTATTTTGATCTCCTTTCTTCCAATATTTTTCTAATTGTTATTCCATTTTATTTTTTCCTAGATAATAATGAATGATTACTTTAGATCTCCTTTGCAATCTTAAGAACTTCAGGATTTAATTAATTCTTTCTTCTACCTGTCTTAATGAATCTTTAATTATCTCTCTTTTCACCCTTTTTTAAATCTAATTAATTACATTTTAATTTTTTTATTTAAAACCCAGTCTTCTTCTTCGCTAAGTAAATTATGATTAAAATCCTTAATTATTTCCACCTCCTCTTTAAGTTTAATTTCTTCTTTATTAATTTTGATTTCTTTATCTATCAAAACCTTGATTTTGATTTTAATTTGACTATCTCCTAAATTTGTTATTTTAGAAATTTCTTTATTAATTATTAGGTTGAGAATCATTCCCTCTAGAATTTCTGAAATTTTAATTTCCTCCTCTAAAATCTCTTCCTCTTCTATTCCCTCCTCTTCTATTTCGCGACCCGCTAAATTATCTCATTAATAAATAATAAAAAATATTAAATACTATTCTTGAATTCAAAACCATTAAGTCATTAATAATATCTGATACCATTTAATCTAAAAGCATTCATTAAAAATTAATTTCTTGAATGTAAAATTAAATTGTTATCATTAAATTGAATATTTAGAGAAAAAAAAAATAAATCAATAATAACTTATAAATTATATAGGTATTTATAATGTTATATACATGTATGAATTAAAGTAACAATAGTATAAGAAGAAGAATTATGGAATATTTCAATATATTCATATAATTGTCTTGAAAATTCTTTTTTATTATTGTAAGAAATGTTTGTAGTGTTAAAACAAATAAGAAAAAAACAATTGCGTAATATTTATAAAAACAATAATATATATTCTTATTCTTCTTAATGCATTTTATCTAAAATCTTATAAATATGATGTAATTAAATTTACAAACAAAAATAATTTTCTTATTTTAAATATATTATATTGTATATAATTTTAATGTCTAATAGTTCGAATGTAATTGGAATACAGTATAATTGTTTTCAAAAAAGAGCTGAAACTAAAGAAATAGATTTATCTTTCAACTTTGTGACTAATAATAGTTTTGATAATGATTAAATACCAAGAACTTACTTTTCAAGAATTATGTCTAGAAGGAAATGTACAAAACGAATTGATACTCAAGAATCCTCAATGAATATAAGAAAGCAAATAAGATTTCCTACTTTACAATCAAAGTAAACAATATAGAAAACAGAAATTGGTAAAAGTATGGGATTCTAAATTTAACCAGTTCAAATACAATTGAAAATCTGTAATGCAAAGCCTCCTGAATCTTTTACTATAGAAGAACTTTAAGATCAAAGAAGAGCTTATTGTTTGAAACAATATCGAAAATATCAATAATAAAGATTATTTCAATAAATGATTTTAAAAAATTTAAGTATAAAAGAAACCATTTAAACATGGGTATAATCCTAAAAAAAATGAGTGATATCTAACAAAATTAAGAAACTTAAATTGCAAACTCAGTCAGCTTCTCATTTAAATATTAATTAAAATATTAATAATATATATATGTAGTTGCATATGTATTCATAGTAACAAAAATATATACTTTTTACAATATCAAACACATGTGCTCACTTTAAATATATAATACATATATTTTAATTAATGCATATGTTTAGAAATAATCATAAATTATCTTTTTGTTTTGTATAACCATTTTCTCAAAAAGATACTATTAAGTTTTTGTACACAAATGAGTCTGCAAATAATATATTTTAATAAAAAGTGAATTCTTGTGATTTCATATCCAATTATTAGTTAAATAATAAGGAATTTCAAATTAAAATCTTCTATCAAATTGAGAATTTTACATTATTTTTAAGACTTTAAATAATAACTAATTGTTTTCTTAATGTTAATATTACTTTTTTTGATTTTTAGTTATGGGTTTTTTCACAAACTAGAAAGATCTAGATGAATTTGTTAGAGATATTTTTTATAAGAAATCAATTAAGATTTTTTCTTTCATCTGAAATGGATTAAATTTACATAAAGTTTTTTTAATACATGATTCTCCATAATTATCATAAATTAGTAAATCATTTAAAATAGATTTTATAACTATTTTAATATGTATTGTTGTTTAAGTAAACTGATTTAAGAATCAAATTATTTAAATTAATAATTTTGAGATTCAAAGTAATTATTAGATAGTGATAATGGGGCTCCCTTCATATAAGGAAACTTTATTATATAATAATTAATAAAAATCTCTCGATTATCAAATTTTTTGATTCATAAAAAATCTATTATGTTGACAAATTAGACAATCCATTTTTATATAATATTATTATAATTTAGTTAATAAAACACTAATGATACAAATATCTGTGATACCTACACAAGCGAATATAGTTAGCTAATGAAAAAACAAATTATTACTGTTAATAATTTATGGACTAATAAAAAAGCGAATTATAGGATACTGTCCTTTTTAGAAAATTTCAAGAATATCTAGAGAACTAAAATGAACTTTAAATATATCATAATACTCATACTGATAAATTTTATAAAGCTATGCCTTGTACTTTAAAACCAAGAAAAATATAGAACAATCCAATTATAATGGCATAAATGCTAGTAAGAAATAGTCAAATTCAATTAGTCTAAAAAAATAGTCTATAAAGAATAAATTTAGTCAGTATAAATCAATTGTGAAGAATACAATAGAACAAGAGCATGTAGAAGATTTTCATCTTCAACTAGAAATGATGAACGATAACAATAAATAAGATCTTAATTAGTTTCAAGAAGGGAAAAATAAAGATGTCATAGCATTAATTCAGAGATTTTAAAAGAAGTGAATATATAAATGAATCATAATATTTTGGATTTACCAAAAAAAATAAGAACACCAAAAAGTACAAGGGCAGAGCTATATTTTAGTTATAATTTAAGGGATAGTCTAAGAACACCAAGATGTGGAATTACAATTCCTTAATATTTAGCTGGTAAGATTAAATAAATAAAATGATGCCAATTACTTTGATCTCAAAATAATTTATATATATCATCATATATCTTAATTTTTATACATAAAAACTTATTAACACAATCATTTTAACACTTGATTTCTTATTTAAGGGTCTAAAAACTATATGCTAGTCATTATTTGAGTAATCTTTTCAGGAAATCGCTATTTTGTTTATTCTAATACAAATTTCCATGTATCTACATTTGGATGATATTCTGTTAATTTTTTTAATTAAACAAAATCTAAATTTCTTAATTTATGGTATTTTAAAGGGCAAAATTATTTCTATTTTTCTAACCAATTTAAAAGTTATTATTATTCTTCATTATTTAATAGAGGATAATATTCATCAAGAAAAATAACAAATAAATCAGTTTATCCTATAAGATTCTATTTGGCTATATCAAATGAGAATTCTTTTTTGTATAAATGTACTAATAATAGTAATATTTCAAGTAATTCTTTTTTATTTTTTTATTTTTAAATTTCCTATAAATTTATTTATTCAATTTGTAAATATCCTTTCTCAACAAGTTAAATCTTGAATTTAATAGATTTGTTTTTGATTTCTTCTAATAAATTTTATTTTAAATTAGACTATGATAAAGCTAATAACCAAAAACTATCTAAACTATTTGCTTTTTCTCTAAACAATTATAATAATTCATTTTTGTAATCAACATTTAAATCTTTCAATTTTTCAAATACTTAAGGATCATCTTTATTTTCCCATATAAATTGACTTATTTTTTCTGAATTATCCAATTATTATGTTTATTATACTTCTTCAGCCAATTCATTTTAATTATGTCTAAGTAAAATATTTTTAAATAACTTTCTTAACTCACAATTATCACAATTTTCAATTGCTAATTATATAATTTATTTTATTCCATCAAGTTTTTTTGATTTAATTTATGTTATAGGTTCTACTGTATTTAATGGCATAAATCCATCAAAATTTTTGATTTCATCATTCTATTCTTATCCAATTTTTAATTGATTCAATTCAAAATCTAAATAACTTCCCCATAGATCTACATTTTTATTGTTAATTCTTAAAGCTTAGTAAAATATTTTCCTTGCTTTTATTGGATTATGTGCTTTTTCTAATTCAAAGAGAGCACCTGCCAACCAAAGATCAGTATTAAATGGATTAAAATTCAAAGCTTTTGTAATAACTTTGAAGAAATGTTTTTTTGATTCAATGATATAACAAAAACTTAAATATTGTTTCCATAAATCGATATTGTAGCGATATTTATTCATTATCCTATCCCAAATATAAATAATTCTTTTCACAATTGCATAATCCCTTGTTGTAACCTTCTTTATTTAACGTTCCTTATTTCGTTATCTTCTGAGTCTTTCCAATCCATATTCATAATCAAGTAATTACATGTAATTACTTAAATTATGTGTTCTACGCTATAACATATATTCAAATTCTTCTCTTTTATGGAGTATGTCTTTAACTTCATCCTTAGAGAATACCTGCTTTTTTTAAAGAGCCAGGAGATCAGGAATAAACTTTTCTAAAGTATACCTAATTTTGTCAGCCATTAATTAAATAAAATATATGATTGCAAAAAAATCAGAAAATATACTTCTTATAATTTTAAGGTATTTTCGTGAAGGAAAATGTTTAGAAGCTATGAGTTGTTTGAAACGAATATTTTCTGGAAAAGAATAAAGTTTATTAGGATTAGATTTAGAATATACATTGAAACAATTAAAATTAGAAAATGATTCAGAAGCATGTAAGAAATTAATTGATTATGCTCGTTTAAGTCATCCAGGATGGGTTGATTTATTATGCAGTTTACTTCAATATTATGTAGAAAGAGAAAGAGGAAATGCTAATGTAATAGACCATTTCGAAAATCTATTTAAAAATACTAAATGGCTTCTAGATGAATAACGTTCTTAAATCTATCAATTTTTATGTAAGCAAGTTGTAACTGAACAATATAAGATTGTATAAATTATGAAAAGAAAAGCTAAAGATTCTGAAGCTGTAAAAAGAGCATCTCATGCTTAAGAAACATTGGAAAGCAAAAGTTTATAAATATTTTAAGAAATGGGAAGAGAAGTCAATATTAAGAATATGTAAAAACTTAAATTATTAAATGCTAATTAATAAATGAAGATATATTTTAAAGGTTTTAAATTTGATAGAGCTGCTGACTGTGATAAAGTTGAAAAAGAATAAAATCTTCTTTTGACATCACCTAAATAAGATTAAATTACTTATCATTATTATAAAGGAAGAATCCTTATTTTTCATTCTAAATTTGTAGATGCATCGTAACATTTAACATAAGTTTTATAAGAATGTCCAAGAACATAAAAAGGATTGTCATGTGCTAGATAAGTCTTAAAATATTTAATTCCTATTAATATGTTTATGGGAAGATATCCAAAAAAAGAATTGATTGAATAATTTAAAGAATATGATTTATTATGTACAAGTGTAAAATAAGGAAATATTGCAGGATTATAAGAAGCAATAGATAAATATAGATCAATTTGGATTAAGAGAAGTCTATTAATATTGATGGATTAATTAAAAGTACTTTGTTATAGGAATTTATGTAGAAAAGTTTGGTTAATTAATTAAAAGTTGAATAAAATATATTTGAATCAATTTTAAAAAGTACTTTAATTACTATATAGTATATCAGGCATTTCAAATATCACATCCTCAGAATAGCAACCCTACTATTTCTGAAGTATGTTGCATAATAGCCAATCTAATTTATTTATAACTAATTTAAGGCCAAATATATTTGAATAATGTAAAAGAAGTCTATGCTATCACTCTCAGTCCAGACCCTTTCAAAAATAGACCACATGAAATCAATTGGTAAAATTGATATCTGTATTATATTATAAACAATCATATCCAATCAAAATAATATCTCTTTTAAATTAATCTATGAAAAGTATCTCTGTAAACTATTTCATCTTTTTAAATAAACTGTATAAATCTCTTAATTATTTCTAATATTTGAATTATGGATTTCAAATCAGCTTACTCTTTTTAATCACATTCTTCTAATTTTTTTATGAATCTTAATTAATTTATAAACTATTTTTATTTATATACTTAACGGATGTTTTCGATTACAAAAGTTATCTAAGAACTCATTTAAATTAAAGATAAGATTGCTTCTAAATTTTGTATTCAGCAATTAACTATCAAGTATATTTAGATAGATGGTTAAGGGGACTCAAAGATTTTAAAATCTGTTGGTTTTTGGATTTACTTTTATTAATAAAATAACTCAATTGCTGTTTTAATTTAAAGTAGTATTATAATAAATTGAAAATAATCTATAATATTCTAACTAAAGTAGTTTAATTATTTCATATTAATTATTCAAATTACTTAGAATAAAGGTAGAATTTGAAATATTATATTTGGAACTTCTTAATCAATATTTTAACTTTTCAACTCCTTACTTCTTACATTTTGATTAAAATTTATGTAATCATTCAATAATAACAATATTAATTTTTATTTCCTTATCTCTTTAAAGCACTTAGGATTCTTTTATATTAAATTTTAATCCTACTATAATTATATAATTTTATGTAAAAATACATCATAATTCCTTTATGAAATATGTTTATAAATATGAAAATAATTCAAAATTAATAAAATATAGCTTTGATGAAATGAATTTAAATATTTGTAAAATATATTTTTATGATTTCATTCTTATTCTGATAATTAAATTAAGTATCCTTAATCCCATTTACCTTTAATGACTTATCCATCAAGATTTGTGAATTCTCCATCACCATGTACCATTCCATCTTCAAATTCTCCAAAATATTATTCATTATTTGTTAACATAAGTGTTCCCTATCCATGCATTTTACCTTGGCAAAAGTTTCCTAATTTATATAATATATATATATTTTACCTTCATAAGATGCCCATCCATTGCCAATAGTTGTCATATTATTCCAATCAATTGGTTCTGTCAATTCTTCAGTTTGAAGATTTGTCAATCTTCCTTATCCATCATATAAGTTATCTTTCCAATACCCAGCATATATTTATTGTCCTTCAGAATCTGTTAAAATACCAAATCCACTTCTGGTCTATGGAGGATAACCCTATCCTCTATAAATAAAACCATCTTCATATTACAATGCCAACTCTAAAAATATTATTATTTTGTACCTTAGAGTTCACCATCTTCTGCTTCTTGGTTTTCTTAATTAGTTTAACGACCTTTACTACCGGAATCATCCATTTAATACTTTTTTATTATTTCTTCTGTGCTTTTGAGAGCATTTTAGTATCTCTTATCCAAATCATCTTCTTTCTTAGGTGGTTAGGTGGGCTATTATTTTTATTTAGATGCCACGGGTTGTTATTTTTATTAGTTTGGCTTGGGTTATGGTGTATCTAATGTAGTTGATATACAATAAACATTATTTTTGATTTTGAGGTGGTTGAGGTTGCTACTGTTAGGCATTACGTATGCGTTCTTGTACTTATTCATATGTAAGATATTATCTATTTGGGGATTGCAACTGAGGAGCTGGTGATTTTGGAACTTGTTGAGATTGCATCAACATGTTCCTACTGGGTGACTAAGCTCCTTTCAAACGATCGGGGGATTAGAATTATCGTTAAGGAGAAGCCATAATTTAGCTTAACATAGGTTAGGGCTGGTATGTAGGTGGTATGATAGATGAAGTGTATGGATTGTATGGATATGTTGGCGGGGGTATTCTTAATCCTGGATATGGATATTGTGGAGCATTATAAACAGGTGGTCTCCATTACTATGGTACTTAAGGACGTACACCATAGGGTTAATACCTATATTATGGATATACTTAAGGATAATAGGGCTAAGGATAATACATTTTATTTAATATCTTAATTAATGAAAAAGATGAGAGATCATTTATAATCTCTAGTAAATAATCTTTCAACAAAAGAAACAGTTATACGTTTAAAAGAACAAACGAATCAAAATATTTTTGAAGGGGAGTAGAATTTTTTTTGATTGCTATTGTATTTTAAACTAAGTTTTAAGTTGTCTTCTTTAAAATAGGTTTTTATTTTTAAATTTAAAGGTAATTTAATATAAGTATGAAATGATATCTTAAAAAATGACAGCCAGTCTTTATAAACTAAAAAAGTTATACCTTTTAATTTTAATTATCCCTTAAAATTCAATCAAATAAGAAGAATGTAGAAATAATTAAAAAATGACAACTGATTATATAATAAAATTAATATAACTCTTAAATATTCATATATTTATTAATTATTTATATTATGATAATCTTGAATAATCTAAAGTGAATGTATTAGATATGTAGAAATATACTTTTAATAATTAATTATAAATGATTTATTAATAAATTGCCTCATCCATTATATCATTTTTATTGTAAAATATTAAAGAAATATTCCACTTCTAGTATGCCATCTTCTGGAAGATCAGTACAATGTATAGCATTCTTAACTCTATCAATACCAAATTTAGCTCTTATTGTTTATGGTCTCAAAGTCTTAGCTATTTCTGGATCATGTGGTCCACATAAATCCCTAAAAGATTTTACCTAATAGTTACAATTTATTTTTACAGCATTTTCTTGTCTAATTTCCATAGCAATACATGGTCCAGATGTTAAATGTTCTGACATAGCTTAGAATTCAGGTAAGACACCCTAATATATGAATAAGTAATATATACCTTATAGACTTCAAAAAATTCTTCACTAGTAGCTCTATCTAAATAAAACATTTGCATTGCTGAAATTTCAAAGCCTTCACTTAAAATAATGTCAATAATTTGTCCAGCCCTTCCTTCTAAAACAATATGTGGTTTGATAATGGCACAAGTACAATTATTAAATACGGCTGTTGATTTTAAATTAGATTTATCAGAGAAAAAGAAATCTAATTCCCTTTATGCTGACCCAGCTATATAATTATAAAAATAATAATTTACGAGCATCACTTCCATGACAAGCATTTCTAACTCCTTCTGTTCCATACAAAGCTCTCATAGAATTTGGTGCTTCAACTCTAGCAACTTAACATTTAGTAGGTCCAATCAAATCTCTCCATTTTTTGACACTATTATCTGCTATCAATTCCAAACCTACAATAAAATCACTGCAGATGAATTAAGTAAGTTCATCAAAAAAAGGTTTTCCCTATTCAAATTGATTGTTTATTTACTCTATGTTCTGCATAGAATTGCTGTGCATCTGCAATTGACATTCTTGTCATTTTCAAATTACCAATTACGAAACCGTTCCTTTCAACTGCAGTGATTATCTTACCAATATGTGTATATGCATCTGGTTTAATCATACCAAATGTTCTAACATTTATACAATTAATTTACTTTCCTCTTTATACTTCAAATTTAGATCTAGTAAATACATCTGCATAATCTACTATTTTTAATTATCTTGAATAAACTGTCACAATTGATCCAACATACATATCCTTCAATTATACTGATGGATATTCACATCTTTTCAAGAATATTCTTTTATTTTTCAAATCAAACTAGATTCCTTTAATAATTATGTTACCATTTCGATAGTTTTGTCAGACATAAAATATGTTAGGTTATAACTCCTTATTAAAGATGCACTTGTATCAAACCATTCAACTATGAATACATATCTTTCATCATTGACTGCCATCTGTTAATAATAATAATCAAATATATAATCAATAACCAGATTTTGATTTCCAGTATTATACTTCCTATTCCAACTACTATTTTTCACCCTAAGCCTTATCTAATCTACTCTTATATTCATTTAAAAGTCTTTTAGTTTACTCAATAAGGGTTAACAAATTCTTTTAGGTACTTCTTTTCATTAAATTATATTATTATTCACTAATAGAATGATATATATTTATACACCATGTTCTCTTTTGATTATAATTTTGGTTCTTCATATGAATCCAACAGTAATTATTATTTTGAACTTATTCTTTTAAATCTCAAAGATTAAATGGGAGATGATGTTAAATGACGCAAAATCTCATTTTGTTTATTCCCTTATTTACTATTCGATTTATGCTAAAAAGGTTTCTGGTATGGCGAACAATTTTTTTTGAGGATGGCTCCTAATCTTTTGTGAACTTCATTGTCAGATTTATTCTCTATTAGAACTATCATACTTATTTATGTTATGTTGATGGATGTACAAAACTACTGTATAAATTAAGTATCTATTAAGATTTGCTCATTGAACTGTTTTTTGTATACATTTATTTTTTAAAATGAATGATAAGTTCCTTTAATTAAGAAATAATTATTGCTATCAATACAACAAGCGAATTATTAAAAATTATGAATAACCCTAATATTCTTAAAGATTGAAAACTGAAACTCCTCCAATTCTCAAACAAAATAAGTATACATACCATTCACCAAGAAAATTTATTTAAACTACTTAAGCTTCATTTTTTGATTAACTTAAAAAATTTCCAACTCCTAAACCTACAGCTTATTAAACTTATCTAAAATCATTGCTAGAAAATAAAATAGAAATTTAGGCTAAGTAAAAATATAAATCATCCTTCACTATGCATGATATTCATGGTTAGAAAATTAACACATATAGACAAATAAAGGATACATTAAAAAATCAATCAAAACATCACTATCAAAATAAATCTGAATTCAAAATGCCTTAAAAAATAAAATAACATAATTAATCTAAATTTAATTCACCTCAAAAACTTTTTTAAGAATCAATGAAATAATTATCAATAAAAAAATTTGATAAGATTAATGATAAAATAAATATATGTAAGTCTTCAAATGGATTATAAGTAATTAGAAGTGATAGAATAAAGAATTATGAAGATAATTTTGATGATATTGAACCTTGGAACACTTCTGAATTAAAATGATTGTTTTTTTTATTAATTTTAATTATTTCATATTTTTTTTTCAATTAGATAATTCTCTAAATTATGAAATGATGATGATCTAGAATTATGATGCTGAGAATATCGACATTATAAAATTGGGCCATTTGAGGACTCATAATTTTATATAACTCTAAAATTCTTATTAGAATTTAATACTTAACATATTATTAACTAGCTTACTGCAATGATATCTATTGATGAATATATGGATTTTAATATTAATTATAGTTAATTTATGGATTTGGTTAAGATTTTTTAGAAATTATTTTCACTGGAGTTATATTTATCTTTGATTAATTATTCTAAATTATTTATTAATGTTCTTATAGCTAAGCAATGTTAGTCTATGGTATTAAATAGTGATATTATATTTAAAGATTTTCTTTATTGTTGTTTGATTTATTTAGTATTTCTTAACTTCTTTTTTAAATATCAAATTCATTATTAAATTTAGTTTTTTCATATTAATTAGAAGTATTTTAGATATTTGAAGGTAATATATTCTTTAGATTTTATTCAAGCTATGTTTAACCAATATTATTATTAAATGATTAGCTTCTCATTTTGAATGGGACTTTAATTTATTATTCTATTGAATTTTAATGATTAGTTTAAAAATTAGCTGTCATTTTTTTTTGTATTTATTTATTTTCTTCTTAAATTATTCCTATTTTTTTTAAATTCAATTTAGGTATTTTTGGATCCTTTTCTACATTTATTTCAGGTGGAATTATTTTCTGTAGATAATTGAGTCTTTAATTTATGTTTCTAAGGGCATTTTTAATAGATTCACAATCTAGATCTCGTCTTATATGATTATATATACTTACTCTTAACGAATTTACATTAAATTTATAATAATATAAGAGTGATTATTAAATAACACAAATAAAATAAATGATCTTTAGAAATTTGAAAAATCCATTACTTTCTAAAACTTTCAGGTCTCAAATACCTAGTTTTGGAGTATTAAATCATGACAAGTTTCAAAAGAAAGTTGAGGGAAAAGGAAAAGTTACCAAATTTCTTTATGAATTTTGGGAAATCCTTTATTAAGTATGAGCTTAAAGTTATTTGTTAGGGCACTTGGGATTAATGTGTAGATGCTAAAATGATGTGTAAGTACACTTTTACACAAAAGAAAACTGCTTTTATGCTATCTGAAATCACAAGAATTAGAAAAGACTTAATAAAATTCATTCCTTTCTCTTTCTTTCTCATAGTTCCAGGAGCAGAGTTGCTTTTACCTCCTTACCTGTATTTGTTTCCTAATGCATTTCCTACTACCTATTTATTTGATGATCAACTTGCAAAGAGATATATTACAAGAGATAGAAAACAAATGAATTCATATAGATATCTGTTTCAATTGATGAAACAACGCATTCCTTCAATTGAAAATATAAGAAACAATCAAGATTACAATGCTAAGGGTTTACAAGAACTTGTTTTAAAGCACTCTCATCTCTTCATGACTAAATTAGATTACAGAGACTTTAATTCAGAACAATTGGTGCACGTATATAAAATTTATGAGAGTTTAGTTATGCAAATTTTTAGGAATGGAGTTTTTTAGAGGAACCTATACCATTATGAAACTCACTAAACTTTTTGTTAATCTCCCTGTCTATTTCACTAACCTCTTCTATTGGATAACAAGAAATCCAGAAAGAAGACCTTTAAATAGTGTTTTAAAAAATTGGAATTCACTTCTTCCATTTCCACTTGAAGATTTAAAAAAGGCATTGCTTTTAATGTAAATCAAATCTCATCTCAGAAAAGTATAAATGAATCATTAAATATAAAGTTGGAAAGATAAGACAAAGCATTCAGATTAAATGGGTTTGGAGATAATAAGTATGAAAGCATAAGATAATTTGCAAGAGAAAGAGGTATTCCAGCATTAGTAATGTAGAAGGAGAATCCTGAATAAGATTTTGAATAGTAACTTATTTTATATTATTTTAGCTCTAAAAAATAATTTAAAAGAGACTACATTGATTTCATAAACAAAGAATAAGTTTTTGAAAATCTCAAAATTTGGTATGCTGTTCTCTATTATGAGAGATATCATAATAGAATTGTTGAAGAATATGAAGAAAGAGTTAGAAAACATTTACTACATTGATATGTTTCCATTAAAAATTATAAATTATGATTTATTATTCTAATTAAATTATTTGATATACCAAACGTAACCCAATCCATTTTTATAACATCATACTACATGATTTTTATAAGTTTAATAGTATTTATGAGATTATTTTTTTTTCTAAAAATTTTTGTTCAACTTTTCATAATTTTATAAGAATAATTAGAATTTTGATAATGATTAGATCTTTTAGTTAAGCATTTTAAATAACTCTTTTCTTTAGTGTTAGATTTATGGAGTTTTACAAATAAATTTTTATAAATAATGATTACTGCTACTAGGAAATATGTTTTTGTTTGATTTTATCAAATAATTATGGCAAGATATATATTAAATTTTTTAATTAAAAAATGAATTAAGAAGACATATTCCTTAAGAAATAATGGTTTATCAAGTCTTGTGAAGGAAAGATAGAATAATTCTATGACATAAATCTCAAAAAAGTATTTTATTTTGATAGCAATTAGGTAATTGGGTCTGGCACATATGGAAGTGTTGTCAAAGCTGCATTAAAAGGCACAAAATAATAACGTGCTGTTAAAGTAATTCCTAAATCTAAAGTTAAAAATCCAGAAAGATTTAAAAGAGAAATCGATATTCTAAGAGCTTTGGATCATCCCAATATTATTAAATTATATGAAACCTTTGAAGATCAAAGAAATGTTTATTTAGTTATGGAGTATATTCGAAATTAATTTTCAATAGGCTATGCGAAGGAGGAGAATTATTTGATAGAATAATGGACAAAGGGTATTTTAATGAGGCTGAAGCACACATAATATTTTTATAGATTATACAAGTATTTTAATACATAAAAATTAGGCATTGAATTATTGCCATTCAAATGGAATTTGTCATAGAGATTTGAAACCAGAAAACTTTTTATTTTTAACTAAAGCAGAAGATTCTCCTCTTAAAGTTATTGATTTTGGATTGAGCATTCTATTTGAAGAAGGACCTCAAAAGCCTGGTACATAAAAGGTTTCGATGAAAACTAAAGCAGGAACACCTTATTATATCTCTCCTGAAGTATTAAAAGGAAATTATGATGAATTATGTGATATTTGGTCAGCAGGTGTAATATTATATATATTACTCTCTGGTGTTCCTCCCTTTTATGGAGATACTGACCCTGAAATCTTGGAGGCTGTTTAAAAAGGTTAATACACTACAGATATTCCTGAATTTAAATTTGTTAGTGATTCAGCTAAGGATTTGATTGCAAATATGATCACATCTCCAGATAAAAGATATAAGGCTTAATAAGTTTTATAGCATAAATGGATGAAGGAAAAGAATAAGCCAAATAAAGAACTCAAATTGAATTATGGTGCATTAAAGAATTTTGTAGGCAGTAATAAATTAAAAAAGGTTGCCCTTACATTTATTGCATCATAATTAAATGAATAAGAAATAACACATTTAGGAAAGTATGAAATTAATAAAATTAGATTATTTAAATAATTAGATAAGAATGGAGATGGAGTTTTGACTATAGAAGAGATTAGAGAAGGATTAATAGGAATGAGTGATGATTAATCTAAAGAATTAGCAAATGTAATAAAAAGTATTGATACTGATGGGAATGGTAATATTAATTATACTGGTATTAAATAATTAATATTGTATTAGAATTCTTGGCAGCAACTATGGAAAAATAGTTATATATGAAAGAAGAAAAACTTTATTAAGCTTTTAAAATGCTGGATTTAGATGGAAGTGGTAAAATTGATAAAAAAGAGTTATAATAGGTTCTTGGAAGTATTAAATTTAGTTATAATTTAGAGTCTGATAAAATAATTGATGAAAAATATTGGGATGATATGATTAAGGAAGCAGATAAGAATGGAGATGGAGAGGTATATTTAATTCTATTTATAAAATAGATTGATTATAATGAATTTATTGAAATGATGGATAGATTTAGTATTATGAATTGAGATATTCTATATTTTACATACAATTTATTGATCAAAATAAATACCCAATCTTATTTTTATGAAATAATTAATTAATTTATTAAAAAAATGGATCTTTAATAAAATGATTAATAAGTGAATCAAAATAATATTCAAAGTGAACAAAATGAAGCTTAATAATAAGACAAGTTAAAATAAATACAAAAGGATAAAGAAAAATGCTTAGAAATAAAAAACAAAGCTGGATTATTGTTTAACGAATAAAATTTTGAAGAAGCTGCTAAGATTTACAATGAAGCCATTGATTATTGTCCTTTAGAAGATTTAAATATGTTATGTATCTTAAATTCAAATGTTGCTATTTGTTTAATGAAATAATCTGATTTTGAAAGTGCCTTGGAACATTGCTCTAAAGCACTTGAATTCAATCCTGAATTTGTTAAGGCTTTATTAAATAGAGCAGAGTGTTATGAAAAAACAGATAAATTTGAAGAGGCATTAGAAGGTATTGTTTAAAGAATATTCTAGATTATAAGAAATTAAAGGAATTATAACCTTAAGATAATGTTATAATAAAAAAGTTCATTGATTTAGATTTAAAAGTATAAGAAATACAAGAAAAATAATATAAAGAAGCTTTGAAGGGATTAAAAAATAATGGAAGTTCATTATTAGGAAAATTAGGATTGAATGCAGATCAATTTAAATTAGAACAGAATGAAAATGGAACATATAATATATCATATAAATCATGACTCAACAAAATTTACAATTTAATATTTGATTAATCTTACTTAAAAGATAGTCTGGAAAATAATTACATTAAAAAATATTAGTTTTAATATAATTATTCTGTAAATAATATTTACCAAATAAACTAAAAACAATATTTTTTTTAATTTATCTTTTATATATTCAATTCTCAATTTTTTTATATGGTAGAATTTAGTTATCTTTATTAACCATATATAATTGATCTTCATTATGTTTTAATTCAAAAATTTGTATATTTTAAGGATTATCATTAATTTAAACTTAATTATTTTGTAACATTTCCACTTTTTTTTCAGCATTCCCATTAACTTTAACTTGAATAATTATTTCATCTTGTGAACGTTCAATTTTTTTAACTTCTGGATATATTTTTATCTCTTTGCTAAAGACTTTTAATGACATAAGCACATTTTCGTTTATGCAAATATAACCAATTTATGGTTATCCATTTTGACCTATCAATTCTTTAAAGTGCTATTAATATTTTTCACTTATTTTAATTTTACCAGTTCCATCTTAGATTTCTTAAACTATAGGTTCAGTGAAAATAATATCTTCTTCATCTTAATTATCAGAATGTTATTAATTATTTATAAATAATCCAAGCAAATTCTCATTAGCAGAATTTGTCTCTTATTATTGACTTACGTTTTAATTATTAACAGTTTGATTCTAATGCTAATACTAATTCTAATTCTAATTCTAATTCTAATTCTAATTCTAATTCTAATTCTAATTCTAATTCTAATTCTAATTCTAATTCTAGTTCTAGTTCTAATTTTAATAATAGCCTCTATTCTAGTTCCAGTTCTAGCTCTAGCTAAAATTCTAATTCTAATTCTAGTTCTAGCTCTTATTCTAAATCTAATTCTATAATGGAACTGCTTATTGAATTTAATTTTGAATAGGCGCTTTCTCTATTTACTCAAAAAACTTCTCTCCTAGATTGAATTATTTTATTTTAGCAATGATTCTATTTTTATGTGTATTCAAGACCTTTTCAACATCTTATTTAATTTTTTGATCACATATAAAATTGATTAAATTGACTAAATAAAAAAAACACTATACTATATGATTCGAATTTGACTTTAGATTTGAATTTAATAATTTAAAGTTATTCTTAACTTAAGATTTCCATCGCATTTTTTTTCTAAAGATAATCAGTTATTTATGATTAAAATGAACCTCTTTAATAATTTATTAGAATACATTTAATTTGTTGGATTAAATTCAAAATTTTTCTTTAGAATATTCACTGTAAATGTTTGAAAGAAATCTTTACTAAATTCATCTTACTTCTATTTTAATAGTTCATTAACAATGATTTTAATTCCTTCAGGAGTTCCTAAAATTGCAATTACTTTTAACGATAAATCAACTTAGCAAACACAAACAAATTGATTATTTTATCTAAAATTAGTTATAAGATTTTCTATATATCTAGCTTATTTTATATTATCCCCTTAGGCATTGAATGATATGAAAATAACGAATAATGATTCAATAGTTTTTTTAATATATGTAAAAATATCTTAACATTATTAAGATTTTCCTTATAACTCAAAAGGAAAATGAAATCCTAATATAGCAGAACTATATGGTTTTTATTTGTCGATGACATCTATAAATTCTAAATTTGAGAAAGTTTTTTCAAGATCATCCTAAGTGATTTTTTGAAAATAATTTTATCTTAAGTTTGCTAGTAGATACTTATGATCTATATTAATTTTTGGAGATGTCATATGATTAGCTACATCTAAGAAAAATATTCTTAACCCTTTTAATTTTTATTCTAAATTATATACAACAATATTTAAATAATCTTTTTTGCTTACCAAATGAATTTCAATAATTTGATCACTATTTTTTTATTTAATAATATAATATTCTTGTTTTGAACATTAAATCTATATATAATTTGATCTAAAAAATGTACGTGTACTATCATAATCCAATGCTAATTTTTTTGTTTAAATAGTTTTAAGATATTTATTTATTTCATTTTTAATTCCTTCATGATGATTTTCATCTGCCTCAGTTTAAATAATCAATCCTTCTTTTACAATTTAAAAATTCAATTCTAAACTTAAAACTAATTATTTGAATTCTTGAACATAGTATTTTTGTAAAGAGATCAATTTTGCATAATCTGGGATTTCGATTTTAAAAGTTTTGGTATTAGCAAAATTAAAGGTAATATTTTGAGTTTCTTCTAATTAATCTATCTCATTATTTTCTTAAAGTAGAATTTATTCTTCTTTTTAATCAAAGTTTTGAATAATCTAATTTATTTGATTCTAATCTTCATTAATAAGACTTTCATCTTTTTAATATGAAATATTATTCATAATTAAAATTTATTAAATTTTTTTGTTATAAAATAAATGATTAAAGTATAAGAAGATGATTTTATTATGAGTATTTTTTAAAATAAATTGAATTCATTATATTTAAAGATTGTTTAAAGTAGTCTTTTATAAAAAGAAATTGACCATTATAAAAGGGAATATTTTGATTATGTGAAATTAAAATGAACCAATGATATAAAAATTTATATTGAAATTGTAAAATATACTAAAGTTAATATATTAAATCTTGTAATTACTTTTTAAAAAATGGTTAAAGCAAAAAAATTAAATGATCCAGAAACTCCACTAAAATAAATAAAAAAAAGAAATTTCATAGATCCTCAATTTAAACTTGGTCTAATAAATAGTGTTGTGATTGATCATCTACCTATATATTAAGTTTTTAATTTATTATATTCTTTAGGCAGCAATATTACATAAAATCAAATATTCTTCAGCTAAACACATTATAAGAAATTATCTCAGCGATAAAGATAATTTTTTCTCTAAATAGAAAAAAAACAAAAGGGAAATGATTATAAACAATTTAAAAGTAATAATTGATGTCAATTCTGGGAAAATTAAAATCATCAAAACTAATCATACTATTTTGTATAAAAAATAATAATAAAATAATAATTAAACTATTATTAACAATATCCTATCAGATTTATCACATTGCTTATTAAAAGAAATAGTGAGATCATAAAATAGTCATCTTAAATATCCATAATACTTTAAACTAAAATTACCTTAAATATATCTATCATTTGATTAACAATTATCAAAAATTAAGACCATACTCAATATATAACATTAGTAAATGAATTCAAAATGATTTTTTATATAGTTTTAATACAAGATATTAAGTAAAATATAATTAAATTAGAATTATTTTAATAAATTTCTAAAAATAATTTCTCTAAATTACATTTTCATACATTTTAAAATCAATTTCCAAACTCTATAATATATAGATTTGCTGTTATGTGAGGTGATCATAGTCATTTTTTAATCATATTTTTTAAAATTAACTTGTTGAAAATTCTATTATTCTAATTGATTAAATTTTACGGACTTTATCATGATTGCATCAAAAATTTAAATTATAATTTATAATGAATTTTATAAAAAGCTCTAATTTATATTTATCAATAATTAGGGAACTTTATAATCCTATTAGTTTAAATATTAATTAGAAATATTTTATTCATCATTATTATTCACAAGTGAAGACTTTAAAATTAAATCTTTATAATTTTGCATCAGATTATTAAAATATTATGAATATAAATTCCATATATTCCGAATACGCTAAGAATGATGAAACCTTAAAAAATGCTAAATTTCTAGATCGTAAACTAGTCTAAAAAAATCAAACAAATGAGATTGATGAAGAATTTCTTAAAAAGAAAGAAAAAAGAAATCGTAAGTTTTTTTTAAAGCGATCTATTTCTTTGTTGTAGATCTGTAAATAGAGTGGCAAGATAGAATTTTAAATAGGATCAGATTTCCTCCATATAGAGATTATGTAAGGTGGCCATTACCCTCATAATTAATATAATTTTAAAGAAGTTCGTTCTGAAGTATATCTGGATGATACAGAGTTTTAATCATCTAACATAACATGTAGCTTAGAAAATGCTTCTAAAAGCATTCTAAAAAAGTGTCGAAATTTGCAATCAGAACAAAATTTCAAATCTTTCTCACAAATATAATAATAATTCAAAGAAGTTAATTCATTCTGCTAACTTATTAAGAAATAGGATAATCAAAAAAATTGTCAACTCGATTCTTATTTATTAGACGCCGTTTTAATCAATTAAAATAATTAGTTTGATCAATAAATACAAGAAACAAAATAAATTTTAATTGAATAGCATTTAGCTATTATAAATAGTCTATAAACTTGAATATATAACTTAGCATTAAATATTTTTTTTTTATTTTATAACAGTTTCCTATTTAGCGATGAAACATTTTCTAATTTTTGTTCTAAATTATTAATAAACCCAAAGTGATTTTTAAAAAATATTAGTTTAACTTATAAATAGTTAATAGATTGTTCTATAGCCTTAAGCAAATGGATCAAGATCAAGTATTAAATTTAAAACTAAAGCCTTAAATATGTTTTATCAGATTTACTTTTTACTGAATAAAATTAACTTGTTCTCATGATCTTCTAGACCATAAATTTTGTTATAATTAAGAATAATCATTCTAAATCATAATTTATGATCAAGATTTTCATTATTGTAAGAATATCCTACTATTAGTCCCTTTCATATTATAATTATTGATGAATGGCTGGAAAACGAATTTTAAATTAATTAAAAATATCCTTTATTAATATTATAGAAATTGTTAAGCTTAAATAATTTTTTTATAAGCCAATCAGATACTCAAGCATCTATGTAATTTAATTCATATCTAAAAGCTATAATAAATACAATATCTATAAATTTATTAACAAGTATATTAAAAATTAATAAAGCTATCTAATGATTCTATAATTAATCTAATTCTCTGATTTTTTTTGAAAATTACTCATTCAATCCAAAATATAATTAGCCCCTTTCTCAAATTTTATATTATTATAGGTGTTTTTAATTAAATTATATTTGAAAAAATATAATTTAATTACCATTTAGTATTTTGAGTAAAGAAAAGTAAAATTAGAATTCATCCTCAAAACTTTGTAACACCTGCTAAATATAATAAATATCAATGTTTATATAATTAGTCATTTAAAACTATGTTTGATTTTGAATGGCATTGTTCATATTCTACTTAATATTTACCTAATATTTTAATCAAGATTATAAGCTCAAATAACTCCTTAGTTTTATTAAATGCAAATAGTATATCAATAAAATTTCCGTAATTTAATAGCAAATTCTAATTAGTATATAATTTAAAGCTGTTTAATAAAAAAAAATATTTTTTGTTGATAATAATATTTTTATATAGGTATATAGAAAATCTATATTAACTAAAATTACCAGCTTTTAAATAGTATTTTTTTAATAAAATTTAACTAAAAAATTAAATTATTCCTTTGAAAAGATTATTATGATAAATTTTTATATTAAAATTAAAAGAATTATGGTTTCTTAATTTTTAAAAAGGAATCTTTAAATTTAAGACTGTGTAAATTTATAGACTACTTTGCTATGATTGAATAGGTTGCCCTCTTGGCCAAGTGGTTAAGGCATCTCCCTAGTAAGGAGAAGATCGACGGTTCGACCCCGTCAGGGGGCTTTTTTTTTATTTGATTAATTTAAAGTATTTTTTTAATTATTTTTTGCATAATAAACATTTATATTTTTATAATGAAATCGGAGCCAGATCAAATAATGGAAAAAAGCCCAAAAGGACGATTTATTAGAGTATTAAAATAACAATGCTAAAAGGCAGTTTAATGAACAAATCGGGAAAGGCACATATAAGACTGTTTATAGAGGTTATGATGAAGAGTCTGGGTGTGAGATTGCTTGGAATGTGATTCATTTAGATTAATTGCCATAGTGTATCATAAATTAAAAATTGTATTTTAGAAGAGGAAAGGAAAAGAATATCTGAGGAACTTAGTATTCTCAATAATATAAAGCATCCAAACATTATAAGTTTTATTAATGCTTGGGTAAGCAAAAATAAAAGTGAAGTTATTTTCATAACAGAAATAGTACATGGAGGATCACTAAAGAAGTATAAAAATAATTGATTATAGACATTTGAGAAAAATTTAGCGACCTAGATTAAAAATACTCAAACATTGGTGTAGGGAAATTTTGAAAGGCTTAGAATATTTGCATAGTATTGTACCATATCCAGTGATACATAGAGATATTAAATGTGATAATATCTTCATAAATACACACAATAATTAAGTAAGAATAGGTGATTTTGGTTTGGCCATAAAATTAAAATAATCAGATTTTACATAATCTGTATTAGGAACGCCTGAATTTATGGCTCCAGAGATATATGAAGAGAAATATGGTCCTTCTGTTGATATATATGCATTTGGTATGACATGTTTAGAGATGGCTACTTAAAAAAGGCCATATGAAGAATGTACAGCTCCTAATCAAATTTATTAAAAGGTAGTGATTAAAATAATGAAATAAGGTTATGAACAGAATAAAACCAAAATCTTTAGATTTAATTTAGAATTAAGATTTAAAAGATTTTATATTAAAATGTTTGGAAGATTAAGAAAAAAGACCAACTGCTGCAGAATTACTTAATGATAAATTCTTATAAGAATAAGAAGATGATCATTAACATGTTGTCATTTTAGAAGAGGAATAATTAGAAGAGAATTTATAAAATGATGCACTCAAATATAATCCAGTATTTAGAGAATAATTAGATTTTAATAATTCAATTTTGATATAATTAAATGATGGTGATGAAATGCATATCAAAATTACTTTTATTGATTAGTCTGCATATAATTAAGAGTTTTAAGAATTCACAAAACTTGTTGTTTAAAAATATTCAGATCTTCAAAATAATGAATAATTTTTATAATTTTAAGAGCAAAGTAAAAGGTTATATAAAATTAGTAATTAAATTTGGTGGAGTTTAAAAGGTTTTTTGGGTTAAGCCAAGTGAAGAATCTAAAAAGATAATGAAAACATAATTTATGTAGTCGCTCGAATCATTTCAATAAGTAGAAATAAATATTATAATAGACTATATCACCTCTTTTATAGGATGTCGATATAAATGAATGGGAATTGATTGAATAATAACTTTTAGTTTAATTTTAACAATAAAGAAAGTAAATCAAATCAAAATAGGCGATTTGAATTAACATATGATATATTATTCAAAAAAGACAATCCTCAATATAGTATTTATCATACTTGAAATGCAATTGATCATTTTTCTAATATTTAATTAAATAATTACCAATAAGTTTAGTAAACAAAATGTTTTTCATAATTAATCAATATATTATTCTTGATATCTGAATATGTTAATAACCAGATTAACAATATTATTAAAGATTGACTTTTATTTGAAGAGAGAAATTTATTATCATTAATATTATTTATATAATGAGCAATAAAAATCCAATTATGTAAGACAATGCCTAAACTAATAACTCTTTGATTTAAGAAAATGATTCAAAAGTTATTAATAATAAAAGTCAAGCACAGTAATTAACTGAGGAATAGAAATAATAATAAGTATGATCCTTAATATCATATTTAAGATGGATTAATTTAAGAAATTTTTACAGTAAACAGGCATATCTGATGCTTTTTAAGTTATTTTTGCTGAGATAATTGATAAAAAATTAAAAGAGGAAGATAGTTATAAATATACAGCTGATAGATTAAGAGAGATTGGAAAAGGTTTGAGTACAGAATAAATGGTAATTTAATTATTTATTCTAAATAGAAAGCAAAAGCAGAGATGTAAAAAAGGGAATTAGCAGAAAAAATGAAAAAAAAATGAGTGACTCATATTTATCATTCTTATTATATGTTTAAAATTTATAATAAAAATTATTCATTTATTACATCTTGATAAAAATTTACTATGCTTTTCTCCATTTAAACTAATTGATAAATGAAACTCATGTATTTTTAAATCAATATAATATTTCTAATCAATTTTTATTAATATAAATATTAACTTCATATTAAGTCAACTTCTTCATCAGAAAAAGCTTAATTATATGTAAATGGTGATTATTTCTTCTTAAAAGATAAAGAACTTGATTTCATAAATTTTTAATTTGATAGAATGAGTTGTACAATTTCAAATATTTGTTCATAAGGAACATTTTATTCATTAAAATGCAAAGGATGCTAATCAAATAAAAATGATGTAATTTTTTCTGCATCGTTGATTTGAACCATCTCATTAAATTATATCTTATACATTTTAGTTTTATTATCAGGTCGTCTTCTTTAGTTCAACATTCTTACTTATAAACTAATCCTAGAGCAGGAGGGTAATATTGACATACTATTTTCCTAGCTTTAACAGGTTTCTTAGAAACAAAACTCATAGCAAAATGTAATAATTAATGTTAAAAAAATTTCAAAATTATAGATATTACATTATCATAGTATATTTTGAAAATGCAAGATTTATAAATGTATATATCAAAAATAAATACTAAAAAGTAAAACAGTTAGTCAACAACACCAAGTTTCTGTTCTTCTAGACTATTTAAATAAGTCGTCTTTTAATTTAGCATTTTCATTTTGAAGTTATTAAATCATCAAGTTAAGCATATTTATTTCTTAATTCTCTTACAAAATGTATTATTATTAACTTTGAATTCTAGAATAGGGTACCTATGTCTATTATTCATACATTTAACTTTGATTTTGTTTATATTATTAATAATCATTGTATAGTTTTCTATAATTTTGTTATAGATTTTCAATCTCATTATTAAGTTCATCTATAAATTAATCATATTTAATGTCATGTTTGTTTTATAAATTTTATACTTCATTTTTCAATTGTTTAATTGTTATATCAGATTAATCAAGTTAACTTTTTTTTTATTGAAGTTATTGAATTAAAGAATTAATTTCATCTTGCTTTTATTTTGAATTGATTAAGGCTTCTTGAATTTCATTATTCAATTTTTCAATTTATAAGTATAAAACTTAAGCATTTTTTTCATAATTTTCTTTGTTTATTTATTTTAAATTCATTAATTCTTCTCTTAATTAATCACACTCCTCCTCTCTATATTGTATTAATAAGCATATTACTTTCTTTCAAATTTAAGTCTCCATTAATTAATTGACGATTGCATACCTTCAAAATTTTTTCTGATTTATTCTTAATTTATATTCTCTTCTAATTATTCCCTTAATCTCTCAATCTCAGTTGCCATTAAAAACATAACTATTTTACAAAAGTCTATATCTTA